TCTGTGTTTCTATTTATGTCTCCATTCTGTTGACCTATTTGTCCTATATTATAGTTGGCTAATATAGACTATTTTGTGCTGAGGTGGATAATGTCAGTCTAAGAGGTACATACTGTCAGTCTGCAGTTCTCTGTGTAGTTCCTAACAGTCATCAGCAGACAAGCTTTTAATGATCATTTTAAAAGATTGTGATATTAATGATCAAGGTTTTAATTTTAGCAGTAGTTGATTCCTTTAAAGCTGTAACAACAGAACATTAGCAAATAAAATTATGTATCTTGAGTACAGTAATTTTGACATATGGGTGGGAGATCGTAGTAGAATAGTCTCTGACTTTACTAGGTCAAATAATGTTTTAAAATCATCAAGTACAGTGAGATCTTGTAATCTTCCTATCTCTGTGTTAATTTTATGGCAGTGGAGATGTGGTTTGCTGTGTAAAATTGCTCATGAAAGCCTGTCTCTACTCTGCTAATGCCCTCATCAAGGCATCCATCAAGGATGCCTTCAACTGTATGTGTTGAATAGGCTCCTGGAGATTTAATATACATGGGAAAGTACACATTTAGGTTGGTAGCCGACGTTTTCTCAGTTGCCTTTTTCTTTCTTTTTTTTTTTTTGTATCAATAAGTTCTAGGATTTTTTTTCTATACCTCAACTACGTTTCCCTCCTTCCCTTCAGATATATGTGAATTGATCCTTCAGCACTTTCAAAGGTGTGTCACTTCTAACATAGATCTTCTTCTTTAATATCTAAAACCCTTAGTTTTGATATGTCTGATTTCCCCATCTATGTTCCCTTTAGTGACATTTCTACTCTAGGAATACGTTTGGGACTTTGATGTTAGAATCCAAGTGTGCTGTCCACAATGATGATGACAGTTTGTAATGAAAACTTTTCAGATATTAATTTTTTTTCCCCTCTTGTCCTTCCATTTTCATCCTTAAATGCCCTTGGGATAACTTTGGATCCAACTTTTTTGGAAAGTTGGATCACTTTCTGAGCTTTCTCTAAACTAATTTTACTTTCTCCATAACTTTTCTCAGTTAAAACAGAGATGATAGTACACGTGATCTTCCCGCATCCTATTCTATTAGATTTTACAAGTGAGTTTGTAGCCTAAACCAGTATTGCCTTTGGCTACTAGGTCTCTCTTCTTGGCAAGTAAATTGTTTGTTGACTAGGATGCTTTTCAAAGATCTTTTGTACTTCTTATTATTGAAGTAGATTTATATCAGCTAAATTTCTGTATGAGATTGTTAGAGACTTATTTATATCCTTTTTCTATCTGCTATCCATTTTTCATTATCAGTAGCTTGTTTGAATACAGCAGGATTAAGTTGTGTGCCATTATGTTTGTCTCATTTTGATTTTTCTAGCTTTGTAACAATTTTGATGGTTGCTCTGATAAGTAGGTGGGCTGATTATGTCCAGATAGCTCACTCAGGTAGGACTTCTATACCAATAATGTCATTTCCTGTCTATTAAAATATAAGCAATTTCATTTTCTTGGACCTTCTTAGGTGCTTGCCATGCTGTCAAATGCCTGCTGCTTATTTTCTTGAAGTAGTCATGATGTGTGTGAGGCTTTTTTGACTTCTCTCATTCCTTTTTCCTGATGCATGTTTTCCCATATACATTTCTCACCTATGCCTGCCTTTGCATTGAAGTTACCAAATACCAAAGTATATATTGATTTGACTGGGGGACAGGGAAACTTGTTGAATTCTATTAGAATTTCTGCACCATGTATAAGACACTGGTGCATAAACTGCAGTTATTTTTTTTGTGGTAGTCTTTTTGCAAAAACTTATATAACATGCAGTAAGATGACAACATGTCCCATGAAGTGATGTCTTACTGTCTTTGGATGCAGAATAAAACCAGCTTGTCTAGTTTCCTTAAGTGCTTTTCTAAGGAGAACCTATGAGCCATTCTCCCATTTAATTACAACTTCTGGTTTTGTTTACAGTGAGAATATGAAGATTGATATGTTTAGTTCCTCCAGTAATCTGTACACTTGGTCATTAGGTTATATTCTCTCATTTAGAGTAGCAACAGCCAAGTTACAAATGGTCCAAAAACTGTGATTCTGGATCCTCCCCCCCTTTTCACTATCTGCTATCATCACCAAAGAATGGAAGGGATGAGGACAATCTAAAATGAATGTGTTTGTGTGGTGTGTGTGTGTGTGGTTTGCCATGGCCAATCAATTTCTTGCCAGTCATCAACAATCATTTATGAAATGCTTACTATGTCCTAATACTGGATTAAGTGCTATGGATATATTGAAAGTCAAAAAACAGTTCTTGCTCTCAAGAAACTGACATTCTAATGGAGGAGACAACATGTAACAACATTTAGGTATATAATATATACAGGGAATATGAAGGGAATCTCAAGGCAGAAGTCAACAACAATTGGGAGTACCAAGAAAGGCTTCCTACAGATGTCTTGATGGAAGCCAGGGAAGGGAAGAAGCCAGTGTGAAGGGGCAGAGCCTTACAGGCATGGGGGTCAGCTAGGGAAAGGAATCCAGCCTCTTAGTGATAAACACCTTCAGTATTTAGCTACCAGGCTGGTCCTTGGAAAGCAGATGCAATCTGTTGCTAGGACCATACTTGAAGCCTTCCCAATGTGGCAGAATCTGCCAAAACTTTGGAGAACCCAGGGTCATGACCCCCATGCCATAATGGGGTGTCACAATAGGACTTTTTGGTGAGTGAGCTGTTATTATAAAAATTGTATTTTCCCAGCAACCTTTTCTGAAAAGCACAAAAACACTTTTGCTCCCAGCACTATACATATCTTATATAGTATTATGGCACTCTACAGTCTTACTGTTGACCTGAATTAATTTACAACATTGTTCCCCCATATCTGGAATGTACTCCCTCCTCATATGAGACTTTCTGAATCCTTTCATCCAAATTCAGCTCAGGCACTGCTCCTTCTGTGTCTTGCCTGACTTCCCGAATTGAATATGCTGTCTTTCATCAAGTGGTCCCAGAACATTTTGGACTTCTCTTTTACCTTCATCCCATTCTATCTTGTATTATTCTTCTCTGCATACTTGGCATATCCAGCCTTCTACTGGAGACTCTTAAGGTCCTTGCATGGACCTTATCATCTATTTGGCTTTCTATATCTTTGTATCTGCAGGGCCTACCACAGTGCCTTGTGCACTTAATGTCTGTGTAATTTAATTATGGAGGACAGAGATTAGCTTTAACAAAATGTCACTCCTAAACCAGTGTTCTACAAGTTGAGAACATTATTTGGCCTGAGATGAGGCAGTAAATGGATGTTATCATGCCATTTTTTTGAAAATTTAAATCCAAAAAAATTTATAGCAAGTTTCTCTGAGATATATATATATATGTGTGTATATATATACACATACATATATGGAGAACTGAGTCAAATTTATAAGAATACCAGTTATTCCCCAGTTGATGAATGGTCAAAGTGATATGAACAGGCAGTTTTTAGAAGAAGAAATCAAAGCTATATATAGTCATATGAAAAAAGGTTCTAAATCACTATTGATTAGAGAAATACAAATTAAAACAACTCTGAGATAGTACCTCACACATTGGTTAATATGCCAGAAAAGGAAAATGACAAATGTTGGAGGGGTTGTAGAAAAATTGGGACACTAATTACTGTTGGTGGTGTTGTGAACTGATCCAATCAATCTGGAGAGCAATTTGGAACTATACGTGAAGGGCTATAAAGCCATGCACGCTATACACTTTGATCCAGCAATACCACTACGAGGTCTCTATCCCAAAGAGATTTTAAACAAAGGAAAGGGACCCATAAGTAAAAAAAATATATATATTTTTAGCAGCTCTTTTTTGTAATGGCAAAGAATTGGAAATTGAAGGGATGTCCATTAACTGGGAAATGGCTGAATAAGTTATGGTATATGATTGTGATGGAATACTATTGTGCTATAAGAAATGATGAGGATTGTTTCAGAAAAGCCTGAAGAGACATGAACAGATGCAAAGAGAAGTGAGGAGATCCAGGAGAACATTGGATATGGTAACAGCAACATTGTACAATGATCACTTTGTCAATGACTCAGCTATTCTGAGCAATACAGTGATCCAAGACAGTTCCCAAGGACTCATGATGAAAAATGCTATCCATTTCCATAGAAGGAACTGATGGAGTCTGAATGTAGTTTGAAGCATACTTTTTTTAAACTTTAGTTTTCTTTTTTTTTGTCTGTTTTCTTTTGCAACATGGCTAATATAGAAATATGTTTTGCATGACTTCATGTTATTCACTATAGTTCAGTTGTTTTTCAGTTGTGCCCGATTCTTCACGTCCCATGTGTCCCATTTGGGGTTTTCTTGGCAAAGATACCAGAGTGGTTTGCCATTTCCTTCTCTAGATCATTTTACAGATGAGGAAACTGAGGCAAACAGGGTTGAGTGACTTGCCCAGGGTCACTCAAGTACTAAGTGTGAGGCACCAGATTTGAACTCAGGAAGATGAGTCTTCCTGACTCCAGCCCCAGTGCCATCTAGTGCCCATGTGTACAATCTATATCAAATTGCTTGCCTTCTTAAGGAGGGTAGAGGAGGGAAGGAGGGAGATAATGTGGAACTCAAAATCTTTAAAAATGAATGTTTAAATTTTTTTTTACATGTAACAGAAAATTAAAAAAAAAATTATCCTTTCTCACAGGAAGACCTGAGTTCAAATCCAGCTTCAGACAGTTACTAGCTGTATGACCCTGGGTACTTAACCCTGTTAGCCTCAGTTTCCTCATCTGTAAAACGAGCTGGAGAAAGGAGGGACAAACCACTCCAATATCTTTACCAAGAAAACCCCAAATGGGGTCATGAAAAGTTGGACACAACTGAACAACAACAAAAATGATGGCTATTTGGTCCTTAGAACATTTTGGTATGTCATATTAAATAAGAATAATTGATATTAAAAAGGTTAACAAAAACAGTATTGTTCAGAAGCAAAACAGGACTTTATTAAAGAAAAACGGAGGACATTAGAGGTGGCTTACTTCCCTAGAGAAACAACTGTATTTAAAAGACAAATGTAGTGTGATGAGAAAAATATATTTCCTGAATGGAGAGGAAAGCAGTGTTTGTCAAAAATACAAAATGATGGCTCATCAAATGGAAATGACTTCCTTGGTTGTCCTCAAGCACAATTTGTTGTAGGAATTGGATTTGCCTAGGAATACTAAGGGCAGCTTGAGTTAATGTAGAGTCAGTTGATTGTGACAGCAGATTCGACTTTCAAATGATCCTTGTGTTCGCTTAGTTGGGAAAATGAAGAAGTTCCTCATGAAGGTACTTGAGAAAAGTCCTATGATGCAAACCGTCACTTTGAGGGCAAAGACACAAACACTGGAGACGAGAATGTTGTGAAAAAGAATTGAGGAAAGACCAAAAAGCAAAACACCTCAAAATGCCACACTGACATTTTTTGGATCAAGCCCCAAGATTCTTATAGAGAAGTCGCTTCCTCATCCTGCCTTCTCCACCTTGAATTTGAAGTTCTCAGAAAAATTCCAACATTAGGGTAAGATTACAAATTGGATCCTTTTTGCTTTACTAACCCCAGCCCGGTAGCTCTCAAGTGAGAGAAGTGTCGGCAGCTTTTCGGTTTCAGTTTGTTTGAGCAGAAGCAGGCTTTCTGTTTCCTTCATAACTTGCCTTGTGAACGTTTGTATGTGAACTGAAGCATTCCTACCGAGGCCATCCTTTGCCGGGCTGTCAATAAGAGAGTCTTAATTCTGAGAAGTTATACAGAATCTGCCTGTGATACAGAGTCTTACTTTTGAGAAGTCAAAGATTTTCAAGGAATTCGTTGTCCTTTTGGGATTTTTTTTGGATATCACTGGAGATTTGAAGCCATGTTTTCTTTTTGCATTAATTTCCCCCCTTTTTCCAAGTAGACTGTGCTGATCTGTCTTAGTCAGTCTAGGCCTTCTAGGAAGTTTCCATTTTTTTTCCTTCCTTTTCCTTTCTACAGGATTCTGAGGGATCTTAGGGGTCAGAGAGATAGTTTTACCCAGCAGCATGAACATAGAAGTTACATTTGGAATCCAGCACAGGGACCTGATAGAAAGGCACAAATAATTGTCCTTCAGCCTCATTCCTTGTTTTCACTGCGGCTGCCCCATCCCCCATATAATACCGAGGCCCCTTCCAAATCTGCCTTTTTGTGGGGGTGAGGAGAGCTTTATCTTGATTGAGGAGGAGATCCTAGCCTTCATACTTGAGACCACATGCATTCTTACGGCCATATAAGGCTTCCCTTTCCCCCCTCCTTTCCTAGTTCATAGACTACTCTTGGACACCTCAAAGACTAATCAGATTTGGGCATCTTAACTTTCTTTGTCACCTGGACACAATTTTATCAGAGCATTTAGAACCAGAAAAGGCCTTAGAATCGACATAGTCCTAGCCTAACCTGATCATTTTCTAGAGGAATGAATTGAGACCCAGTGAGGTAAAGTGGTATCAGACCCCAGATCCCCAAAATGCAAATACAGTACTCTTTCCATTGACTATGCTGTCTCATACACAGTATCCATGTTTCTCGAAAACAAGATTCCAGATTCTTTAGATTTCAGCAGATTTCTAAAGTCCCCAGAGATTAGGACAGAAATGAAATTAGCTCTGCTAAGGAGGAGCTCCATTTGATGCACAATCAGGCTTTCATATTGTGATAAAGTTGGATAAATTCACATTAGCCAATTGAAAAATTGTATTTATTAGTGCTCATCTTCTTATGAGGAGCTACTATTTAATTTTTCGCAGAGTCTTATGGCTAAGAGTGAGGTTGCTGGACAGAGCATAGAAAAGAATGCTGCTGCTGACTGCTCCCTTCCCTGCTTGGATTCTTAAAATGAGGATGGATGGGAGTGGGGCAAGGGGGGTGGCTCCAGCAACTGACTGAGAGGCCAACCCAATCTTTTAAGATCTTGGCAATATCAATCAACCCGCTGAAAATGCCTGAATTATTAAGAGTTGCCCATATGAAACCACAGCCAACTGTTGGGTATTACTGGTAACTAGTGGGTTGAACAGTATCACATCATACAGTTATGTACTACTGGACAAAAGGGATAAGCTACTGGGAAAGGGATGAATAACTTATTGCTGAGAGCCTTTGGGTGGCACACCATCCCAACCATGGATGTGTAGTGTCAATCTCCAGGAAAAGGACAAATCTCCATGGTGTAACTAAGGCAGTCATCTGGATAAAAAATGTCTGCTGTCCCCAAGCCTGTGTTGTAACCCTTTCAGTGGAAGTAGCAAGGAGGGCTGTAAGAAGAGAAGGTTGGGGTTAGGGTTCAAGTCATACTTGCATAGTTTATTTTCCCCTATCCAGAACACTGGGGTTTGGGGCAGCACTGGGGGAAGGGGAGGTGACCATGCCTTCTAAATTCAAGGCAATGAATGTATAGAACTCATGAAGATAATAGAGGAACCTCATGAACTGTTAGTTTTGTTACCTGATGCAACAAAAGCCTAAGGCCTTTGGTGCTGCATTTTGGGTTACTTTAAATGAGAAAGGAACCTAAGGTCAAATTGACTGATAGCTATGAAAAAAAACTTCTTGGAGGAAAATTTCAGACATGACAAAGACACTGGGGGTCTGGGAGGGAGGGCCCCAAATACCATTTTCTTTAATAACTCATATAGCAATATAGGATTATTTTAATTTTCTTGAAATTATCAAGGATTTTGAAGCATATGACATTTCGATTTAATACTTGAACATATTAAAGGATATGGGTTTAAGATGATTGAAATATTAGTGCCATGCTAAATATGCTAATATTTAGACATTCCAAATAAGAAAGGGCTTCTGGAATAAAGTCATTACCACAGAACCAATGGAAGTTAACACTCACTTTGTTGTTATATTCTTAAACTCCAGGACCCAGGTGCTCCATGAGCCCGGTTTTCCATCTCTGTTACTGGAAGACAAAGGCTTCCTACAGCAAATTAAAAAAAAATTAAAGGGAACTTCTGTAGGACTGGTCTCCCCCTGGAAACAAATGTTATGGGTCCACTTGATATAAACTATGCAGAGGGACACAAAAAGCAAAGATTCTTATTCCCATTTACTGTTGAGAAAACTGAAGCACCTAGAGGAAAAGTGATTTGTTCAACATTGACTAACTTGGTCAAGGAGCCCAAATTTGCAACAAGGGATAGATGACCCCCAAGGTTAGCCTCACTGCTGCCTTTCTGCTTATGGTATACACCCTCGATGGTTTATATGGGACAATACAGTTAGCTCAAGCAAACTAATTCCATATGTATATGAGGTTTTGGAGAGTGACAATAACTATGCTCAAATCCCAGTCTCTTGGATTCTTGATTCTGGAGTTGAGTGAATTTGTGTAGCAAGTCCCAGGATAGGGAGAAGCCTTTTGAACACAGGTTCTAAAGAATCTGGAAGCAAAGTCATCACAAAATAACTGTAATTTATTGGCTGTCATACAGAAAATAGTGACTCTTCCCCCACAGGACAGAATTTTTTTTTTTAACATTTTACTCAACTGTCAGTAATTTAATTTGCCTCATTGAGATTTCTGGTTTCATTTTTACCTCCTGTCTATTTGTGACTAGGAGTATTCTAACATAGTAATAATGCCTGATGCTGCAAGTACTGTCTCCCTCCTGTCACACATAGACATTTTCCTGATCCACCGTTCAGTTTCCTGTCATCTTTGTTAAGCCTCTGGTTAGCATCACATGTTCAGCATCACAAGCTCAGCTCAGATGGTGCCCACTGTGGTTTTCCCTGTCTCACATGGATGATATTTGCATTACTGGATGATGCAGGAAAATCTCGAGTCTTGGATGCTGTGGGTTGCAATCCAGTATAATGATTATTAACCAGCAGAGATAGTAATTAGTACCCAGTATATTAACATATGTAATTTATTATCTCATAAAATAAAAGGATATTGTTAAATAATGGTGGTAATTCATTTCTTCTATATTATTTTTAAAAACACTTTCACATACATCATCAAAATTGACCCTCCTAACCAGGTAGGTAGGGCAGATATTCTTCTCCTCTTAAAGATAAGGATGCTGAGAGGTAGTTAACATAGCTGCTTTGTGGTACAGTGGTGACAGAAGCCTTTGTCTCCTGCCATAGCACTCTCTCCACTATGTCATTGGTATTAGTCCCATACAAATTTGGGCTGGTAGCCACTGCTAAGATCTAGAACAATATTTGGAATATTTTTTCACCTGACTAGAAGCTAAATCACACTGGCTCTCTGGGAGCTAGCTAGCACAGGGTCACATACATGGTAGACACAATAAATGTTTGTTAAATGGAATGAAGTAGAATTATTTGGGTTATCCATGGGCAGTAATTACTACTACTATAGCATGCAAGTTTAATCATTTCACATATCTCTGCAGTACCTGGGTGTTATAGTAGATGATGAACTTTTTGATGGTATCCACTTGCCTGGGTGGAGTTGAAGAGAGGAGACAGACTTGATTAACATGGAGAAACCAAACAAACCAAAACTTTGCATTGTCTCTTCTATAAAATGCAGTGCACCATATGCTCCTGGATCCTCTGGACTATGCTTGTGATGGGTGAGAAATTAAGATTCTTCCAATGATGAACATAATAATAGGTTGAAAGAAAAATATTTTATCCTTAAACCTATCCTTTTAAAAGACATTTACTCCTTGCCACAGCACTTGTTATACAGTGCTAGACATATAGTAGATATTCAATACTAAACAACCATTTATTATTCACTCATTCATTTATTATTATTCATTTATTATTTGCATATGGTATATATTAGGCAACCAGTGCCTCGAATACTGTTTTGCATAGGGGGCAGCTAGATGGTGCAGTGGATAAAGCTCCTGTCTTGGAGTCAGGAGGATCTGAGTTCAAATTTGGCCTCAGACACTTGACCTGCTATATGACCCTGGGCAAGTCACTTAACCCCTATTGCCTCACCAAAAAGTAAAAAATATATATATATATGAATATATATTATAAATATAAATAAATTATATATTAATTATATAAAATATATATAAAGTAAATTAAAAATAATAAATATTCAGTATGCAAAGCAGTATGCTAGGCACTGGTTGGGGGAATTAGGGGAAAAGGAATAAAACAATCATTAAGAAATAGTTGCTGTCCTTAGGGAGGTTACAGTGAATGTCATTCCAGGACTCTAGGCTCTGGTCACTTTTTACATTACAAAGTAAGTACTCAGTTTTTTAGTCTGAAGATTAGCAACTGGGCTCATATATCTACATGTTCCATCTTAGTATACGGAGGGGAGAATTGAGCACATTAATAATTTGGTATCATGGAACCATTTTATTTCCTATATTTGTAGGGAGAACTGACAAACTGGCACCTTCCAATGGGTGCCTGCTTCAGTGAGGCATGGGCCCTAGTGAAGAATGTCAGTGTATCTCCAACACAAATACCCTTAGCACTATTAGGCACTGCAATATTCCAGGGTTGGAGGGGGAGGAGAAAGAAGCTTTTAAACTGGTATAATACCTTTACTTAGTTATCTTCTCCAAGATTCCTTGGGAACTATCTCCTCACTGCGACAAACCATAGTCATCATTGAGTTTAGAACTAGAAGGAGCCTTAGAGATCTGGCTCAACTCTTCATTTTAGAGATGAAACAGATCCAGAAAAGTGAAGTGACTTGTCTTTGGTCACATGGTGAGAAAGAAAACAGAGGCAGAATTAAAACCCAGGCCTTAGCACTTACAGTGGATATTTCTACGTGAGTAGCCTCTCTCCCAATTGTATCTGATGTGAAATGTCAAAATGATACTTCCTTTCATTGTAGATGAGTTACATGTGCTTATATGTAAAAGTAAGGATACTTGAAAATATCAGCCTATAGGAGACAGTAATGCTGTAGCCTGGGGCTGAGATGATTCAGGGCATTAAGGATGAACCTAACCAAGAGATGACTAAAATAATAAGCTGGAGAAAGAGAAATTTTGTAAGCATTTCTAGCCAAGGGAACTAGAAAATGACTTAGCCAACACAAACTGACTGAATATGATCTAATTTGTGGGTCTGGGAAAGAGATTTCTGGTCAGAGAAGCCAGGGATTAAGATGCAGCCGGGCCAGATGGCTGTGGAGAAAATAATTTTGACCTGAACTTGGGAGTTTACTCAGAAAGGACCTTGTTTTCCTTAAAAACCAAGAGTTGAAATTTTGAAAAGCTAAGAGGAAAGAAGCCAGACTCAGTGTTAAGCACTGCATCAGCCTGGACTCTTAATTGTTCTGTGTGGGTTGTCTATCTAATTTTGTTTGTGTGTTTGATCTCAAGAACCGAGCACTGCAGTGGTTTCTGTATGACAGCTATTGGAGAATATAGGTTCTGAGGGGCACAGTATTGCCACAGAATTCCAGGCTCTTAAGAGTCATAAAAGACCTCAACTCGTTTAGACATCTGTCTAGTCCAGGGATGGGGAACCTTCAGCCTCGAGGCCAGACTTCCCCTGGATTTGTTCTGTGAAGTTTGGAGTCAGTCAAAGGGCCTTACTTGAGGAACTGGAGTGCCACGTGTGGCCTTGAGGCTGCAGGTCACCCAGTCCTGGTCTAGCCTGATGTTTTCCAAACTGACAGCTGATGCTCCACATGCTATGGATAGGAGTTCATGAAAAAACCGATGCTAGTCACATTTTCCTTCTAAAAATACTAAATATGCAATTAGGTGCCTCTCAAAAGAGGCAGAGGAGGAAGAGTCTGGGGCCTGGTTGGCCCACTGTACAAGACTGGCCACCCGGGAGAAGAGAGGCAAGAAGGAAACATAAGCCTGAGGAAAGTGAGCGGGGCTGGTCCAGGCTGACATCCTGAGCAGTAAAGGCGATAGCCGAAGTAGACGCAGAGAGCCAGGGCTGAGTATGTTCACGTGTCCTTGCCAGCCAAGGTTGACTTTTGTGGGGAAGGGGATATGAGAGGAGAGCTGTAGGAAGTCATGGAGATTGGGGCCCAAGCTGCTCTTTACTTCCTCTTGCCCCCCAAACAGCCAATGCTGCTTCTACCTTCATTTCAGGGTCACTCTGCAGAGAGGGAGACCTGTGTTGTGGGAGGTTATGCTTCACCTCTGCTTCTCACTTTAACCCAACCCTTTGCCCTCTCTTTCCCTTTTTTTTTTTGCAAGGTAATTGGGGTTAAGTGACTTGCCCAGAGTCACACAGCTAGTGAGTGTTATGTGTCTGAGGTCAGATTTGAACTCAGGTCCTCCTGACTCCAAGGCTGGTGCTCTATCCACTCTCTCTTTCCCTCTTGATAAATGAGAGGGACTCCTGACAAGATGAGGCAGTGACAGAGCCTATATGTTTACTGCTTTCTTTCCTGTCACACTTCCCACAAACCTCATTTAGAAAGGATTCCCCCCCAACGGAAACAAAGCGCTCATTAGGTTGGATCTATAGGCCAAAGCATAGCCTAAGTTGTAAATGAATTCCTTTTCTTTCAGATAGACTGGCCAGAAAGGCCCTTGTTTCCAAAAAACAGCAGGTGACTTGGTTAAGAATATTCCATTTCGCAAAATATATAAGGGTCAGTCTATCGAGGGTAACCTATACTCTTTCCCCCCAGTATTTACGAGTATAGTCAATATAGTTCAAACCAAAACATTTTATGTGACTAAATTATTTTGAGCAACACTGAGCTAGTCCAACAGTCTCATTTGACAAACAAGGAAACTGGCACCTGATGTGGTGAGGCCACATAGCCAATTAGGGCCAGAGCTGATCCTTACGGATAAGACCGGCCAAAGAGAGCCAAGGGATTTTAGAAGCTTAGCTTTAGTGCTGGAGAGATCCTTAAAGGTAGTCTAGTCCAACCGAGGCTCAGAGAGCTGAAGCAACTTGTCCATGGTTACACAACTACTTAATAGAAGCAGTAGAATGAGAACCCAGGTCTTCCCGAGTCCCAGTTCCAACAGCCAGTCCATCAGTCCCTTACACCTCTGTTGCCTCTCAAGGACCAAGGCCTGCAGAATGACATCTAAAGAAGAGAATCTCTCATTGTTCCTTAACTGATGACTCAGCATTCCTCCTGTATGTGCTCGGGCATCTTGTTTCTCCCAGTCCTTGTCACTTTGGGGTGTCCGATCCTGGGAGAGAGGACTCCTGGTGTGTGTGAGGGTGCTTAAATACCTGCAACTGTTCCTGATTGACCACTCATCTGTTATTTAGAGTCTGAGAGAGTTGCCCGAGGCAACGGAGAGGTAAAGTAACTTACCCATGGTCACACAACTAGCATATGTCACAGAGGTCCTGAAGCCAAAAGTTGGTCCTTGGTCCACTACGCCACACGTTCTCTCATCCCCATCATGCACATGAAATAATTACCTTGCTGAATCAGACTACAAAAAGCCGCTTGTTTCTGACAGCTCTCTTGGCTCAGCTTCACAAAGAGTGGAGGTGGGTACTGCTTAATTGCTATAGGAGTCTTGCTTCGTTTTGAAGGTGCTGACATGGTGAGTAAGGGCTGATGATGGGGGATGTCCTGCTGCATTAACAGACAGTTTTGGTACCTGTCCATCTTTTCCTTCCACGGATATGCTGCTAAGAAACAAACAGAAATGTCACCTGTACCATCTACTGCTGATCTGGAACAGAGCCCGGTAACATCGAGTTGCTCTTTGTAGTTCAAAGAACAGCCAAGTCGGTTTTGCTCTAAGAGGCATCTCTCACACAAGGCCAACCATTCGTGCACTGGAAACATGTATCCTCTGAGGCAAGAAAACCATAGCCTAGTGGGAGGAGAGAAGCCTGGGAAATTCTCCCGACGCAATGCAAGAGCTTCTCACGTGGTACATTTCTATACTCACAACTCCAACTTTCTGAGCAGACAGTTAAAAGCATTGTGACCTGGGTATTCCAGAGAAAACAGATAGCTAGCAGTACTCCATGATCTAAAACCTTTTTTTATGATAGGCCAACTCCTAATTGGAAAAAGAAAAAGACAAAACCTTTGTTCCTCTAAGAATATATCTAAATAGGATCACTAAATCTAAAGTTCCAGTAAAAGTGAACTTAAAAAAGTATTATTAAGTATGAGATTTAATGATGATATACATGGAGGAAGACATAAGGATACAATTTAGCACTTTTCATTCGCTCATGCATGCATTCGTTCCTGAACGGAGATAAAGCCTGAGGTACAATTTGGTCCTTTTCTCCCTTTTCTCCCTCAGTGAACTTGGAGAAGTTCTTTAACTTCTCTGGGCCTCAGTTTTCTCATCGATAAAGGAGGGAATGAGATCAGAGCTGGGGCATGGATCCCTGTGGCAGTCTGGTGAAGCCTATGGACTTCTTTTCAAAATTGTGTTTGCAAACTCATAAAATAAAATACATAGGACTACAAAGGAACCCAGTTATATTGAAATATAGTTTTCAAAACAGGAAGAAAACAAGTTCATGGACCCCAGGTTAAAAAGCCTTAGACTAGACGATTCCCCCTAGGTTACCTCCTAGCTCTAAATTCCAGGATTCTATCCACCTTAACTTTCACTCTAGCCAGAGTCTTATCCTTAGACTTGATTAGCCTAGTCTTATCTGCTTTAGAGACAGATAGGGGGTGCCACGGTGAATAGTAAGGAAGATCTGAGTTTACATACAGCTTCAGTCACTAGCTGTGTGACCCTGGGCAAGTCACCTAACCTCTGTTTGACTCGGTTTCCTCAGCTGTAAAATGGGGATAATAACAGTACATACCTCATAGAGTTGTTGTGAGGATCGAATGAGAAGATATTTGTTAGAAGTGCTTGGCACAGAATCTGGCTATATAAATGTTTATTCCCTTCCTTTCTCCTTTGCTGAATTCTTAAAATGGAACTGAAAGCTCTTTAGTTTATTCTTAATTTTCAGGCTCTTAGAAGTCAAAATATTTGCAGGCTGCTTTCCACAGCTAGAAGCAGCTAATTTATCTTGACTGATCTGGTAGAGTTAATGAGAGATTTTTTTTTTCAGCTCCTATTTGGGTAAACTAGAAGATTTCTGGGCTAATAATATAATAGTAACAGTGATGATTATTACTAAATGTTGTTTTTCAGGCAATCCGACTCTCTGTGACCCCATTTGGGGTTTTCTTGGCAAAGATTCTGGATTGGTTTGCCATTTCCTTTTCCAGCTCATTTTATAGATGAGGAAACTGAGTTAAGCGACTTGCTCAGGGTCACACAACTAGCAAGTGTCTGAGGCCAAATTTGAACTGGTCTTCCTTACTTGTAGGCCCTGAATTCTATGCACTGTGGCACCCTCTCGCTGCTTCTCTAAAGCAGAGAAGAGCATTCTAATCAAGAATAGGGGTAAGACTGACTTGATGAAGGTTAAGATGGAGAGAATTAGAGAATTTAGAACTAGAAGCTGGGGGATCATCTAGCACTCTCTCCACTGTTCCACCTAGCTGCCCTCAACAACAACAACAAAGAAGATTTTTTGAACCAATAATAATAATGATAAAAAACCAGTTATTTGTTATGAGAAATTTCAGAAAAAACAATAAAAACTATGTAGTATATTACTACAGGCGGCAAACATTTTAGCAGCTACTGAATATCTAGAAAGACATGTTCTAGTGACTAGACTTAGACATCAGAAGCTCACTAGCTTTCATAAACTAACAGATGACAAATTCCCACATGACAAATACTAATCTCAAATTACCTTTGAGAATTCAACAAAGGAACCACATTAGAGCATTATTACTGGCAAAACTGTTTCCCATATTTGCCCAGACAAAATGTTGACCCATAAAAATTAAGAATAATATTTTTAATGGATGTTGCCATACCAAGTACTCAGTCTCCAAACAACATGGAATGAAAAGTTCTCAAAGTATAAAGATCTAATCGGAGAAAGCAAATCCATGTTGGAACAGGATGAAGTACATGTCTCTGGTGTCTTCGGGACTACTAGAGTTGTTTCCAAGATCTTTCAGTGAGCCTACAGAAGATGAGTTTACCTCCCAATACTTTTATTCAATTAGGAAAATCAATCATTTTATCCACCTTCACTATAGTCTACTCACTAATCAGTAAGCATCAAAAAATAAGTTGATAATTAATAAGTTGATAAGTTGATGGTCCTGTGACCATTTCTATCTGAATGCCATTGAATAAGATTAAAAAAAAATAGTAACTCTTTCCTGTGGCCAAAATATAAAATATAAAGAAAGAAATGACAGTCTTAGACAGTCCTAGATGACAGTCTTAGAGGGTACCCCTTTCTAGAGCATGTTCTCTTATGACTCCTTTTGCCTCATCACAAAGAAGCCAATTTTTTTTCCCTTTTTAAAGAAAAGAGAAACAGATGGCATCTTCCCTGAAAGGTTCTGTGGTGTGGCTTGGCATGGCCATCCAATGATCCTTCAGCAAGTCTAGCCCAGCTTCCTTTCCATTTTGACAAACTGATCTAAAACAAAGTTCCTTAGGCCTGGTAGAATCAGGGAGCAAAGAAGTCTCGAAAGAAGTCTCACTGCTCTTTCTCTGACAGTGGTCGGGGGTCTCCACCCTCTGGTCCAAAAGCTGAAAGTCTCTTCCAGTAGTTGGATGGCCACCCACCTCTAACCACTAGCCAACGACTCAGCAGTAGGGGAGGAGAGGGAAAGAGGGAGAGAGACAGACAGAGACAGAGACAGAGATTGAGCAAGAAGAATGAGGCAAAGAATTATATAATGCTCAACAGATGTGGTAGGAAAGGAAGGCAAACTAAATTTGGAGGAACCTGCATAGGTCAGTGATAATTTCTTACCCTGATTTTGGTGGTATTGTAATTATGTATTTTTGTACTTGGAATACTTGAGAAGATATGCCCAACTGAAAATAGTTTAATCTTTTCAATAGGAATATTATGCAGTAGGTAAAATACCAGTTTAAATAAACAGAAAATTACAAATTTATGGTGTTACCAAACCAAAGACAGCTACTAGGTTAGAGAATGAATAAGCAGAATGTAGAATTTTAATTGAGTCATAAATGCAATTACATTATTTTCCAGCATAACAGAAGCAAGGTTAAAAATTGAATAGTACATGAGTTGCTTACTCTATCTAGAGTTCTACCTTGCTTTAAGTAAACCTGTACAGGATAACCTGATCTATGAAAAAGAGGAACTCAGGAAGGGGGTAATTATTAACTAGACAGGAGGACTCACCTCGAGATTCTTTAAGTAGCATACTTTCTAAATACATACAGCTTGTTACACAAAACTTTGATTTACACACTATTTTGAGGGAACAATTTATTACATAAAGCAAGGTAGACTTCTATTAGAGTTCAGTGCAAATGCATTTCAATTCCCAAGAAGTAAATTTTTGTGTACGTCATGGTCACATTTAGTTTGATGGAAAATAATCCATAAGATATAATCCTGGGAAATATACAGGTGGATAAAAAAAATGTTAAACGAGTGCATGGTCAATACAGAATGAGTCCAATGTAATACAGAAGCATAATTCCTCCCAGGTTACATGATGCATCCAAAACCAAACCACTATGTCTCCCAGGGTGTCATCGGTAATGCAGAGCAGCATTGTCCCGAGGATATATGTGTATGTGAAAGGAAGTCTGGGACAGAGAGAAGACTTGATGTGTCTTGTTTGTAGGGTATCTGCCCTTAGACCTGGTGTGCTTCATACCTGAAGTTACACTGCTGGTTGGGCCCTGCCTCCGAGGATCTGGAATTTTAAAACCCGGTTTCTTGCTCTGTATAAACAAAATATTGAAAATTTAATTCACTTTCCATTGAAGTCCCTCCCTGTCTTACAGGTTCAACTCAGGTGCCACTTTCTCCCTAATTGAAAGTTAGCTTTCCCTCCCAGATTTCTCTTTTGCACTGTGACTGAACTTCTCTTTCCCAAGATCCCTTGCTCTTTTTTGAATCACAGGTATCTGTGCTCTTATTCGTCTCCTCATTAGATTGTGAATTCCCTGACAGCAAATCCTTTGTCTGTCTTTGGATCTCCAGAGCCTAGCATAGTCTCTCACAATTCGTAGGTTTTTAATTGATGACTGCTCAATTAAACTCAAATAAATGTAGCAACTTCTAATGTTACAGCTAGGGCTGGGAAGGGTTAACATCTAGTTACTGGGAAGCATTTGTATTTTTTTCAAGTATCTATTATTGAATATACTTTGTAACATGTCTTAAGCCTTATGATTCCTGGACAAAAGGTACATCAAGAGTTGGCCACTGGACCCTTCCAGAGATAAATGTAAAGTCCTGGGTAGAATCACATTCACAAGGATGAGGGAAGCCAGGCCTGAGGCAATGGTATTTAAACACAGACTGTCTTGAAAAAGAAGAGAAGAGGAAGAATTTTCATCTGTGGAAAGAAAGAGGTGAACCCTTATCTTTTCAACTGAGCTCCCCTTAAAGCTTTTAATAATAAGGCCCAAATATCTCTTGGGCTTTCATAGTAACTAAGAATGCCAGGAAAAAACAGTTAGATGAAGACAATATTTTTGCAACAGCACGGACCCATTCTGTAGCTCCTCAGAGCACTGGAGTGTTGCTGACATTCACAGAATCCACAAAGTTTGCAAAGTACTTCATTTACTGGGCCTCACACGATTTGACCTTCCCAGCAGCCCTCCGGAGGGAGGTGCTGCGGATTTTATGATCCTGTAGCAGGCAGGGTGGTGCAGTGGAAGGACAGCTATATTTGGACTCAGAGGACTTGGGTTAAAATCCTAGCACTTACTGACAAGGCACTTAACTTTTCTTCAGTGAAATTTTCTTCAGTTTCATCAAATGTAAAATATGGAGGCCGGACTAGATGATCTCAAAGGTCATTTCTATGAGCTTGTAATTCCCCATTTTACAGATGAGGAAACTGAGGCTGAGAGATGTTCAGTGACTTCCCATAGATAATAAATGTCAGCAATGGGATTCAAACTCAGGTCTCTGCTGGCTCCAAGCCCAGAATTCTCCCTGCTATAACACGCTCACCTCTAAAAGGTGTGGCATTTCATAGCTGAATTTTGGGCAATACTTCAAGAATCTCTCCAATGACAGACCAGAACCTGTCTGTCTCTTTACAAGCCATCTTCATGGGTTGCTATAGCCCCCCAAAATCTGTCCCTTCCTGGTCAGCTTTCTGGTGATGCACCTCCCCATACTTAGGAAGGCTGGTCTTTGCATCGGCCATGGTCCAGGCATGGTCCAGTCCATTCTTGCTACTCTAACTAGAGCCTCTGCAGCATGGCAGAACTTACCAAGGCATGTGCTTGGCTGACTTAGCCTTTGGAAACCCAGGCTCACCTCCCCAGCAGGCTGAGAAATCAGAGTATGGCTGTTGTTAATGTGTATGTGAAAAGGACCATCTCCACTGGGCTATGTTATGAACAGCATGGGCTGCTGGTCTCGTGGAGAAATGTTTTAGCCCAAATCTTACCTCATTAAACTTTGAGTTCTCATTTTTCACCTGGGCCTCTGGACCTTTGAAGAAGATGGGCTGTTTTTTCAGCATGGTGGTAAATTCTGCTTTTTCCTAGTACAATTGATTGGAAAGAGCATGTTTTTAATTCACCTAAAACACACGCACAAATTCCTATCTCTGATATTTGAACCTCTGCAATTTTGGTCATTGAAAAGTGAGATGAAAGAAGGCTGCAATAAGCCTTAGAGGCTCTGAGCCTGTGGAAGGAATGCCCACATTCCCCAGCCCCAGCCTTTATCAGAACAGTGTCCCTGGGGACCTAGCCTAGGGCCAAAGGCAAACTTGCCACACCCTGGGCCCAGTGCAGGCAGAAGTGAAGGAGGTGTCAAGGGGCTCTGGCTGAAATCTGATTCAGAGGTGCCAGGAGAATCTCTTAGCCATGAAAGGGCTTCTAGGCCCAATAAAGTCATCCCCAGAAGTCTACAGATGAGTTCTGATTCCAGGATTGATTCTGTTTTTTTTTTTTTTAAATGCAAGGAAACCCCTTTATCCAAGTTGATAGCAAAATACAGAAATTGGAGAAAGCATCTATGTGAGAATAAGTATACCAGGCACTCCAGAGCGAAGGAACTCTCCCTTTGGGAGTGAGAGCTGAACTCAACCAGGAGACAGAATCTGGGCTCTCGTCCAAGGGACAGCTTCCTCAAGTCTTTGCTGGTGCAGTTAGCTGTGGAAGGACTGGGATGGGATTCTGAACTGTACTTCCCCGTAGTCCCCTTGCCTACTCTTTCCTTGCAACTGTGAAACTAGATGGCTGGAAGGAAGGGCCCCATCTACATTTTTCTTACTTGGCTATCTTCTGTTAACTTCAACTCCTGGATAAACCTGTTTTTCTGATGCACCTCATTTCTTTGCTTTCTGGTTTCCAGTGGTTTCTTTTTCTTCTTTGGTTTCTTCTTCTGTTCAAGCTATTCCAGAAAAAAAAGAGAGAAAATCTTCAAACATTTATGATGACCCACTGCAACAGGGCATGAAATACCTTTTCCTCACTCTGACAACACAAGTGTATGAGTCAACAGAAGAAATATCAAAAGGATGTTGAGGAAATATTGTTCTGATGGTTTTGCTAAAGCGCATGTTCTTTTCTTCTTAAAAAACGTAAATAGCTTTATGTGGTTTTGTTTCTCTTTTGTTTGTATTTGTTGAGTCTAAAGTTTATAATGTTTTTCTTTATTCTAAACAGAAATTATCAACAAAAAATACAAGGAAATTCAAATTGAAATACACAAGGAAAAATTTTAAAAGTATTGAACATGAAACTATGAACTTCATTATTTAGAGATTGTTTTAAAAAAAATTAGCGTAATAAAATTAGTGTCAACTAAATTTTTTTTTTTTTTGGTGAGGCAATTGGGCTTAAGTGATTTGCCTAGAGTTACACAGCTAGTGAGTATTATGTGTCTCAGACCAGATTTGAACTCAGGTCCTCCTGACTCCAGGGCCAGTGCTGTGCCACTGTGCCACCTAGCTGCCCCCTCAACTAATTTTTAAAATCTTTTTGTTATAAATTTAACATTGAACAGTAATTTAACTAAACTTGCCTAATAACTAAATTAATTTCAATATACAAAGTATAACAATTTAGTGCTTTAAGATTCTACCAGGATTCTTTGTACATTCTTTGTCATTTCTTTTTCTTCAGTCAGGTCACAGTTAGTGTTTACTATTTTTGGGTTGGTTTTTTGGTTTTGTCCTATTCCATTAGGGGCTTTCCAGATTTTTAAAAATTTTTCATTCTTATTGGTCTTAATTGCATTATGGTATTCCATTACATGAATGTACCACAATCTATTTAACCATTCTTCTATTGGTGGATATTTATGTTGCTTCTACTTTTTTGGAACTAAATTAAAATAATTATTTTTAAAGAAGAGTCAGTTCTTTTTAATAACAACAAATGATGAATTGGCTCAGAAGAACACAGAATAACACTGGTCATTACTCCTTGGAGTACTTCAGGCAATGCTCTCATAGCCTGAAATGCCAATGGCTCTAACTAGTGTCCATTTAGCCCTTATATTTAGCACTGTGGATCACTTTCAAGTGATACTAGAGGTTACAATACAGAAATAATTGTTGTTGTTGTTGCTGAATCATTTCAGTCATATCCGACTCTTTGTGACCCCATTTTGGGGTTTTCTTGGCAAAGATCCTGCAGTGGTTTGCCATTTCCTTTCCCAGCTCATTTTATAGATGAGGAAAATGAAGCAAACAGGGTTGAGTGACTTGCCTAGGGTCACACAGCTAGTTAGTGTCTGAGGCCAGATTTGAACTCAGGAAGATGAGTCTTCCTGACTCTAGTTCTGACACTCCATTCACCGTTCGATCTAGCTGCCTTTAATATAGAAATAAACTCTATGTTAGGCCACATCAGTGCCTGGGCAGGCAAATGAGCTGCATAGCTAAAAGAGTACATTAGTTTGGTACTATAAGACTGTCCTAATAGCATGTGAAACACAAGACTAGCGTTTCTGGGTCTCTATGATAAGGTGTGGCTATACTGATGAGTTGCAGTAAATTTAGCAAAACAAATCTTTAGCTTTTGTCTAATTTAATAGACAAAGTAGATAGAGTGCCAGGCCTGGAGTCAGGAAGACCTGAGTTCAAATCCAGCTTCAGATGCTTACTAGCCTTGACCCTGGGCAAGTCACTTCATCCTGTTTGCCTCAGTTTCCTCGTCTATAAAATGAGCTGGAGAAGGAAATAGCAAACCACTCCATTATCTCTGCCAAGAAAACCCCAAATGGGGTCATGAAGAGTCAGATACAACTGAAAAATGACCAAACAACAAAAATTAAATTCCTGGAAAAAATTTTGGAAGGTTGTATTAAAGGGATGGCTACTGAATCTCTGGAAAAGGAGGCAGTGATGCCAATGAGCCACGTCAGACTAAAACTCATTTTTTTTTTTGAGTCACTAGACTTAGATAGTGTGGTATGCTAGCAAAGTTTGGTGAATGTTAGAATTCAGAGCTACTTTTGCAGCCAGGGAAACCTGTGTTCAAGCCTTGCCTCTGACATACACTAGCTGGGTGACCCTGGGCAGGTCACTTCACCCATCAGTGCTCTGGACAACTTTCAGAAACAAAGTTACAGAGAAGCCTCCAACTTGGGTTGGAAGAAGGCATTTCCTCTGCCAGGAATTTCCAGTATTGTCACAGATTCCCTCCCTATTCCTAATAGATCAGCAGATCAGAAGAAGACTGAAGATACAATTTACCAAGATATTAACATAAAATTTGAAAAAAATTTCTGATGCTTTTCTTGGGAATATCAAGAGTTAGATGATAATACTGTTTGGTCGATTCGGAGCTAGTCAGCAATCATGCCCAGAGTCATTATTGGTTTGATGTCAATTTAGAAAAGGTCTCTAGTGGAGTGCCCTAGAGATCTGTGTTTGACTGTGGGTGGATTCCTAACAGTGAATTACAGAGCTGAGACCCAAAAAGATCTTGACAGGTTAGGATGCTGGCTAAATCTGTTGTTATTCAGTCATGTCCAACTCTGTGACCTCATGGACCACAGCATGCCAGGCCCTTTTAATCCTTTTATTTCTCTCAGAGTCTGTCCAAATTAATGTTTGTCATTTCCATGACATTATCCATCTATCTCAAACTCTACGATCCCCTTTTCCTTTTGCCTTAAATCTTTCCCAACATGAGGGTCTTTTCCAATGAGTCCTGCCTTCTCATTATGTGGCCAAAGTATTTAAACTCCAGCTTCAGTATTCAACCTTCCAGTGAATAGTCTGAATTGCTTTCTTTAAGTATTGACTGATTTGATTTCTTTGCTGTCCGAGACACTCTCAAAAGTCTTCTCCAGCGCCACAATTCAAAAGCATCGAGGTGCTCAGTTTTCCTTATAGTCCTACTCTCACAGCCATACATTGATACTGGAAAAACCATAGTTTTGACTTTATAGACCTTTGTTGGCAAGATGATATCTCTGTCTTTTAGTATGCTGTCCAGATTTGTCATAGCTTTCCTTTCAAAGAGCAAGTGTCTTTTAATTTCATGGCTGCAGTTGCCATCTGCAGTGATCTTTGAGCCCAAGAATATAAAATCTGACATAACTTTCATTTCTTCTCCCTGTCTTTGCCAGGACGTGATGGGACCAGTTGCCAAGATCTTCAGTGTTTTGATGTTAAGCTTCAAGCCAGCTTTTACACTCTCCTTTTTCATCCTCATCAAGAGGCTTCTTAATTCCTTTTTACTTTCTGGCTTCAGAGTGGTATCATCCGCATATCCAAGATTGTTGGTATTTCTCCTTGCAACCTTAATTCTGGCTTTTGATTCATCCAGCCTGGCATTTCACATGATGTATTTTGAATGTAAGTTAAATAAATAAGGCATATTCATATACCTTATTTATGTACACAGCCTTGTCGTACTCCTTTTCCAATCTTAAACCAACCAGTTGTTCCACGTTTGGTTTAACTGGTGTCTCTTGACCTGAATACAGGCTCCTTAACAGACAAGTAAGATGGTCTGTCTGGTATTCGCATCTCTTTGAGGAATTGATACACTTTGTTGTGATCCACATAGTCAAAGGCTTTAGTGTAGTCAACGAAGCAGAAGCAGATGTTTTTCTGGAACTTCCTTGCTTTTTCCATAATCCAGTGAATGCTGGCAATTTGGTCTCTAGTTCCTTTGCTTCTTTGAAAACTAGTCTTCTCTTCTGGTAATTCTCATATTGTTCACATATTGCTGGAGTCTAGCTTGCAGAATTTTAAGCATAACCTTGTTGGCATATAAAATGAGTGTAGTTGTTCAACAATTTGTTTTTGTTCTTGTTTTGCTTTTTGGTGAGGCAATCAGGGTTAAGTGACTTGCCTAAGGTCACACAGCTAGTAAGTGTCAGAGGCCAGATTTGAACTCAGGTCCTCCTGACTCCAAGGCCAGAGCTCTATCCACTACGCCACTTAGCTGCTCATTGTTCAGCAATCTGAACATTCCTTGGCATTGTCCTTCTTTAGAATCGGAACATAAACTGATCTTTTCCAATCCAGTGGCCACTGTGGAGTTTTCCAAATTTGCTGGTATACTGAGTTCAGCACTTCAACAGCATCATCTTTTAGGGATTTAAATAGCTCATCACCTCCACTAGCCTTAATTTTATCAATGCTTCCTAAGATCCACTTGACTTTGTTCTCCAGGATGTCTGACTCTAGATCAGTAACCACACCATCCATGATGTTAAGATCTTTCGTGTATAGTTCTTTTATGTATTCTTGCCACTTCAATCTCTTCTGCTTTTCCTAAGTCCTTACCATTTCTGTCTTTTATCATACCCATTTTTGCATGAAACATTATCTTGTTATCTCTAATTTTTTTGAAGAGATCTCATCTTTCTCATTTTATTGTTTTCTTCTATTTCTTTGTATTGCTCATATAAGAAAACCTTATCTCCCCTTGCTATTTTCTGGAATTCTGCATTCAGTTGGGGATATCTTTCCCTTTCTCCTTTCCCTTTTTCTTTCCTTCTTTCCTCAGCTATTTGTAAAGCCTCATTAGACAGTCATTTTGCTTTCTTGCTCTTCTTTTTCTTTGGGACTCTTTGTTGCTGCCTCTTGTACAATATTGTGAACCTCTGTCCATAGTTCTTTAGGTACTCTACTAGATCTAATCCCTTAAATCTATCCTTCACTTCCACTTCATAATTATAAAGGATGTGATTTAGATCATTCCTATATAGTCTAATAGTTTCCCCACTTTCTTCAATTTCAGTCTGAATTTTGCAATAAGAAGCTCATGATCTGAGCCACAGTCAACTCCAGGTCTTGTTTTAACTGACTGTATAGACTTCTCCATCTTTGGCTGAAAAGCATATAATCAATCTGATTTTGATATTGGCCCTCTGGGGATGTCCATGTGTAGAGTCACCTTTAGGGTTGTTGAAAAAGAGCGTTTGCTATGACCAGCGAGTTATTTTGACAAAACGCTACTGGTCTCTGCCCTGTTCCATTTTGTACTCCAAGGCCAAATTTGCCTGTTTTTCCACCATCTTTTGATTTCCTACTTCAGCGTTCCAATCCCCTATGATGAATGTGACATCTTTTTTGGGGTGTTATTTCTAAATGTTGTAGATCTTCATAGAACTGATCAACACTGGCCTCTTTGGCATCAGTGGTTGGAGCACAGACTTGTATTACTGTGATCTAGAATGATCTGTCTTGGATTTGAACAGATAGTATTCTGTCATTTTGAGATTGAGTACTGCTTTTCTCATCCTTTTATTGATGATGAGAGCTACTCCATTTCTTCTAAGGGATTCTTGCCCACAGTAGTATATGTAATGATCATTCTCAGCCATTTAGGTTCACTGACACCCAAGATATTGATATTTAATCTTTCCATCTCCTGTTTGACCACAACCACCTTACCTTGGTCCATAGATCTTATATTCCAGGTCTCTTTGCAGTATTGACTTTTTTTTTTTTTTTTGGAGGGGGGAGCCAATAGGGTTAAGTGACTTGTCCAGGGTCACACAGCTAGTAAGTGTCTGAGGCCGGATCTGAACTGCGGTCCTCCTGACTTCAGGGCCAGTGCTCTATCCACTGCGCCACCTAGCTGCCCCTGTAGTATTGATCTTTACAGTATCAAACTTTCCTTTCCTCACGAGAAGCCTCTGCAGCCAAGCTTCCTTTCAGCTTCGGCCCCGCCACTTCATTAGTACTGGAGCTACTTGCAGCTGTCCTCTGCTCTTCTCTAGTAGCATGCTGGACATCTTCTGACCGGAAGGGCTTGTCTTCCGACATCATCTCTTTTATCATTTTAGTGCTATCCATAGGGTTTTCTTGGCAAATTTACTAGAGTGGTTTGTCATTTCCTTCTCCAGTGAATCACCTTTTGTCAGAACTCTCCACTATGACCTATCCATCTTGGGTAACCCTGCCTAGCTCATAGTTTTAGCTCTTCCACCATGACAAGGCAATGATCCAGGAGGGGAACCAAATCTACTAAGATTCAATTCAGTAGTGTGGAGAGCAGAGAATGCTAAAGCAAATCCATTTTGTTTACAGTTCCTCTATCTCACCCCTGACCCTGGTTTGTATGGCAACCCTACACCCCCTGTGACCTTTCTTACTGCTGAAACAAGAACAGCCCTATCTATTAAGGCAGGGTTACAAGAGATAGCTAACCTGAAGAAGAGTCTTTTCTGCTACTAACCCAGCAACAGGCCTGAACAGTGATGGGACAACACATCCCCTATTCCTACCGTCTAGCTCCCAGCAACAAGCCATGTCCAGACTTAAGGTAACCCATACCCAATTTACCTCTTGCCTAAACTAACACCTACGTAAGCTTTGTCCTTTTGTTCCTCTGGTGAGTCTCTGCCCTGTGGGTGGGGTTCCCTTGCTGGGGAACTCAACAAACCTTCATTAGTTCCTAAATTTATGTTTGTTTTTTGTTTTTTTGTTTTTTTGGTTTTTTTTGCTAGACAATGGGGTTAAGTGACTTGCCCAGGGTCACACAGCTAATTAAGTGTCAAGTGTCTGCGGCTGAATTTGAACTGAGGTCCTCCTGACTCCAGGGCTGGTGCTGTCTCCACTGCACCACCTAGCTACCCCCAGGATCTCATCTTTAAATAAGAAGCTTTCTAAGGTCCTCTATAGCCCTAAATCTTGACATTTAGATCAGAATAAAAGGCAGAACAGCACTATAGAAAAAATACTGGATTTGGAGTCAGGCAACCTAGATTTGAATACCACCAACTCAATTGACTTGAGCAAGTAATTCACATTTATGCAGTGTTAACCAAAAGTAGTGTCTGGCAAACTCTACAGACCCCTTCTCAGAATAATAAATATATATGTTTTAGACTGTGTAAGTTGGAGATAATCACCAAAGGGAAGGTGCTAACATTAGGGGGACTGGGAAAGGCTTCTTGTATAAAGTGGGGTTTTATCTGGACCTTGTAGGAAAGCCAGGAGGGAAGGCGGGCATTCTAGGCAGAGGGGACAATAGTCAGTGAAAACGCTCATTCCACTTTTGGAAAGTCTTGGTTTTTAGGAAGTTTTTCCTAAAACGTGATATGCAGGCCTGCATTATCAATTTGTGTATATGTGGTATTTGTGGTTCTTATAAAACAGATGATAATTGCCACATTCTTTTTGTCTAGTGCTTTATCGCTTAACAAAGCTCAAGCAGAATCAGGTTCTGCTTGGCCCCAGAAGGCAGATGTAGGCCGACACAGCAAAATACCTATTCACGATGCATACCATCCCAGACTGTGATGGGCCAGCTGGTCACTGATCAGGTGTATGGTAGAGGGGATGCTTCAGCAGGAACAGGTTGGAATAGGAGGCCGTGGAAGATCTTTTCTGCTCTGACCTGTGATCAGGTTGGGCTCTACAGTGATGCCTTTAAAGGAATACTTGAAACATCTAATGCTGCAATGCTAAGTATCCTTAGTACATAAACTATAAAACTATTCTGTTGTTCCTAAATTTCATTCTCCATGAGGTGAAACATATTACAAACTTTTTAGTTGAAATGAAAATATTAACAAATAAATATTTTTCAAGTCTAATGTCTTCTTCAGACTTTTCCCTCTTTCTTTCAGGCCTAACCTTTTCTTTTAGGCAAGTATGATAAATGTTACTTTAGAATGTTTTATATTACAGACACAGCCAAAGACATGAGGGGATTCTACTGTTTTGGATATCTCTCTTGCTAAATCTTGCCTAAATTTTTTCTTCAGTACGTAAGAAGATTTAAGGAAAGTCTATGAAAAAGCATAACTACTTGAAAAGGCTAAAACCAAACATGTAAAAATAAAGATGGAAAGAGTGAAGATTCTTTAAATTCAGAAATGTATCATTTTTTCATGGCTCATATCACAAAACAGAATTTTTTACTTTCCCTAAAAATGTCTCCATGAGCCCATACAAGATTATTTGGGAGGATGGGGTCTCAGTGAAATGTGCCAATAGCCTGGGTTTGGGGGCAAGGATACCACGTTCTTTACTGAATTTTTCTCGTCCTTAGGGCATGACCCCTTTTGATCTCCCTCTCTCTGAGATGTTGTTCTTTCCTGGCACCCCTCCTACTTGACTGTTCTCCACTCTCCATTTCTTTCCCCTCTGCCCCAGATGTGGATATTCTCCAAAGCTCTGTTATCAGGCCTCTTCTCTTGTTTCTGGCCAGATGACTCACCCTTCCATCTATCCACCTGGTTTTTCTCACTAAGACTCCATCCCTAACTGCCTGCTGGACATTTCCACCTGGATGTAGCATAGGTGTTTAAAATTTAAGAGGTTCCAAGTGAAATTGAATATTCTTCCCAAACCTGCCTCTCTTCCAAAGTTCACCTATTTCTCAATGAATGAAAGGATGGAAATGTTAAGGCTGGAAGTGTCAACTTTGTTTGGTGTTCAGGAAGTCTGTATTCCCATTGTGATGGGTTATGATGGATTCAAATATCGACTCTTGCTGGCCTCCTGAATGTTTAAAAATAAATGGCAAAACAAACTCTCTATGTTCATAAATAAGGGGATTACAATGTCCTCTGTTGTAAGTATTCCTTAGAAACACAAAGGAAAACCAATCCCAAAAGGTTGCCTTCACAGTCCTAGCTCCAGTCTGCAACAGTGACTGATGCTATTAGAGTGGCTCTCTTTCTTGGGTTCAAAGTTCCATCCACATCTCTTTCTTACCTTTTCTGCCATATCCAGTAAATGAACAGGAAGCCCATCTGAGAGGGAGCTGTCGGAACCACTTGTACTGTTTCAGAAAAAATAGCCATGGATGTTATTTACAATCTACCCAGACAGAATGATGCTTGCATATTCTCTACAGCATAACGCATTTACTGTTTGTTGTTACCCTCTACTTTCTATTCCCCCCAAAATACAACTGATAATCGGGACCTCGCAGGCTCACAGACCATAGAGCTGGAAAGGCCCTTAGGAAACACCAGAGCAGAGCAAAGGTGTCAGCTGCTGTGATGCAAAACTTCTCCAATGCTGCCCAAACCAGATTAAAATGTCATCGGGAAAAGTTTTAAAAAATAAAGACAACACAACACAGATGAGGCTAGTTGAATTTTCCAAGGAGAAGTCACCCAGTTGCTAAATCATAGATCCAGGATTCTACTTAAGAGTCTCTGGTTCCAAATGCAAAGCTTTTTCCATTGTGCCATGCCCTTCCAGGCACAGACACCTATGGATGGACAGACCAGAATCTCATGCTGTGAAGATGCCCTATGAAGGCGATGTGTGGTATGGCGTAGTGTACTCAGAGGGGCTTCTGTGGAGGGAACAAGGCCACAGTACAGCAGCATATATGGACCCCAGGGCAGTGAAGCCAGGGGTGGGCCTCCTATGGGCCCTGTATCCCACCCTCACCATCTAGGGACCCTGGAGGTGGCGACTCTATCTATCTGACACAAACCAATCTTGATTATCATTGGATACCTTTCCTACCCTGCCAGGGGGTTCCTAGGGAATCCAGCTTAATCTTCCACTAAGGTTTTTATTCTAGGGTAGCAGCCTAAGAATACTCAGGCTACAGCATCCCCAGGTCCCTACCAGCCCTCCTGTCTAGTGTGTCCTGTGTGAATTCTGTGGCCCCAGGGGGAATGGAATGAAGTGTAGCCACTGACAAGATGATGAAGATGAGGAAGAAAGCTCATCAACAGCAGGAGCATGGCAAGCATTCTTCTAGCAGGGGCTCTGACTGAATCCTGAGGCCTCCTCCCCCCACATCCCATCAAGCCTTGGCTGCTCTATTGTGACCAAATTATATGGTGAAGGTGAGAAAAAGGATCCCTATTGACCTGAAGAAGTCCATTTCTCTTCCTCCCAGATTAAATCTTGGGGAGCACTCCTGAAGATGTATGTCTTTTGAGCTAAATACTGAAAATCATCTTAGGATCTGAAAAATGTGATTTTTAAATAATGCCTTTCGTAAGTTGGGTGGGAGAAGGGGGAGAAGCGGAAGAAGGGCGTGTAGCATTACCATTAATGCTAGCCTGGGAATGGTAGTCTTCTGATAACAGGGGGCCTCAAGGGGTGTAGAACTACATTTCCCAGTAGACTTTGCAGTCTATTCATAATAATATGAATGCCATTTTGGAACCTTGTCTCTAGGTGAGCTCTTTTCACCTGAGTCATTCTCAGGCATTATTCTTCCCCCAAAAGCTGTTTATCCCAGTTGAAAAAAAAGAATGAAAGAAAAAAACATTATGCTTGGAGTCACAGGAGGCCTAGGTTAGAATCCTGCCTCTGATACTGACTAGTTGTGTGACTATGAACAAATCACTTAACTTCTTTGAAACTGTTTCCTCGTCCATAAAACAGGTATCCTAATAACTGTAACACCAACCTCACAGGGTTATTGGAAGGAATAAAGAAGCAAATGTGTATAAAGTGTTTTATAAATCTTGAAGTGCTCCATAATTGTTGTCTTTTATTCTCATTATTGCTGGCCATGGAACAAGAGCAGCAGGGACATGGGTAGCCTGGAACCAGGTTTGACTGGAGAGCTCCCAATGCCACACAAACCCTCTAAAGCGAACAGGAAGCCCTCCCAGGTCCCTGATAATTCCCAAGACAATGTCAGACTGAACGTTTTTGTAATAACATAAGGATGGTGGTGATGATGATAGCTAGTTATGGCTCTTTCCTGTGGCTGAATGTAGGAAAGTGCTATGTAGTTCCAGGTGATTCTTGGTTAAGGTCTTCCCTTCTGGATCCCGGGCGCACACAAACCTCTGCACATCAGCAGAAGAAAACCCTCTCTCCTCTGCTCCTCCATTAAGGAAAAAGTCAAATGCTCTCATTCGTGAGCAAGTCCTCAAAGCTTCTTCCATGGGACAGTTGGGCTGTTTATTCTCATTATAGATTAGAGAAAACATCATTTTAACTTACTAATAATTCTGATTCATATCTGGACCAATCTAAAGCCCTATCACCCCCAATTCTTTCAGGATGTGAATGAGTTAGGATCTGAATATCCCTTCTGGTCATTTCCTTTTTACATCCCCATTATGATTTTTCCTGAACTTTCACATATCCAATCTTCTTGTTTCCTGGGCAGCGACTGGATGGCACTGATGGGGCTACAGATCACTATCTTTAGCACACTTCACCTTTCTAGAGTTGACCTACAAGTTGACCTGACACTCTTCTCACCACAGTCTCGCGTTTCAGGCTATGTTTGGGTTCTTCTCATCTGAAGTGAGGGAACTGAGGCTGAGAGAGATGCCATGTTTGGCCCAGCCTCTTGACCACTAAGTGCTGGAGCTGGAGCTGGAGTCCGGGGCTCTTGATTTTCATACTCTGAGTGCCATCTGCAGCTGCTCATGCTGATCTCGCTTAGTCTCAATGATGGATTCAGGAGATGAGGAATTGAGCTCTTTTTTATTTGTAAAAAGGGGTTGGGACAGATGATGTTCAAAATCCTTCCCAGTTTGATCATTCTAAGTTTCTATGATTCTCCCTTTCAGCTCCTCAGCAAGGCCATATGAGGAACATGGGAGGAAAACCTTTCCAATCACTTTCCTGTTTCACCACTGTCCCCGAGACTTAGCACTCTGATCCCTTAGCTGTTGGCTGGCAGTCTGCATGGCCTCAGTTAATGATTTTCTGAGTGCTTCTAAAAGAGGGAACATGGCAGGTTAACCATTGTGGCTTGTCTCAGAGAAAGCCAAGCCATATACTGCAAGCTCTGCCCCAGCTGGGTTTGCCCCCAGCGGAGCTCTGGAACTTGCACACTTGCACCTGCTTTGCTGAACAGAGAGGGGAGCGTGTGCTCTCCTTTTTGAATAAGCCCATGGAGTAAGCCTTTGGGTAGTGATGGTGGTGGTAGAGGAGGTGGGGGGAGGTTGAGGAAGTTTTATTCCTGATCTACAGGCTGAGGAACTGGGCTAATGAATTCTTAACTAGGCACCTTGGAATTCTCCAATTATCCTTCCCCAATACATTTGAAATGGTTCCTTAGTAGTTTTCTTGTATTCTTAGGTCCCATTTTGACTAAGAGTCAAGGTAATATGATAGAAATATAAATAATTTCTCTTGTTTTTCTCTGGTGATGGAATATATTACCTAGATTCAATGTCAGACAAGGAGATGTTACTCCAATTGCCATCCAAGTCCATTTCTTGTCCAAGTTCTGAGAATTTCTTAGAGATTTCCTCTTTAAGCTCTGTTAAACATTGCACAAACTATGGGACAGAAGGAAACAAGATTGAATGAGATAATAAATGTAAAACTCTGCAAACTTCAAAACACTAAATAAATGCTAGATATTATCATTATTCTCTAGGAGTTGTAAAAAAAAAAGTTGTTTTTGGGAACTTAGAAAAATAGCAATGCTTCAATAAGAACAATGACAAATCCTTTCACAAATTTTTCCTGGAAATAAAGTCATGCTACCATTTTGGACCATGGTTATTTGGATACTTATCAAACCAAGAGTACTTGGGTAGGTAGCTAGAGGGAAAGAAAAAAGTGAAGAGTGGCCATTCCAGATTTCATCAGATGACAAAACTGTCATAACTAATCTTCATTCAATACTTAATTTTGTCAATATTTTTACCAGCACCACTGATATAGATCATACCCCTGCTTAAACAGGTCCAGAGAATCTTCAGGGTTTCTATGGACAAAAAATTCATTCCCTCTGTCTCCTATGTGGCCTTTTTTCATTAGCTAGTATCTTAATTTCACTGCCGTGACTCTCCTGAGTTTGAGGTGCTACTGATGTGTGAATTTATTAAAAAAAATGAAGCTAAGGGATAGATCAAGCCAGTGTTATTATTATGGTTTATACTGCATTTATATGACATTTACAGAAGCAGCTAGGTGGCACAGTAGATAAAGCACTGGTCCCAGAGTCAGGAAGACCTGAGTTAAAAATCTGGTCTCACACTCACTAGCTTTGTGACCCTGGGCAAATCACTTAACCTGTCTACCTTCATATCATCAATGGTAAAATAGAGATAATACAGTTATTCCTTCTACATCATGACTTTCCCCATTGCGGTTTCGATATATCATGGGTTGGCATAAGAAATTAAAGAGGAATTTTTGGGGGAGTTTTGCAGAAGCTGCAAATGACATGCAAAGGTCAGTAGACAACAAAGAGCCTATGACCAAATACTTAACCCAAATTTTACAATAAGGTACTGTAAATAGCCCATAAAAGAAAAATTAAAAATTCAGACTTCTCTGGTATGAAGGGAGGGCCAACAAATTTTACACGGATTTTCCAGATCATGGTGCTGGGAAGGGAGAGGCACAGTGCTCTTGACCCCCACAATGTGGAAGGGATAACTGTAATGGTACCTCCCTCTCAGGGTTGTTGTGAGGATAAACTAGATAATATTTGTAAAGCCCTTAGTATAGTGCTTAGCATGTAATAGATACTTACTAAATGCTTATTCCCTTTCCATTAGCTTATTTTATACTGAAACTACAAGTAAAACTTCCATTTGGAGAACTTTCCTAGGCAGAAGAAATATTTGTATTGAATATCTTTTGTTTGAGGACAATTTTCATGGTTTTATCATATAATGAGGCATTAAGACATCTGAACAAGTAAGTATCTGGACTTCACAAGCAGCTGCTGCTTTCTTGTTTCTTTGGGTAATTAGAGCAATTTATCAGCACATTAATAAAGGACTTTTTTTTGCATTATTTGCATTATTTAGGCATTCTCTGGTACAATTTAAACTTCTCAGATGCAACTAATTTACTTCCAGACATGGTGTACTTCACCCAAACAGTGATGCCATCACCATGTGTCTGCCTGCCATGGCCTTTCAGGCTTGGGGATGGTACTTGGAATGTTTTGAGAGGATGGGGAAAAAGCTGAAAATAAGGAAACAACATGGGCACCCTGAGAAGAGGGGGGCTCAGTCAAAGTTATGTCATGGTAGCCTGAACATGTTGGTGTAGACCAAAGTGGTACTGACATTCTTTAATAGAAACAGCTGGTGGAATCCAAATGGGGTCTTTAATGTAGAAGTCCCATGACTATACCGAGTATACAGCTGTCAGGGATGGGTTGGGAGTCCTGTATTGTGACACTGTGTTGTATTGTCTGGAATGGAAGGTCAGACAATTTCTCTATGATGGCAGCTTTGACCTAGAATTGCTGCCTTTCCCACAAAAGGCAAGATACAGCTGTGTCTTTCTCTCTCTGTATATATGTATATAGTACATATGTACATGTACATGTGTACATATGTATGTGTATACACACATGTCTGCATTGGTTCTGTCATGATCAAATAACTGATTATAATGCTGAACAAGGCTGGATCCAATTCAAATTGCTGCCATTCTGGATCCTTATCCAATATTACAAACTAAGATAGAGAGTTGGATTAGATGATCTTCAAGGTCTCTTCAGGCGCATAAATTCTGTGATTATTTATATCTGATTGTTACAATGAGATCCAAAGTCCTCCCCACCTCCACTCCAGAGGGCGTTTGATTGTAATCTTTCTTCCTTATCTGTTAAGAGTTAATGATTTCTTTGGAGCAGTTACTTGCAGCCTCATATATTTGCTTGTCTCAAGTTCAACAACTTTTCCTTTCTTTTAACTTTTGCACCCTTCCCTGCCCTCTATTCTAAGATAACAGTCAAGCTTTTGTCAAGGTCATTCTCAGGATATTTATTAGCGTCCAAGTTGAGCAGGTTCCTAGCTGAGAACTGCTACTTCTCAATGTCATCAACCAAATTTCATCCTTAAATTATGGGAACCAGCCCATCACAGGTTTTCCCACAAACAGCCCTCTGAGGTCACTGAGAGTCATGACTGTCTATCAAGGATGAGTTACCCCAAAGACCAAATATGAGTGCATAAAAGACTATCTATGTTAGGCATTCATGTCTTGGCTGATTAACATTTGGAGACATTGTCTATGAGCTTGTTTGGCACATAATCTTTAAGACCACTTGAAGAATGAAGGCCTTGCTGAAAAGCTTCCATCAGAAGTAGAATTTTTTGTCTATGTGAACTAGAGAAATATCGCCTCAAATTTCCTTGCTGCCTATGACTTTTCTTTTTACTGTACATGGAGAATGGTATTTTATCAGTGTAGAGAAGGCTAGTGAAGGAACAGAAATTCTTCAGGCTTGGAGGCCTCCTGAACTGGAATGAAATTCCACTGAGGAGGCCTTAGCCAGCATTCTGCTCCTGGTACTGGTTCTTCATCCAAGCTCTGATGAGCTGTAATTCAAATTCTTCAGTGACCCCAACAGAATCTATGTGACCTGTGTGTTTGGTTTTGCCTTCATTTTTTTGTTTTTTTTGCTTTTTGGTGAGGCACTTGGGGTTAAGTGACTTGCTCAGTGTTACATAGCTAGTGTTAAGTGTCTGAGGCTAGACTTGACCTCAGGTACTCCTAACTCCAAGGCCAGAGCTCTATTCACTGCGCCACCTAGCTGCCCCTGCTTTCACTTTTTAAGGGTAACATTTACCATATAACTACTCATTTAGGGAGCATTTGCTGCTAAATGTTAGATAATGGGAAAGAGATACTGGTCACCTCTCTAACTCTTGGAATTAGCTCCATGAACCTGGAACACATCATGACAATAATTTCAATTATGTCGGTTCTTAAATTATAGACATAGAATCCATTGCTGGGCTCATATTTATCCTCTTTCTAGTCTGATTGACAGGGCTTGTATTCCACTGACATAGTCTTTAAGAACCTACAGTTACTTCCACACTAAAAGTGTGGACACTATAAAAAGTAAGACACTATAAAATTCTGAAAACAAAAATCACCCTCTAAGAATGACGAGGTTCCTAAATTATGCCTTTCATACTTTTCGGTTGACTACACCTACATTTGGGAACAGGGAACACTAATGGAAAGAACGCTGGACTTGGAGTCAAAACACCTCGGTTCAAATCTGGTTCCATTGTTTACTACTGGTGTGATCTCTGGGAGTGTCTTTTTCCATCCCTGGGGTTCAGTTTCCTCTTTTATTAACTGAGGGGGTTGAACTTGACCTCTTTGGTCCCTTCCAACTCTAAATTCTAGTGTGCAAATAACAATACAATTATTATTTTCTTTTTCTCTATTTGACAAACATCATTAAACATGATCACCTCTACACATACAGAACAGAAAAAGAGGATTGTGAGTGTAGTTGTGCCCCTATTATGACAGCTTACATTTTTAAACAAGATTAGAATACATTCAACATGTTTCAAAGCTGTCCTGCTTGTCTCTGTTATCTTCCTAACCTCTTGCTCCCTTCTGGACATTTTTTATTTGTACGAGCTCTATCATGGCCCTTTTTCATTCTCTCTTCTTCTTTTTTTAGTATTCCTGTTGCCAATCTCTACTCTCTGAATCCCTACTACTCCTCCTCAACCTGATTTGCAAAAAAATTAAAAAATCCTCTATTACAACAAATAAGCACAATCAAGTAAAACAAGTTTACACAATAGCCGTGTTCCAAAATGTAGCTTTCATTCAGTCCCTTGAGTCCTCAACCTCTCTGTCAGATAGTGGCAACAGGCTTCATCACTGGTTTCCTGGATTAGTGGTTGGTTATTGCATTAGAGTTCCTAATTCTTTCGAAATTATTTTTCTTTATACTGTTGTAGTTATTGTATAAATTGTTCCTCCTGGTATTGCTCACAACATTCTGCATCAATTCATACGAGCCTTCCCAGATTCTCTGAATCCATCTGCAATAATATTCCATCATATTTACATACTATAATTTGTTCAGCCATTCCCCAATTGATAGGCATCCCCTCAGTTTCTACTTTTTGGTGTAACAAAGATTGCTACTATAAATATTTTGTACATATATTTTTTCCATCTTTCCTTAATCTCTTTGGGGTGTAGTGGTGGTACTGTTGGATCAAAGGGGATGCACAGTTCCCTGATTTTTGGAGTTTACCTCCAGATCAGCTAGGCCAGTTCATAGTTCCATCAACATCATACAGCTTGATGGTATAAAATATGCAACAGTATTACATAGCTATTATTTTCATATAACAATACTGTAAATCTCCACTAAAATCTTCCTTGGATGCCTTGACATGGTGTGGAAGTAACTCTGGTTCCTCAACACCTGTACCAGAAGGCTACAAGATCCATTAGGGCCTTTGCTGGTAAAAAGGCTTTTTTCTACAGGCTTGGCAACAGATATATCTCAAGGGCGAGCCCTGCAGTGCCCCGAGCCTGCCTGCTGAGAGGTGAATGGGCAAGAGGATTGATAATGAAGAAATCACCTCTGGGTGAAAACTGACCATCTGCCATCAGTGTCTCCCCTTCCTTTCCTCTCACTCCCTTCCTGACTGTCTGTAGACTGGCTTTTGAGCTCATCTTTCAACTGAAACTGTTCCCTCTAAAGTCACCAATGATCTCTTAGCTTCCAAATCCAATGGCCTTTTCTCAGTCCTCATCTTGCTTGTCCTCTCTGTTGACCTCTCTATCGACCTCTGTCGACGCTAGAGGTCACTCTCTTCTCTCCAGGTTTTTGTGACACCGCTCTGTCATGGTACTCCTGTCTCCTTAGCTGGATTTTTATCTAGATCACAGTCACTTGATCATTAGTGTCCCCAAGGCTCTGTCCTGGATCCTCTTCTCTTCTCCCTCTATACTTCATTGAGTGAAGTTTCAACAGCTCCCCTTGATTCAGGAATCTTCTCTATGCTAATGATCCTCAAATCTACATATCTAGCCCTAACCTCTCTGCTGACCTCTTAAATCCTTGTTAATGGAAAACATTTAAATTTATTTATATATATTATATATTACATAAAATATAAAATACATATAATACAGCAATTAACTTGCCATTCAGGATCCTCTAGTGTCAGGCTCCAACATATACACACATACATATACATATAACATAATACACACATATATAATATAAATACATACATACAAACATATAGGACAATTATTTTGGGAATGATGTAATAGATTGGAGAAGAGAGAAATTAGAGCAAGGGATACATAGTCCAGCTGAGGGGGAATTCTATGAGCATGATCAGAGGGTCCTAAGATTTACAGCTGCAAGGGACCTTACAGGTCATGTAATCCAGCTTCCTCATTTTTCAAATAGGAAAATCCCCATGAGGTGATGGAGTTTACCTGAGGTCATACAGGTCGTAAACAGCAGAAGCAGCGTTTGAATAAGGATGAGGCCATGAGGTGCAGAAAGAAGAGGGATCGATATAGAATCTGTGATCGGAGCAGAACTGCCAGGACTGGATGTGGGGAGGGTGACACAAAGAGGTGATGCGTCTGAGCTTTCTCAGCAATGGGGAGAAAGTGGCCATCATCAACAAAAATAGGGAGATTCAGGGGTACAGGTTTAGGGGGCAGATGATGGGATTAGTTTTGGACATGGTGAACTTGAGATGTTAGAAGAGCACTCGCAATGCAGTTGGAGACGTTCTTGCAGGCACAATGCAGGACTGGAGAGAAGAATCTGAAGCTGCCTCTACAGCCATGATATCTGAAGCATTGGGAAGGGCTGGGAGAGAGTGGAGGGCCACAGACAGCCTTGGGGCACCTCTACCCATGATGGCAGAAGAAAGAAGAACTAGGGAAGGAGACTGAGGCAGAGCAGCACCCTGCAATCTAGGAAACTCAATGCAAAAAATGAAATTTCCTAGTAACATATAATTCATAAAGTAGGGTGTGTATTACCTAAACACTTTGGATTATGCAATTTTCAGGTCTTCTTGGCCTATCTACTATCCTGATCTGACATATGGTGAGCTGTGAAAAGTTGCCAGATTGAAGGGTGGGGCTCCATCACGTGGGAGGCAGCCTTGGGAATTTTTTGTTTTTCTTGCTCAAGAAATGGTAAGTAGCCATAGGCAACAGGGAAAAACCTGGAGCAAGGAAAGAAATAGCTCACTTGGCATTGCTCTCTGCAATAGAAAAGCTGTTCATAGGGACATAATCGTCCTTGAAGTGGGAGAAGGGTGGAGATCAGTGTGATGGGGACTCGTCCAGAGTGAAATAGCATTGAATTTCCCCTGGTATACTTCATCTTTTAATTACTCAGAGTGATGATAATCATTAAAATTTACACAGAATTATGATTTTTAATTGCAATTTCTTGAGTTTCCTATCTCCCCTACTCCTCCCTCAACAACTCAGGTAAGACAGGAAACAATGTTAAGTAAACAATGACCTTACAGATCACTGGCCTTAGAGTAAGAGGCCTGAGACAGAATCCTGCCTCTATTAATTATCACCAATATGAGGAGTCCTTTCTCCTCTCTGAGTTTCAGTTTCCTCATCTGTAAAATAAAAAAGTTGGACTGAAAGACCTGGATCCCAGGATTTTGCTCATTTCCACCTCTAGGGTTTTTCTCATCAAGATTTCCCTGCCTGAAGCACCCTCTCCTTCCCAACTGACTCAACCCTGTTTGCCCTTTCAGCTCCAGGGGATCAGAGAGAAACAGAAAGAGACAGAGAGAAAAGTTTACTGACTTTTTTTTCTATCACTACCACTTCCCAATATTTGCCCTAGAATCACCAGGATCCTCCCCTTTTGACACAAGAGTGGCCTCTTTTCACGTATATGGCCCACCTACCACTTGTTTGTGGAGAGGCAAGAGGAAGGCTTCACCATCAGTCCTTTGAAAGGAAGACTGGACACAGCACTGACCAGAGTTCTGATGTCCTTCAATGTTGTCTCCACTATGTGATCGCAGTCATTGTAGAAATTGTTCTCTCAGATCTGTTTCAGTCATTCTGTCTCAATTCATACGAGTCTCCCAAAATTTCTCTGAATTCTTCATAACTGTCTTCTTGCAGTACAATAATATTCCATCATCATCATCATAGGCTACAATTTGTTCAGCCATTCCCCAACAGATGGCAGCCATTTTGTTTCAAGTTTTTGCTTCTAAAATAGTACTGCTAACAGTATTTCTGAGATCTTTCATTTTGCTTTTGAGCAACTTGGGAGATATATACACACATATACGCATGCATATATGTATGTACATGTGCAAGTACATACATAACACATATATGTGTATATGATATATAATGTATATGTGTATATGTACATATTTACTTGTATTACTCCACAGTTCTATGCTTGATAAGCTAATTAAAATGTACTCGTAAGGGAGGTGAAATAACACACATTATCAAAACTGTTATTAAGTGCCTAGTATATGCCCAGCACTGTGCTCAGTGCTGGAGGAGGTACAAAGTTGAGACATGATATGACTCCTGCCCTCAGTGAACTTAAAGTAATAAGTAATCAGGGGATACAAAAACAACATGGAAACTCTCTCCACTTTAACATCATTGGGTCTGAGTCTCTTGTCACACTCTGAGAATATATTCGGAATCATTTGGTGATTCAATGTCTGGGATCAGTTTAGAATTAAACTTTCTTGGTGCCCAAGCCTGTATTGGGGGTCCTGGACTTGGCTGTCTCCAAAATGGGGCAGTGAAGAGGAGTGGAGATCTTTGAGTCGTGGGAACAGAAAGCAGCTCTACTGAACATTCTCGCTGCTCATCAAGGCCTTTACATTTAGAACTAGAATACTCTCTTTTTGACTCTGTATTGAATAAAAAGAGCTTTTTACCTTAGTGCGGTCAGGATCGCAGAAATCAAGAAGTGTGTCACAGACATGATAACCAAGGGATTTTAGGTCCTCAGTATTAAAATGAGTATCCCTTTTCCTGCCTGGGGGAAAACATGAACATCCGTGATCAGAAGTTAATTTTTTGCTGAATCAAGGTGATACAGAAATAATCCAGTAACTGCTCTTTGAAAATACCATTTTCCATAGTTCTCCTACCACCTGTCTAACCACTCCTTCTCAGTCTCTTTTGCTAACTCATCATCCAGAACAGTAGTGTTAAAATCAAATAAAAACAGGAGCCACTAATCCATACATAAAGATCCCCGGGGGCTACATAATGACTTAGTTTTAAAAGTCTGTGTTTTGTTGTGTTTTTTATTCATCTTGTTAAATATTTCTCAATTCCATGTTAATCTGTATCATGTCCCCTAAGTGTGGCTGTTGTTTCCCTACGTTCTGTCCAAGGCCCCTCACTCTTCTTCACTAACTCCATATCAGTCTCCAGCTGATCTCCAGGGGATCTCATGAGTTTCATTATCATCTCTATGCCAACCACTCCCAAATCATTAAATCCAAATCTAGTATCTCTCCCGAGTTTTAATCCTACGTTACTAATTGCCTAGTAGACATTTCAAACTGGACTTCCTTAGAACATCTTTTAAAATAAAAATACCACCCCTAAGTAAAAAATATCATGTTTTCTTAAAAATACAGTATTTCTTTCTCTTTGGGTCAGGCCAAGTATCTCCTAAAATAAGAAGCCTCTGTTTCATTGTTATTATGAGTATTAGTTCAAGTCACAGGTAGATGGCAAAGCATTTCTTTAGGATAAAGTAATGTAACAACATTGAAAATGTGCATGTCTTTACAAAGTCTTTGGCTTGGCCTGCCCTTATAATGTTGGGGGACTGCTGTCCAAAGGAGTTCTTACCTAATGTTGACCCTCCAAAGGTCGACTCCATAGTATAGCTGTTCAGGATTCCCATGCGCCACATCACAACCCGTCCAGTTCCTTCTTTGCACTTGTGGACTTTAAAATTACAGCTCCGAAAGGAGAACTAAAGAGAAATCCGACTCCTCAGTTAGTAGACATCTAAATGTCAAGCACACTCAACAACAGTTGTTTTGTTTTTCCATTTTCAATTCTGACTTCCTTATGGCAATATAGACCCTTCTACGATGTTACAAAGATTTTTTTACCTCATCAGAGATTTGTCATTACTTTCTCTACTTTGACTGTGTGACACCCTTTCCCCAAAAAGCAAGCTCTTTACTATCATTTGACACTCTCCTTGGGCCCCAATGTGTCTCTCCCAAGGCATCTGCCACCATTCCCTCACATGGCCTCACTGCCCAGCCCCTCTGGCCTACTCAATCCACCCGGGAGGGTGTCTTGTGCATGGCCACCATTTTGAATGACTTCTGTCCTTTCCCCCCAATCCAATGCCATTCCTCCCTCAAGGTCCAGCTCAACTCCAACCCCTTCAATGTCAGTGTTCCTGACTATATCAGCTTTTGAGGAGACCTTGTCTATAAGCCATTCTATAGGATTAATGTTTTATATAATTAATTTTCTGTATCCCTGGAGTTGCTTAGCAAAGTGTTTTGAACTGTACATAGAGTCATAGAATTTTAACATTTTACAACATGAAGGCACCACAGAAATCTAGTCCTGTACAGAATCATAGAATCTGAGGGACCAAAGCAGGCACCTAATCCAATCCATACACAGAAAAAAAATCTCCACTATAAAATATGAGACAAGTGGACATTTAGCCTCTCCTTGAAGACTTCAAAGAGGGGAAATTTGTCCCACCTTGAAGCAAGCCATTCCTCCTTAGGATGGTCTGGATCGGCTGAAAGGTTTCACTGACATCGGGTCTGAATATGCCTCCTGTAATATCTAACCATTGCCCCTGGTTCTGCCCTCTGAGGCAAAAAAAGGAACAAATCTCACCCCTCCTCCAGTGAGTCCCTGCCAGTTTCACAGGTGAGGACAACAGGCACTCCATAAGTTTCACAGTGGTTGGCCATGTTCCACTAGTTCATGTGATGAGATCATTTTCTATAGGAGGTCTATACCACTCAAAGACATCTTTTATTCTAACCTGTTACTTGTCAAAGATTCTAGCTATTCCTTTAACTAACACAGTCAACAGCCCCTCTAGAGCCCTCAGTAAGTGGCCTCCATGAGATGTTGGGATCAAAGATAGTAGGAACAAGCCTCTCGATGTCAGTCTGGCTGGCTCTTGGGTGAGATACGAATCTATTGCCAGGCCTATTTTTTAGACCTTTTCAGCCTGCTAGGACCTGCCCACACTTGTGGTTCAACTGTGAGGCTTTCTAGGGGGTCACCTGACTAGGAGGAAACGTCAGATTAGGTATTCAGTAGAGACTCAACCAACTGTTTCCTTTTCATCCGACATATATAGTAAAGATCCCCTTATAGGTTCTATAAATTGGATTTTCACTTTCAAATTATACATTTTACCTGTCTGTATCTCCCTCAGCTACAGAGTTGTTTCTAAAGAGAACTATACATGTTTTATTATCTGAAGCCTCTCTTTTCAGTCCCTCAGTGACCTTTTCATTATTTGCGAGCTTGAGGCAGGTATGAGGGTGTTTCAGATCATATAACCTTATGAATTTATTGGCTTATCTATCATGTGATCCCTTCTTCTGGTGCCACACAGAGGGTAGGCATAAGTTAGAGCTCCTCACCTACAAAAAGTGTAAGCATTTGGCCCAGGAGAAGTGGCGACTGTGATTCTTGGAACCTCACTTGGAAACACTCTTCTAGCCCCAAAGAAGTTTTTGCTGGGACTTACACTTCTAGGAGGCCAGTCCATGAAACACAGAAGCAACAATGTCAAAAACTCCACGGAGGAAATGGAGCTTTCTTATCATAGGACTTAACGCTGGAAGGCCCTTAGAGATTGCAGGAAGGCATCTCCCCTGCTTACCTTGTCTGGGGCATTTTTGCTCAGCATTAACGGGAAGACGCGCTCGTGCAGCCACTGTCTGCGGTTGGTGCTGTTACAGCCGTACAGGAAGATGTTGTTCTTTCGACTGTGCCCATGGAAATCACAGTAGAGCAGGACCTCCCGCTCTTCAAGGACTCTATGGAATCAAGGCCTTGTCAGACACAGGTCCTTGAGCTCTATCCCCTTTAATCATTATATTATATTATATTATATTACATTAGAACGTGTTGTCTGCCCACCTCCATTAGGTTCCTTGAGGTCAGGGGTTGTGGCATCTCCAATTCAGCACACTCAGTTCCTAGGGAATGCCTTGCCCATTGTAGCCACTTGATAAATAATTGCTGAGTTAAACTGGTGTCACTGATCACCTCCCTCACCTTCCCAGAAACCATCAATGACTCACATGAATGAATCAATGAAAAAAGATTTAGAGAGCACTTACTATGTGCTAGGTACCATGCTAAGGGCTACTTATGCCACTCCACAAAGAGAGGCGGTTCCTACCTTGACAGGGCTCCCAGTCTAATTAGGGGAGGCACATGGAGGAGAGCTGTGGCTAGGGAAGGAAGTACTGGCCTAGGGTGTCACAGAGATGGTGAAGGGATTCATGTGACAGGCCCTTTTCAGAAGTAATGATATTAACCTGAAGTCCTATGCTCTGAGCTAGAGGCGGAAAGAAGATGAGAGGTGGGGTGGAGTGCGGAAGGATGCAGATTAAACGTATCAATAACACAAAACTGAAAAAGCATTTAATGTGTGCAAAATATGGTGCTAGGTGCTAGGGGAAGATAGTAAAAAGTGAGGTAAGACAAAGTTCCTGTTCTCATGGAATCTACAATCTAGTCAAGAGTTATGATAGTCACAGATAACTGCAGTATAAAAGAATACATACTAAGCACATTAGGGAGATGCAAAATCAAGTGCTGCATGTAGGCTGGGCCCAATGATGATGATGACAAACAAGGCAAACACACCTGCTAACTATCCCTGGTCCTCAGCTGCTCATGCCCACCCCTGAAGCCCACTCCCACGTCCTGCTCCCTCCATCTGAAATGCTCACCTGCTTGGTGCCAATGTGTCCTTTCCGTCCTCCCAAGCTCTGTTCGCTCACAGCCTCCACAAACCCTGGGCAGGCTAACTAGGCTGCCCACCCTGAGGAGCACTACATTTCCTCCAACCCTTGTCTACAGATACAGTAGTGGGTGTTTAAAGGGTCTGCAGAACGTGCTCATGGGCATTTTCATTTCATTTGGTCTTGTCTCTGCTTGATCAGACACCCTAAGGGGAGGGCCTTATGGGTATCACTTCCTTGGCAAAACCAGAATTGCCCTGTATGGTCTGAAGTGAGTACAGCTCAGTCCATCGCCAGTGCTGGTGGCTATCAGGGCATAATACGGGATCTACCGGCAGCATTTCAATGAAGCTGGATTTCTTTTATCAACCAATGGGATCATTTCTACAAATGGGTTACAGAGCGTACTGAGAGACTGACAAAGGGCACCTGTCTTCCTCACCTCTTGATCATGTTCCTGGTGTGCCAAATGCAGGGGAAAGACTCTTTCAGAATGGTCTTGTAATGCCTATTCAGGTCCCTGCCTGCCAAGGAACAGCGATAATTCCCCACAATCACACCATCTGGATTTAGCATGGGAACCACCTTAAAAATGAAGATGTCTCTGAGGAGATGGGCATCAGGGGAGTCTCCGAGGATAAAGTCTAGGAATCCTTTCATCATCCAGGAGCCATTGCTCTCTCCAGGGTGGACTCTGGCACTCAGAATGACTGCTTTCTTTGCAGCGGCCATTTCCGAGTTCTTAGATGGGTTGGTGATGGTGAGCAGATAGACAGTATTGCCTGCAAGGCTTCTGCACAGAGTTCTGAGCTTGCAGAACTGAGACTGGATGGGATTGTTGGCTACTGTCAGCAAGTAATACTGCAAATCCGTGTACGTGTAAGGGTAGAAGTGAGCGAAGTAGCAGGTGTCCTGGTCATGTGGAAACTGGACTGTCCACGTGAGGCAGTAGAAGGTGGGCTGTCCCTCCTCTGCGCCCTTCCTGTAATACTTGATCTCATCCCCCGCTCGCCTCCAGCCAATGCTCTGGGTACGGGCATCCACCTCCGAGTAGAGAAGAGGCTTCATCCCTGTGGTGTAAAGGCTCTTGGGTTTTAGCAGATTGACGATGGTGAAACGATATGTGATTTCTTTTCTGGTGTTCTGGACTCGGAAATAAAACCACTGTGTGTGCTTGCTGGTATAGAGATCGGTTCGCAGAGTGAGTTCATACTCATAGGTGTCTCTGCAAGGGAGAAAACCAAGAAAGGTCAAGCTCTAAGGAGGTTAAGTGACTTACCAATGGTTACACATCTAGGAAGTGTCAGGCGTGAGATCTGAACCCAGGTTTTCCTCACTCTCAGTCCTATTTTCTACTTACTAGTATACTATTCCATCCATTGCCCTGAGGGCAGGGACTGTCTTTGTTTTACTTGTTTTTTGTATCCTCAGGGCTTGTCACAATGCCTGGCTCATAGTAGGTGCTTAATAAATGTTTGACTGACTGACTGACTATTGACTGTACCACTCACTCCTCTTGGTCTTCAGGATATTTTCATGTAGGTGTTATAGTAATAGTCTTTTAAAAAAGAAAGTCTTTCCCATAATACTACCTGTTTACATGGTATTTTATATTCAGTATTTCATTTGAAATTTTTAACAGCCCTTTGAGGTCGGTTGTACCTTTATTGTCTCCATTTTACAGATGAAAAAACTGAATGGGGCAGCTAAGTGGCACAGGAGATAGAGCACCAGCTCTGGATTCAGGAGGACCCGAGTTCAAGTCCGGCCTCAGACACATAACACTTACTAGCTGTGTGACCCTGGGCAGTCACTTAACCCAATTGCCTAGCGAAAAAACAAACAAAACAAAACAAAACAAAAAAACAACTGGAGCATAGAAAACTTAAGTGACGTGTCCAAGTAGCGTAGCCTGGCCCCTTTCTCTAAGGGAAGGAGGGAGACCAGGGACAGAAACAGCTAGAAAAGTGATAAATCCTTAAGTAACACTCCAGGCCCAGTTTATCCTTATCTGCCCTGCTCCTGAATGGCAAATTGGAAGTGTCTGGATCTGCTCACTCAAGGCTGGTGGATTTGTAAAAAGCTCCCTTTAGGCTCCCTTTGTCTATCTCAGTATAAAGCTCAAAAGACCCTAAACCCCCTTGGGTCACTCCAAGTAGTTTGAAGTTCTGGTCAAGGCCAGTTTCCTGTGTTGCAGTTATGTGTGTGGCTTCATGTTCATGTCTCGACTCACTGAGCCTCCAGCCTGGATTGATTCACCAAAGTACATGGCAGAGTCGGGATTCAACCCCAGGCCTCCATTTGCTGGAGGCAACATGCAGGGCCCTTTCAACTGCACCATGGTGTCTCCTTTCAAAACAGCTTCATAACTTATGAACAAATCATTTACTTTGAAAATTGAAGACCGGTGTTACATAATTTTGATTTTTAGGGATAACTGAAAGACTTTATTCCTGATTTGCTTCTATCTTTGTGAGGACAGATGGGAAAATGACTACAGCATGTGGAAGACTGGAATTAGAGTACGAAAAACAGTTGCCCCCAGAGGTGGAAATTGAAGTGAGAGAAAAGCCGTGTGCTTGGATGAGGCATGTATCAGTAGCTTGGCGGGGTGGGTAGGGGATGGCAGCTAGAGTAACTTGCAGCTCATTAGCATGCTGCCTTTAGGAAACGTGACAAATAACAGCTTTTCTTTTTATTTCTACCTTTCTTTCCACAGTGAATCCCAAATCTCATCCCACTCTTGGAGACAAGTCTCAGTAGGCAGCTCCTTCAATTACCATCCCCCTCCAGAGATTCCTTTTCATTATTACTCACACTCGGATGGCTTTCTGCAAATTCCCGCTCTCAAACCTCGACTCAAACAGCAGGGTGTCATCGTCTGGTCCTTGCAAACTGACAGAAAGTTGTTTGATCAATCCTCGTTTGCCTCCTATTCTGGAGCTGGTGAAATAGGAACCCGTGGGGGCTGAGAAAATGGACAGATATAGAAGTTGGTACAAGTCATCTTCTCTGCTTACACAAACCCTTATGCTGACAGTCATCCAGGCTGTGGCCTTGGTTGTCAGGGTCAAAGTTCAAGGATTTTGTCTTGGTGGGTACTCCCTCTGCTGACACAGTTCACGGCCCCTCTGGGACGTAGAAGGTCTCGGAGAATTCCTACTCCAGGAAAAATTCAATGGCCAGCACCCAAGCTTGGTGACGAGCTAGTCTGACGTTAGTGAGGCTGATCCTCAAAAAAGAGACCAAGTCTGTCACCAGGGATGCGCTCAACGTCTTTCCAGCTTGATAGAATCTGACAGTTTGTGCTCTGTTGGCACAGGCTTTGAGAAGCCAGGCTACCTCTGGGCTATGGGAGTAGGTCTTTAATAATAAGAACACCAAACATATCCTTAGAAAGTCCTGTATTCACATGAAGCATTTACATAGCAAGGGACAGAAGATGGGGGGTTCCTATGATATGCTGGTAGCCCTGAATACTAAAAAATGTGTGTGTGTGTGTGTGTGTGTGTGTGTGAGGGAGGGGAGGGGGAGGGTCGGAAGGAGGCCTCCAGCACCCAGGATGAAGTCTTCATGAAGGAGTTACAGGAAAACACAGACAAGAACTGGATGGGATGACAAGGTGCAGAGGGGCTGTGTTCTGCCTTAGTGGGAGGGGCATTTACACGGATAAGTACACAACCTGGAGAGTCACCTTCTACCTGGATGCAGGGTTCAATGCAAGGGCTTCGAAGCGGAAAAAAGAGAAGGGGAGCCGTATGAAAAGGAGAGCAAAGTAAGAAGGCAAGGCTGTCTGAGGTGGGAGAATAAATAGAGTTGGGAAGGCAAATGGCATTGTTGGTCAGAGTGGTGGGTGTAGAAGAAAAGTCCTGTGGAGTGGTACTGCCCCTAAAGCCCTAAATCTCCCTAAAACCAGGACACTCAGCAGGAACCCAATGACCCCAGAACCCAGGCAAAAGGCTTCACAGACCTACTGCCTGACCCAAGGGGTCAGAAGTTCTCTCTCTTGCCCCAAGGCACTTTCTGCAGCACAGAATCTTAAGCCTTAACCACCTGGTCATGAGTTCTGGAGCTTCTGTGTCTATCCCTTGATATGCTGGCTATGGGTAAGGGAGGGAGGTTAGTGGAGACTGGGAAGGGATTAGATTATAATCTACCAGGAAGTTGTAGCGGGTTTACTCTTGTGGTGTGGCTATCCTCACCAACTTGACACTCATGGATTGGGTCCCTGAGGGATGGCAACCTCTGTGGGTCTGTACTCCTGAAATTAGAGCTCACACGTGTTTACTTTTTTTTTTTTTTTTTGGTGAGGCAGTTGGCATTAAGTGACTTGCCTAGAGTCACACAGCTAGTGAGTGTTACGTGTCTGAGGCCAGAATTGATCTCAGGTCCTCCTGACTCCAAGGCCAGAGCTCTATCCACTTCACCACCTAGCTGCCCTAAGTGTTTACCTTTAATAGTTAGCCAGTTGACACAATTTTCTCAAAGCATTTACTACAATGGTGTAGCACAAACTGTAAACCAAATGTTCCCCCATAAGCCTGAGGGACACTCTTGCACAGATAGACATAACATCAGTGTGAACAGCGGGCACATGCATATGCACGGAATACTCTAGTAGAGGCACAGACGAAGGCAACAAATGCGGCCAAAGCAACTCATGCTTCAGCACTGCAGGGTCCTGTCTTTTCTCTTTTTGTGTTATCTTCCTGCCACTTCTGCTGGGCACCGTGCCTGCTGGGCATGTTGCTCCTGGGCCTCCTTTCTCCTCTAGCCTGCTTTGTGCCGCCTGGAGCATCTCCTACTAGATGAGGTTCTCTGCTGCCAGATGCCATGTCTGATTGGGGGGAGGGAGGAGGGAGAAGTCCCTTCCTCTCTGTGGCTGACCTTCATCTGCCACCAGCTTCTCTGCTTGGTTGAGGCTTCGCCACCACCTGGGCTAGTCTTACTGTAATGCTATGTGCCTTCAAGTCCCAGAATAGCACAATCACAGAAGAACCAAAACTGTAGGTGAAGCAAAGAAGATCAAGAGTGACTGACACGGTAGGTGTAGGCTACAGCGTGTTATCCACAATGACATGTGAGATGTAGCACGGAAGCCATCCTCAGTCAGCAAAGGTGGTGGGCGGCCTTGCTACAACAAGAACAGGGGATATTGGACAGATGGGCCAAGTTCTGCTCAGGCACACATGGAACGTATACACCCAAAGGGAGCTCGTCAAAGTGTTTGGTAGCTCCTCTGTGCAGGCTTTCTGCAAAAGCTACGGACAGAGAGAATGAGAAAGTACAGATGGGCTGACATCCGCAAAGCAAACACAGATTCAATGAAGTCCGGCTGTATCCTTCGGGTGCTGGGTTGGGCTGAAACTCAGGGGGCATCCTGATCTCCCAAGCATCCAAACTGCAGTTTCCCAAAAGATCAACGGCAATTCATATTGAATACCCGAGTCAACCGTAAACATGGATAAACAGGGACAGAGCACGGGCTGGGGAGGTTGGCATATCTAGCCCATCCATTCTGCCTGTGCTTAGAGCTGCTATTAAGCGTGAAGACTTGCCCACGAGGTATGGAATGGAACACCAGGAAATGGGCTCTCCGGGAAAGAATGACTGAAAAAAGAGGCGAGCTAGTCTTGGAACAAGAGCGAGAGACAGGAAATGACCAGACCCCCCACTGGCCTGGAACCACCGGCATGCTAAGTGACTTAAGTGGCCCGGTATGTTGGCTACACGCTCGAGGGGTTCTATGGAAGGCCGTGCTCATGAATGCCACAAGAGGACAATGTGGGAGAATGAGTTGAAATCTGTATCACTGGAGGGAGCAGTCCCAGCAGTGAAATCACAGCTCCACTGAAGTACTGACAGACTTTATTTTTGTTTTTAAAATGCATATTTTATACATGTTCTCTTAACACAATAATCACTTCCTAATCATCCCCACCAATTATCTTCCCTTTAAAAATACGTTAAGTAGGGGCAGCTAGGTGGTGCGGCGGATAGAGCACCAGCCCTAAAATCGGGAGGACCTGAGTTCAAATCCGGTCTCAGAACAAACATTTGACACTTACTAGCTGTGTGACTCTGGGCAAGTCACTTAACCCCAATTGCCTAACTAAAATAAAATAAAATAAACAGAAAATAAAAAACAAAAATATGTTAAGTAAAACTATATTGATGTGTCTTATAAAAACTCACAGAACACTGGGAAGTGGACTACCAAGAGAAGGGACGGGGAAGGGAGGATGAAAGGTGGTGTCAGTGACTGAGCAGAAAGATGCAAAGAGCAGGTTCTCTGGAGGCAGCTCCAGTGATATTTGCTGTAGAGAAGAGGAAGCCACGATACGGGCTTATAACCAAACAACAACAACAATTTTTTTGCAGAATAGTGAAAGTGCCAAGGTTGACCTTCCACAACTATCAGCACTCTTGATCAACCTGGTCATCAAAAGATACTTCATTAGCTTTCCATACATGTGATCACAGACTTTTCTAACTGTCACAATGAAGCCCTTTTGAGGAAAATGAGGATACCTGACTCAATCTGGTAGACCACTGTGCCTTTTCCCTCTCCGACAATTTCTGGCACCTTCTCGTTTCCCGTAGGTTGATAGAAATACTCAGGCTTGGGTGGGACCCATTCTGAAAGGAGACATCCATAAGAACATGCAGTCAATGTTTACCTAAGGGACATTTCACAGCACAAAGAGCAGAAGGTATGCAAAACTCTACCAAAATTACTCTGTTCATTTCTGCAAGAGCCAAAACAAAGACTTCTTCTCCCTTCCAAAGTATTCCCCTTGGCAGCTCACACATGTGGTATTATTTGTTCTCCTTCTGTAAAGGATGCTGGGACACAAGGACAAGAATGGAAATTAGCTTGGTCACTGGAATTGACTTTTAGTATGAAGGTCCAAAGTGCATTTCTCAGAAGACTTTAGGGCTCTTTAGGGATTTCTAGAAGGAACCAAGAGACACACAAGGACTGGGAGTGCCTACGTGGTGTTAATTTGGAAGTCTAGAGTGGTGCAGAGTGTGAGGAGTGCTTGAACTCCACAGGGAAGTACTGATGAGTGCTCGGGGCAGAGCACCCCACCAGGCCATCCAACCTTCCTGGCTTTGCCTTCCCAGTTGACGAAGCAACTATCTGATCCCCAGGTCAGTTTCCCAGCTACCTTGATCCTGGGAAGGGCAAATATTGCATAGTGAACACTAACATGAGTATATAACATGAGAATAGAAAGGCATATCCTTCTCTCTTAATGAATAAATTTGTATCCTGGTTTATTATCAGTTACACATGAACTGGAAATAACATGAATCAATTTGCCAGAACTTGGCCACACAGAAAGTATAGCAAAGTAGGCCAAGAATAAGCTTTGGAATCTGGAAGCCCTGCCTCTGATGAACACTCTGTATGTGACCCAGGCATGTCTCTTGACCTCTCAATGAGCCAAGCTCCTCCCTAAGACAACTCCCTAAGTTATGGTGCCTCTGGCCTTCATTGGGGGAGGGAATTTCCATATTAGGAGATCGCAACACGAATTAAGTCACAGGTCTTGACACATAGACAGAGTCATCTCTGGATAAATGATAACCTTTTATCTTCTGACCTGTGGTGACCCCTCTAAGTGAGAAGAACTTACCAGCTCTTACCCCTACTTAACAGAACCCCATTACTACTAACTCAGGAAGTAACAATACACATTAGATTACCAATGTGATGAATATTTTCCTTGATGACTTCACATTCTATGGGCCATCGTGGAGCCTGTAGAAATCCATCGTTAGAGAAAAAAGCAAAGAGATTTCGGGGTTCTCGGAGGCGTGGGTTTCCTTCACCAAACTCATCAAAGAGTAGTTGTTTGCTCTTAAAAAGTGGGCTTTCCAACAAATGGGAACCTGCGAAAGAAAAAGGGACTAAGTAAAAGGTTTCCTTCCCAATCTTGAGAGATCTAATCCTGAAAATATCAACAGTTCGGTAGCTATTTTTTTTCTATAAACGACTATGGAAATCTTAGCATAGACATGTTTTTCTAGGTCCCTTATTAGGGGGAGTGAATGGAATAAACATTTGTATACTGCCTACTATGTGCCAGGCACTATGCTAAGAATTTTTACAAATACTATCTCATTTGATCCTCTCTGGGAAGTAGGTGCTATCATTATCCCCATTTTACAGTTGAGGAAACTGAGGCAGACAGCAGTTAAGTGACTTGTCCTGGGTCATAGAGCTAGTGTCTAAGGCTGGTTTTGGATTCAGGTCTTCCTGACTCTCCACTGCACCACCAGCTGTCTTATTCAACTTCTCCTTTAATATTCAGAGGTGTGTCAAAAGTATATTTTTAGGAGAACATAAATGTGCTATGTTTGATGTTATACAAAGGTCCTACATGTATCCTACAATACCTCTCTTTCCCCAGTCACTTTACTGGGACAAAAGAAAATTCACAGAACTCTGAACTGTTCCCAGGAACTCACCTACTTCTCTTTATTTCATCTAATATGGCACATAGGAGGAGCTTAACAAGAAGATAAGATTGTCTTTGATCTGGTATAAGTGGATGCTAAAGCCTTCGTAACAGTTTAAGCATTCTTTTTCTTTTGGTAAAAATGTATCTTTTCCTGTCTATACATTCTACCAGACCTTACCCAAACTCTGGGTCCTGCAGCTGGGGGAGGGACTCTACACATGTCATCTATGGAACCGGTAGTCACACATGTCCATCACTTACTGATGGGGTATGTCACACTCTTGAGTGGCTAAATGACTGTAGTACACCTGTCTGTCTGTAACCTATGCTGGCTTTTCATGCAGTGGTTAGCAAGGATCCTAAACATTCTTGCAACAGATGTAATTCCTCATCTATATATTTTAAAAACAAAATACTGAGTTACAACTCATTTATGAGCATCAAAAAGGAGCGTGGGGATTTTTTTTCTATTGAGGGACATACATAAGTAAAAAGCACTCAATCATTTCTTTTTTTTTTTTAAGTTCTTTTTTTTTTTAAGGGAATTGGGGGTAAGTGACTTGCCCAGGGTCACACGGCTAGTAAGTGTCAAGTGTCTGGTATGAGACCAGATTTGAACTTAGGTCCTCCTGACTTCAGGGCTGGTGCTCTATCCACTGTGCCACCTAGCTGCCCTTGAATTATTTCTTTAAAAGAGAACTCATTCATTTAAAAAATAATCTATATTTAAAAAGAGCTACCCACTTGCCAAGTCACACAGGCCACATCCTAGAGTTTACTGACTCTCTTGCCTAAGCAGAGATGAAAGATAAACAAGGTACTGTAAAATGGAAGGAAGAATAGCTCTGTAGTCAGAGATCCTAGGTTCAAATCTCTCCTCAGACCTTTACTAAAACTGTTTGACCTCGAGCAGTTCACTTAACCTCCCTGGACCTCAGTTTCCTCTTCTGAGGTCCCGTCCACCTCCAGATCTAGGATCCTATGGTCCTAAGGCGAGCCCTCCTCAATGAGCATTATCTTTGTTGACTCCAACCACTCCTCACTTTCTCCTCCCATTCCTCTCATGTCAGGTACCCTGGGGTGAGATGCCACCTCTGCCCTCACGTGCTGCGTAGTAACTTCTTCGAGCTTTGGCCTCCTCTTCTATAAAATGGGGGTGATAATACCAGTGCTTCCTGGCACCAGGGGTCTATCTACATCACAGGCATGACTCACAGACATAAGGCCGGGCCTTCTTCTTCTCTAACCATTCTAACTGATTGTTTAGCTAATCAAAATAAGGAAAGATAGCAATGACCTCATTTATACTCTGAACAAAACTTATTTACACTAATAGACACCTTCTTCTCCCCACTGTAAGTAATCTGGGTGAATTTAAATATTATAAATTCAAGTCAAAGTTTTCTTCTAGCTAGACTTTTCAACTTACTGTCTTGGGAAAATGAAGATGATCCAGGTTTGAAGAACCATGTAGTGGCTGTCTCCATACAGGACAAGAGCCCAGCAGTAGGGGAGGCACACGAGTTCCCTGGCACAGAGGAGATGATGACATTAACTTTTTAAAAATTAAAGAAAAGTTATCTAATTCAACAGACGCTCTAAACCAGCGTCCCCAGCACTTTTCTGAACCAAACGCATCTCACATACAGTAAAATCATGATTACCCAGGCTAATAAGCAAGAAGAATAACCACGATAATTACTGCTGAATGATGAAGCCATTATTTTACCTGGCCTGCTCCCTCACTGGGGTCTCTCCTTCTTGCTCACTATTCTTATATGACTATTACTTCCAAACCTGGCTGGAATGCTTTCTCCAAATCCTTGGTTGAATTTACAGGCAGTTGACCAGCAATGGCTTTATCAACTGCTAATCAATCAATAAGCATATTGTCAGGGCACCTCGGTGGTGCAGTGGATAGAGCACCAAGCCTGGAGTCAGGAAGACCTAAGTTCAAACCCGGTCTCAGACACATACTAGCTGAATAACCTTGAGCAAGTCACTTAACCCTGCTTGCCTCAGTTTCCTCATCTGTAAATAAGCTGGAGAAAGAAATGGCAAACCACTCCAGTATCTCTGCCAAGAAAATCCCTAGCAGGGGTCATGAAGCGTTGGGCATGACTGAACACATGCCCAGAACTTTGCTCAGCTGTGGGGATACAAATAAAGACAAACAAGGCCCCAAGGAGCTCCCCATCTAATGGGGGAAGACAACGTGTAGAAAACTAAATACAAGATACGTACAGAAGAGATAAGAGGTGAAAGGGCTAGAAGCTAGGGGGATAGGGAAAGGCCTCCTGTAGAAGGAAGACTTTGAGCCAAGTCTGGAAGGAAGCATGCAAATCTAAGAGTCAGAAGTGAGGAGGAGGAACACACCAAGCACAGGGCAGAGAGAGCTAATCCACAGGGAGAGAGGAGAAGGTGTGTCATATTCAAGGAACAGTAAGTAGACCAGTGTAAGTGGAACACAGAGTGAATAGAGGGCAACAGTATAATAAGCCAGAAATGTTGGAAGGGACTGGGCTGCGAAAAGCCTTCAATGCCAGAAAGTACTTTCTATTTGATCCCAGAGGTAATAGGGAGCCACAGGAACTTAATGAGCAGGGTGCGTGCGTGTGTGCGTGCGTGCGTGCGTGACATGGTCAGACCTTGGCTTAAGGCAAATTTCTTCGGCAGGTGAGTGGAGATGGAATGCAGAGGGGAGAGACGTAAGCCGGGGAGATTAATTATAAGGCAGAAATTCAAGAGAGAGGGATGAGGGCCTGAAGCAGCGTCAGGGCTGTGTGAGTGATGTACGTGAGAAATGATGTGAAAGGACAAGCGACAAGATTCCGCCACAGCCCATGTACTCGGAGTGAAAGAGGAATGGAGGACGACTCCAAAGTTATAAGCCTGGGTCATAGGGGAAACAAGCGTCCTTGATAATAATAGGGAAATTTGGGGGAGGGAAGGGTTTTGGGGAAAGAGGATGAGTTCTGTTTCATATGTGTGGAGTCTGAGATGGCTGCAGAATATCTATTGCTGTTCTTCAGCCTTTTCAATCATGTCCAACTCCCTGTGATCCCATCTGGGGTCTTCTGGGCAAAGATGCTGGAGTGGTTTGCCATTTCCTTCCAGATTTGAACTGAGGAAGATGAGTCTTCCTGACTCCAGGCTGGGCGCTCTATCCACTGCACCATCTAGCTGCCAGTCACTGGGATATGCAGCTCATGAAGTTCCAAAGGCAGTAGGTGACACAGGATTGGAGCTCAAGCATTACCATTCTCAAAAGCAATTTAGAATTATGTCCAAACTATGAAAGATACTAGACTGTGTATGTTCTTTGACCTAGGAATACCATAACTAGGCCTGAAGAGATGAAAGAGGAAAATATTTATAGCTGCTCTTTTTGGAGTAATAAAAACCTGTAAACTAATGGATTGTGCATCTTTGGAGAATGGCTGAACAAATTAGAGTGCCTGAATGTAATTAGGATATTATTTTGCTATAAGAAATGATGGATGGAATGGACGATTTCAGAGAAAACTGGAAAGATCTGAATGAACTGATGTAGCCTGAAGTGAAGGGGCCTAGGTGAAGGGGCCTAGGTGAAGACTTTATATAATAACAATACATTATAAAGAAAAATAAGTCTGATTTAGGACAGAGAGGTGAATTAATACGCAGAATGAGAAACATATTTTTGAATATGGTCAATATGGGAATTTATTTTGCTTTGTAATTTGTAATATAAGTGTTACACTGGCATAGCGTTCAAGAAGTCAGCATCATCACTCTGCACTGAAGGGCTGGGAGAGATACAAAAATAAATACCCCTCTTATAAACCCCACTCCCCAAATTCTTGGCAGTGGCAACCCAATACTGAAGAACAAGGGCCACACTGCTGAAGCGACAGAGCAATTGATCTTAGCTACTTCTACAGGCCCCGAGGAATTGTTCAGAGGGCCTCTACCTGATGAGAGAAGTGGCTCACATTCACTCTTTACTACTTACATATTAGCTTCTCCTCTTGCAATGTATCCTGTTTCAAATCATTTCTTTTCCGGAAATTTCCCCTGAACAGGTATTGAGAAGACCTCTCCCATGTATCCTGATGTTTAGTGGCATTTGGTAAACCATCACCCTGAGCTAAAAGCAAATGTTTAATTAAGGGGGCTGAAACACTCATCACATGACAAACTTAAGCTTCCTACGATGGAAATAGCCCTGCTATTGTTACCAGTTAGAATTAAAGCCTTGCCAACATTCCAAATTGGTTTCACACTCTTCATGGAATTATCTGGCAGAAGAATGGGGGATAACATCTAAAGCTCAACCTTCCCCAATTCTTGATGATGGCCCTATGGGGAGTAGCTTAAATGAAAACATGGGTCACCAAAACAAAATGGGGCCCACTGTCATCCTACAGAACTTGGAGATCACAGAGATCGACCTTGTTCAACTACTCTTCCAATGTTGAATTTTCTCTACAATCAACCTGACAAATGGTACCTATTCTCATTCCCCACAGCAACTCCTCTTTCCTCATCTCCCTCCCTGCCCTCCACTCCTCCAAATATTCCATATTCCTAGTTAAAAACCAGCCTCCTCTTCACTGAGGAAATAGATCATCCTCCAGGTGCTCCCACAACTCCTTTCTTCCCCACTTTTGAACTGCTCTGTATTTCATCTCTCTATTCCTTGCCAAGGTTAATTCTTCTACCAGAGCTTCTGCTTTAAACTCACTTCCTCCAGGACTTTGTTCTACCAATTAATCCCTTTCTCCTGTTTGTTCAATCTTTGCCCTTTTGGCTACTTTCCATCTGCATATAAATGGATTTCCCAACCCTAAAATAAAAGGCCTTTCGCCCACACTCTATCTACCCTATCTTTCCTTTTCTTCTTTTTTTTTCTCGACCCTTATTTTTAAAATTTTTTAAAAAATAATGGATTTATTTATTTTTAGTTTTCAACATTCACTTCCATTAGATTTTGAGTTCTAAATTTTCTCCCCCTTTCTCCTCCCCGCCTCCAAACGTGCAATCTGATATAGGCTCTACTTATACATTCATAGTAAGCATATTTTCCCATTAGTCATGATGTAAACAACAATTAGAACTAACAGAAGGAACCATGAGAATGAAGCAATAAAATAAAACAACAAATGAAAAGGAGAGCAAATAGTATGCTTCCATTTGCATTCAGACTCCACAATTCTTTCTCTGGATGTGGATAGCATTTTCCATCATGAGTCTTTTGGAGTTGTCTTAGATCCTTGCATTGTTGAGAAGGGCCTAGTCTATCAAAGTCAGTCATCGCATAGTGTGGCTGTTACTATGTACAATGTTCTCCTAGTTCTGCTCATTTCATTCAGCATCAGTCCATACAAGTCTTTCCAGGTTTTTCTGAAGTCTACTTGCTCATCATTTCTTAGAGCACAATAGTATTCCACTACATTCATATACCATAACTTGTTCAGTTATTCCCCAATTGATGGGTATCCCCTCAATTTCCAATTCTTTGCCACCACAATAACAGCTGCTATAAATATTTTAGTACATGTGGGTCCTTTTCCCGTTTTTATGATCTCTTTGGGACACAGATCTAGAAGTGGTATTGCTGGGTCAAAGAGTATGCACAATTTTATAGCCCTTTGGGCATAGTTCCAAATTGCTCTCCAGAATGGCTGGATCAGTTCACAACTCCACCAACAATGCATTAGTGTTCTAATTTTCCCACATCTTTTCCAACATTTATCATTGTCCTGTTCTGTCATATTAGCCAATCTGATCCTCTCTCCTTTTCACTGCCAAATCTGATGCTACCAAATCCTCAATATCCACTCACTTCCCAAACACCTTAATTCTCTGCTTTTGATACTCATCATTCTATGGAAACTGCCCTCTCACAGGGCAGTTATATACAGATAATTCCAATGTCTATAGCCTTGACCTTTCTTCTGAGCTGTAGAAAAGTATATCCAATCACATACAGAATCCTTCCACCTGAATCTCCCAGTGGAATTTCCTTGTAGCCAAATCTAAAGGCCTCTTCTCAAATCCTTGCCTCCCCTGACCTCTCTTCACTTTTTATGGCTTCTGAGACACACTACTTTTCTGGTGTTCCTCCTACTTTAACAACTCCTTTAGTGTCTTTTGCTGGCTCCTCTTCCTCTTCATGACCCTTTACTGTTGACATTACCCAAAGTTTATCTTCGGTCTTCTTTGTCCCTGGTGATCACATTCACTCCTGTGGTTTCAACTATTATCTCAACACATATGAATGATAAATCAACAACTACAGCTCTAACCATTTGCCTGTTTCAGACCAACATCTCAAACTGCTTACAGGAATTTTATATTGATACTGAAAATTAAGCAAGTCCCAAATTGAACACAATTCCTCCAAAAAACCTGTTCTCCTCCTTCTAACTTTACTATTTTTGTTAATGGCACCATTATACCCCCTGTCACCTATGTTCAAAACTTAAGTGTTTTCTTTGATTTTTTTCCCCTTGCCTTCTCCATTGAATTAATTGTCAATCCTAAAGTTTTGACCCTGACAGTCTATCCTGCTCTCTCTCCCTATATTACCTTCCTTGTTCAGGTCTTCATCTACTATATACCATCTAGCTGGCCTTGCTGCCCCTACTCTTTTAGCCCTTCAATATCTTCAGACTTCTACTAGCCTTATCTTCCCCAATGATTCTGCTCAAAACAGCTTAATGGTTCCCTATCATTTATGAAATGAAGATCAAATTCCTTAGCCTCATACTCAAGACTTCCCAGAATATGATGCCCCTCTGCCTTTCTAGGCTTGTCTCCCACTATTCCTCTGTATATGTGCTACGCTCCAGCCAAACTGGACTCCTTTATCCCCCATCCAGGTCCTATGCTGTCTCACCTCTATGCCTTTACTTGTTATGTTCTATATACATGAAATGCCCTTAACACCTCTGCCTCTTAAAACCCCACCGATGATCAATAGAACAAATTAGGTATGCAACATACAGAAGCAAACAAACATAATAGCATAGAGTTCACAAAATCCAAACACCTCCCCATCCACACTATTTGACAAAAATAGTTGAGAAAGCTGGAAAGCAGTCTGGCAGAAATTAGGTACAGACCAGCATCTCACATCCTATACCAAGATAAGCTCCAAAGAGATGCATGACTTAGACATAAAAGGTCACATCATTAACATAATACAGAAGCAAAGAAGAAAATGACTTTTGCAACTATGGATAGGTTCATGACTAAACAGAGGATAGACAAAATTACAGAAGATAAAATGAACAATTCTAATTACCTAAAATTAAATATTTTTTGCACAAACAAAATCAAGGCAGGTAAAATTTGAAGGAAAACAGTTAATTGGGGAAATATATATGTGTATGTATATATCTACATATATTTAGCATATGTATGTACATATGAGTGTATATATATGTGTGTATATATATACACACACATAGATATAACATAGATATACATTCAAAGAAAGAAATCCAAATTGTTAACAACCATATAAAAAATGCTCCAAATTACTAATAATCAACAAAATGTAAATTAAAATAATTCTGTTGTCTAACCTTACAACTATCCAATTGACAAAGATGACCAAAAAAGGAAAATGACAATTATTGAGGAGGGAGGTTGCTTCAAGAAAATGGTGAAGCTGTGAACTGGTAAATTCATTGGAACTGTCATTCTGGAAAGCAATTTGGAATTAGCAAAATCACTAAAGTGTATATACTCTTTGACCCAGGGATACCACTAGTAGGCTTACACTTCAAAAAGACCAAAGAAAAGAGAAAAGGATCCATATGTATAAAACTATGGTAGCTTTTTTTTTTATATAGTAGCAAAGAACTGAAAACTAAGAGGGTGACCTTCAATTGGAGTGGGTAAAGAAATTATGGATATGAATGTAATGGAATGTTATTGTTCTGTAAGAAATAATGAAATAAACCATTTCAGAAAAACCTAGGAAGACTTCAGAGTGAAATCAGAGACCTAGAACAATTTATACAATCACAACAATATTGTAAAGAAAAACAACTTTGAAAAACTTAAGAATTCTGATTAATAGCTAACCACAATTCCAGAGCACATACTACTCACCTCTTCACAGAGAGAAGATGAACTTAAGATGCAGAATTTTCATACATTTCATTCATTTTTTTTTTTTGGAAACTTCTTTTTTCTTTTTCTTTTTCTTTTTTTAAGGCAATTGGGGTTAAGTGACTTGCCCAGGGTCACACAGCTAGTAAGTGTCAAGTGTTTGGTCTGAAACTGGATTTGAACTCAGGTCCTCCTGACTTCAGGGCAGGTGCTCTATCCACTGCGCCACCTAGCTGCCCCATTTCATACATTTTTAGATACAGCCAATGTTGGGGTTTGTTTTTTGACTATGCATATTTGGTTTTGTTTGTTTGTTTGTTTTTGGTGAGGCAGTTAAGTGAGGGGTTGTGACTTGCCCAGAGTCACACAGATAGTAACTGTTATGTATCTGAGGCCAGATTTGAACTCAGGTCCTCCTGACTTCAGGGCTGGTGCTCTATCCACTGCGCCACCTAGCTGCCCCTAAGGACTACCTTTTCAATGCAAATATTTTACTGGTGTTGATGTAAGGCACTAAGACCTGGAACACCACTGCTCAATAAAAGCAACACCCAAAGAGCAATGGGAAGGCACGCGGCAGGGGAGAGCATGCTGCAATTAGGTGCTTCGAAGAACAGGAGTGAGGATGTGATCAAGGAATCATATGACAGAAAGAGAAGATGCGCTAGTCACAGGACAAGAGTGAGGATGCACAGGTGAACAGCTTGAGTGCTGCTCTGGTATCCCCCTGATATTGGGAGAAAGTGAGGAAGTTGTCCAACAACACTGCAAAGAGCCCTTGGGGTGAACTTTTGGGACGACTTCTCTATAGGGATTCTCTACAGATAGTGAAGTCCTCTAGACATGTTTTCAGATGACATTGTGGTGATTCCTATAGCCCCAAAACAAAGCATGCTATCCTGAATGAGATCCATTCAGTTTGGCCTTGACTGTTCAAATCAAGAATGTCTATTGTCCATACTCCCATCCTCTCTTTAGACTACATATTACAAAATAATAGGAGGATGGTACTTTGGTCCCATCTAAATAGAAAATCTCGTCAATATTTAATCATTGTCATAGTCTAAAATACTAAGAGAAGGAAGAGGTCCTTGATTAATTCAGTGAAAAGAAGTAGCTCCACTTTTGGTCTCGTGGTAAGGAGAATTGCTTAGTGGAAATAACTTAAAAGAGATTTTTGACTTATTGTCCACTTCAAATGGGTGACTTGGGACTAGAATAGAATAGGGGGAGATCAGGCCAGCTTACATGTAAAAATTACAAAATTCTTTTATTGGCCTTAAATTTCTTTGTGAGACAAAGGCCTATCATTTTAATAACAATGTTATTACAATATTATAACAATATTATAATTACAATATTATAATAATAATGATATATTAAAATCATAGAATACTAAGGTTTCCAACAAAGTGAAAAGAACCACCACTCAGATGGCAATGGATAGGTACATACTGGGTAACCTAAATAAAAATGAGGAACAATGAGGGAGAACAGGAGTAAACTATGCCACTAGGTAAAGGTATGAGCGAAAAAGAAATTATCTGATCACGTGGCTACCGTGAGGGCTAAACAATGCACAGACTGTGTGCTCCCATCAAGATATTCATGCTATAAAGGGAAACCAAGACAGGCCTACTTGCTGGGTTGGCCAACTGTGACAAACTTATGAGAGAACATGAACAAGAGTTCATAGGCTGGGTGGGTGTGGGCAGAGTGTGATCTGCACTGCTGGAGAGCATAACCATTCAACACACTCACAAATCCATTTGAGTATTTGGGCATCTGTATGTAGTGTCCACATTCTTTCTCCAAAGTCTCACTATGGCATGAAGGGGACTTTGGGTCTGAAAGGTGCTGCCTTGGCAGTTAGCACGGGTAGTGCACAGGGCACTGGGGTTGGAGTGACAAAATGCTGGGTTCAAAGTCCTCCTCAGACATTTACTAGCACCGTGACCCTGGGCTAGTCACTTAATCCTTCAGGGGTTTAGCTTCTTCATATGTAAAGTGAAAGGATTAGATTAGATGGCCTCTAAACTATGGTCCACACTTGGGAAGGCTCTGTCTGAGACCGCAGAACTGGAGACTCCTTCTCTGGTTCCTCCTCCAGGTCATACCCTCTAACCACAGGCATCCCATAGGGCTCTGTCTCTGCCCCTCTTCTCTGCTCCCTCTACACCACCTCACTGGCAGAGCTCATCATTGCCCGTAGATTTAATCACCATTCTTATGCTGACAATTCTCACAACCACCTGTTCTTCCCTAATCCCTTTGCTGGCCTCCAAGCTTGCATCTCTAACTGCCTATCCAGGTGGATGTCCAGCAGACATCTTAAACTCAACATGGTCCAAAGTTATCTTTTCCCTTAACCCTACCACACCTCAAACTTCCCCATTACTGTCAAGGACAACACCATCCTGCCAGCCCCTTCGGAGGCTCACCATCTCTCACCCCTCATATCCAAGCTGTTACCTACATCTATTGATTTCACCTTGGAAGGATATGTTGAATATTCCCCCTTCTCTCCTCTGACACTGCTCTCACTCTGGTGCAGGCCCTTATCCCCCTCACTGCAATAGCAGCTCCTGGGTCTGCCTGCCTCAAAAATCTCTCCCCACTTCAGCCTGTCGTCCATTCAGCTTCCAAAGTCATTTTCCTGAAGCACAGATCCGATCATGTCACCCCTTCCACTCAAAACCCAATTGCCCCCTATGCCTCCAAGACAAGCACAAAATCCTAAACTAAATGACTTCTAAAGTCCCTTATAGTTCTAAATCTATAATCCCCATCCTCCCTGCCTCACTTTCAGGAATGAATGCTTCTAAGAAAAAGAGACACAAAGGAATTCTCTAGCCCACTCAAAGTGCTTGGGATTTCACCTGAGAAGCTGAGATCTTCCAGATGATCAGGTCCAACCCTGGCATTTTACAGAGGAGACTGAGACTCAGAGAAGCCACAGGACATAAGGAGAAAATCTTGGACTACAGATTTGGTTTCCTAACTTTCCTGTGCTTTTTCCTTTACTCTGTGAATCAATCAATAAACAAACCAACCTTTGGCCAGTGAAATGGTGACTGGTTTTAATGTCCCTCTGAGAGGTGGGTTTATTATTCTAGAATATATCTGAAAGCATTATCTTATTCATTCCAACCCATTCCCATATTATCTTACTCACTCCCATCTCATTGATATCCAAGATCCACTAGAAATGGGTGTTTGGCATAGGCTGTGCCCCAAATTTATCAAACCTTTAATGGCTAGTAGTGTTTTCTAAAAAGTTGTTTGCAAGCAAGGTACACAAATGGAAGAACATTTTTAAGAATCTATATTTTTGAATGGAGAAAGGGTGCATTATTGGCATTGCCACTGTCTCAGGTATACAGCAGGCACATAAGCAGGCACTAGGCAATTCAACAAATGCTTGAATTGAACTGAATTTCTGGAGGCATGTCCTCACTTTTCCACCTCATTTGCTAATAAGAACTTTTGGCAAATCATTGACCTTGCTTTCTTTTCTCTAGGTGCTAGGTGGCACTGCCACCTTTTGGGCACATAATGAATGAATGAGAGTTTTATACAACACTTAGAGATGGTGAGAAGGCTCTGCTCGATGAGCCCTGACAAGCTTTATTTCTTACCTCTGAAGTATCCATAATACTGAAGATGATGGTTCATAAAGGTATCATAAGGATCTTTGAAATTCTAAGGAAGGAAAAGAGACCTAGGTCAGGCAGTTCCCCTGTCATGAGGGCAAGTATTTAAAGCAGATATCTACTACTGAGGCAGTCAGGCAAGGTGAGCACAGAGAGACTGGGCCAAAGGATGGGGTACCCGCTCTTTCACTCATGATTGTAAGCAACTCTCATTTAGGAGGGGCAAGCGATCTTAGATGGTGAGGAGGATGATAATAGTAAATGTTATTGTTCGTAGAACCTCTCAGTGTGGTTGTGAGGATTAAATAATATTTGTAAAGGGCTTGGGGCAGCTAGATGGATCAGTGGATAAAGCGCTGGGCCTGGAGTCTTCCTGACTGGCCACAGACACTAGCTGTCTGACCCTGGGCAAGCCACTTAACCTCTGTTTGCCTTTACTGGAGAAGGAAATGGCAAACGGCTCCAGTATCTTTGCCAACAAAATCCCACGGCCGTCCCATCAGAACACACCACTTGACATTCTTCGGGAACCTCCTCTGATCCACTTTTTGGACTTGGATGGCACCCAGGACTCAGATTCTAAGGGGTGAGAGCATACTGACCTGGTTCAGCTCTGTCGCTATTACTGGATACATGTTACTCTTGTCTCTCGAGCTCCAGACTAATCATGTCAGGGGACCCAGCCTTACATCCTAAGCTTCCAAACAGGCAGCTCCTTGTTTTGAAAAAAGCTACAATACCAAGACATGACAACCCAAACCCCTTTCTTGCCACCCCATCCCCCACCCCTACATTCCCTTATCTAAAAAAAGCAAGGTCACTCCCATGAGGGCTGGGGTGGGGAGGAGGTTGGAGGATAGGGCAGGGGTGGGCACCCCCTGAGGTGGGTGTAGGTGTGGAAGGAAAGTGTGTGACTGCCCCCCCCAGGCCCCTGAGCCCCGACCCATTTTCCCACCTCACAAACTGACTTGAGCTCCCTCATAGGCAGGGGACGAGATGGGGGAGGGGCAGGAGGGGATAGAAGTGATGGGGAGTGGGAAGGGTCGGGGGAATCAAGGAGGGGAGGGCACAGGAGGTCAGGCTGAAACTGAGATTAGGACAGAACCTAGAGAGCTGATGAAGGAGCTGGGTGACTTCTGACCTCCCTCAACGTCTGGAACTTGGTCCCAGGGGCCCTGGGTTCAAATCCCGACTCGGCCACCACTTACTACCTGCGTAACCTTTGGCAAGTCCCTGCCCCTCTCTGGGCCTCAGTCTCCCCATCTGTAAAACGGGGGTGGGGGGCTGGACTAAGATGCTCTCTAAGCTCCCTTGCAGCCCTAACCCTTGGACGGCCAAGGCTCTGCGAGGGCTTCGTGCAGGAGACCCCGGGCTCCGCACCTGCACCGGAGGCTCCAGGAGCCCAGCGCGGACCCCGCGAACGAACACCCAGGGTTGCCTGGCAACGGCGCGGCGAACCCGGAAGCACAACGCGTGGGGCGCACGCGCCATAGCTGTGGGAACCTAAGAGCACGTGCGCCCAAGGCCCCGCCCCTTCCGGGCTGGGATTGGTCGGCGCTGCGGCTCGAGCCTGTTGGGTGGGCGGAGCATGTCGGGAGATTTGAATGAAGGGGGCGGGAGCTGTGAGCCACTGGCCAGCGCCCTACCCCCAGTTTGTGTGTAACCGAAGCCATGGTGCTACAGGGGCCCATTCATTCATTCGTTCGTTCTTCCGTTCTTTCGTTGGTGCATTCATTCACCAGCTCACAAATCCGGAGTGCGAAGGACCCAGCCCTTTCATTTTAGAGGCTTAGAAAAGGAAAGCGCCCACACCATTCCTTCCTTCCACCCGCCCCAATCGCCTCCTGCGTTCTTTGGAGTCCGGGGGCACCCCTCTCTGGACCCCTCATTCTCTTCTAAACCCCCCACCCTCAGCTGCTCCCTCCGAAGGTACCCACCATCTCTCCATTTGATTTTCGAATCACCAATTGTTATCTTTAATCGCCAGTTATCAAAGGAAGTAATGCCCGTGCAGCGTCCAGCCCTCAGCTCCTGGCACACAGTAGGCGCTTCATAAATGACCGGCCCTGAAGTCAGGAGGCCCTGAGTTCAAATCCAGCCTCATACCAAACACACTTACTGGCTGTGTGGCCCTGGGCAAGTCACTTAACCCTAATTGTCATAAATAAATAAACAAGTAGGTAAATAAATAAATAAATAGACAAATACATAGATTAGATAGATAGATAGATAGATAGATAGATAAATGCTTGTTCCCTACCTCCCCTCCCCAGTCTAACGGCCTCTTCTCAGTTCTCATCCTCCTTGCTCTCTGAAGCCAGTGACAACTGCCCATCACCCTCTTCCCCTCATCTGACACTCTCTCCTCTCTAGGTTTTGGTGACTCCTCTCTCTCCTGGTTCTCCTGACAGTCTGACTACTCCTTCTCTGTCTCCTTCATCCCTCCTAATGATGGCAGTTCCCCAAGGTGCTGTCTTGGGCTGTCTACTCTTCTTTCTATTCTCTCTACGCTATTTCACTGGGAGATCTCATAAGCTCCAGTGGATTCAGGGATCATCTCTATGCCCATGATTCTCAGATCTACTAATCTGGCCTCCTAACCTCCACATTCTATTGGACATCTCAAGCTGGATGTGCTGTAGACACACTTTAAACTCAATGTCCAAAACTGAATTCATCTTTCCCTTCAAACCCTCCCCACTCCCAAACTTCCTCATGGTGCCTGCAACCTAAATGTCTTCCTAGATTCCTCCCTCTGAGTTGACTGACTGACTGATCCTTCAAAGAGAGGAGTCAGGCTCTTCTCCTTTATATTCCCCACCCCAGAGTTCCAGGGAAAAGTTCTATAACAATGTTTAGGTAAAGCCTATCTTAGAGAGTGAGGATCCCTTCTAGAAATGTTACCCAGTGTACCAAGTACTAAACTATAGCAAGTATAGGATAGCCTTATATTTTCTCCACCACAAAAGAAATACCAAAATACAAAAGATTCTCAAGCATTTTGTTTTTGTTATAGTATTTTATTTTTTCTAATTATTTGTAAAGACAAATTTTAACATTCATTTAAAAATTCTGAGTTTTAGATTTTCTCCTTCCTTCCCTCCCCTTTTCCTAAGACAGTAAGCAATTTGGTATAGGTTATATATGTGCAATCATGTAAAATATATTTCCATATTAGTCATGTTATGAAAGAAAAAAACAGACCAAAAGAAAAAAAAACTCATGAAAAAATAAAGAAAATGAAAATAGTATGCTTTGATCTGCATTCAGACTCCATCAAGTCTTTCTCCGGATGTGAATAGCATTTTTCATCATGAGTCCTTGGGAATTGTCTTGGATCACTGTATTTCTAAGGATAGCTAAGTCATTCACAGTTGATCATTGTACAATGTTCCTGTTACTGTGTACAATGTTCTCCTGGTTCTGTTCACTTCACTTTGCATCAGTTCATGTAAGTCTGTCCAGGTTTTTCTGAAATCCACCTGCTCATCATTTCTTATAGCACAATAGCATTCCATTACATTCATATACCACAACTTGTTCAGCCATTCCCCAATTGATGGGCATCTCCTCAATTTCCATTTTTTTTTTGCCACCACAGTAAGAGCTGCTATAAATATTTTTGTACAAATAGGTTCCCCCCATCCTTTTTATCTCTTTGGGATACAGACCTAGTAGTGGTTTTATGGATCTAAAGGTAAGCACAGTTTTATAGCTCTTTGGGCATAATTCCAAATTGCTCTCCAGATCAATTCACAAGTCTACCAATAGTGCTTTAGTGTCCCAGTTTTCCACATCCCCTCCAACATTTGTCATTTTCCTTTTCTGTCGTATTAGACAATCTGATAGGTGTGAGGTGGTACCTCAAAGTTATTTTAATTTGCATTTTTCTAATCAACAGTGATTTAGAGTTTTTTTATATGACTATAGATAGTCAAGCAAGTATTAATAGATACTTAAAACATAAAGCAATAATATCACCCACCTGGGAGATAAGAACAACTTTATGGGACTGGTGACCAGATATTTCATATTCATCCTGGATCTGTTGCATCAGAGCAACATATGTGGTTCTCTTGGCTTTTGTCCTAGACCTCTCGGTGGGAGTATCCTCGAAGACTCTTCCTCCCTGAGAAGCGGTGGAGGTATAAGTAACACCTCCTACGGGCCCTCCAGCACCAGCTCAGGTACCCAGGAAAACCTGAGGTAGCCACCAAGGTTGGAAATGTCCATTTCTCAGGATCACTGTTGAGTCACCTGTGCTCAGAGATACAAATGCTAAGCAGAAGGGGCAGCCAGACACATGTCTAGCATATGTTCTTGATGCTGCGTGCCTGTAGCTGCTGGGGACAGGGAAGGAAGACAAACCCCTGCCCCTGTCCTTTTGTTGGTAGCCCAAGGGAGAGGCTGCCTGAGTCCCAAGCAACATGCTCAAAAAAACACGGGGCCTTTCTATAGTACTTGTATCCTATGGAGGGAGCAGTTCTCTCAGGATCAACTACTGGTCATCTTTGATAAGAGCTGCCAGGTATGCGGAAGCAAGGGATCAGCCACAGCTGCTGGTGCCTTCTGTCCTTCAGCAATGGGATCAGAACACACATCTGGCCAGAAGAGGCCAGATGTGTACAGGCACAGCTCCAAGTAAACTCCAGTTCAACCCAAGCTACAGGTGTATATACTTCCTACTTACTTATCTGTGTGAGACATTTCCCCTACAGAATATATGCTCTTTAAAGGCAGTGTTGGCCATGTTGAGTGGAAAAAAGGAGACACATATGGGCATGGAAATTAGAATTGACAAGACTGGGCACTGACCGCATAGGGTGGTTTAAAGTATAAAGAATCTTCAGCCTAGAGAAACACAGATTTTTATAAGGAAATACCCATTAGAGCCCCTGGGTGCTTACAAAGTCTAAGTGGAAAAAAAAATAAAAGCAGGAGTAATTTTTTTTTTAACCTTCAGAAAAAGTCTCCAAGGGCTGCATCAATGTAAAATTTTGTATTTATTTCTCTGGGCACGGGTTGTTTTCTTATGCCGGGAACCAGAGTATTAAGCATTAAGTGCCAAGGCTCTTGCCAAACGCGTCTAACAGAATTGTTCCCAGGAGCTGGAAGAGGCCTTAGGAGCTACACAGATCAGTCCCCTCATTTTGCAGACGAGGAGGCCGAGGCTCCCGGGCAGATTTGCTCGAGGTCTCTTAGGTGGTGATGGATTATATTCTTCTAATACAGCAGTGTAACCAAAGCACTTTATTCTATCACAACGGAGCCTCACGCCCACCCTTACCGGGTGGCGTCGTCATACAAACACACAAAAAAAGCCGAGGCTCAGAAAGGGGGCTAGACCATCAACACCAACATGAACGAAGGCCATCTAAACCTTGGTCCTTAAGTTGAACTTGCTCATTCTCGTGAGCTCTGGGCTCCTGACAGGATGTTCTACCATGGCCCAGGGAAAGGCAAACCGGCTGGAATTGGGACACAACGAGGAGGCCCTGGAGCCCAAGAATTGATGAAGGATAAGAAATGGGGGGGGTCATTTCCTCCCCGCTCCCCAGATCCATCACTAGGTATTTCTAGGTATCCCCTGCTGCTGTACGACAGGAGGTGAGGAGGGCTCGGCAAGCCTCTTCTGTCTTTCTGGCACCCCAAGTTGGAAATAGGAAAACATCTTCCTATAGAAACGTTGTTCTTCGTGGTGGTTAGGCTCCAAAAAAGCATTAATTTAGCAGTACGCTAGCCTCATGTTGTGTATTTAATAGGCTTTGGTCGGTTTGCCCAAGAATCCTTCTGTTAATATAACAAACATTGTTTCTATAGAGAAATGTGCTCCAAATGTGTAAACGAGTGATTATGAACTGTTGCAAGATAAAGCTGGCAAACGGGGAACTGCTTGTACTTGGAAGCTGATGTGCGAGAACAGGCTAGTTACATAGCAACGGAATTCAGAGAATCACAAATATCACTTGCATCAGAAGTATAAAAAGATTTTATTAGTGCATATATACAAATTTACAAAGTCAAAAACTGGAGAAATACAAACAGCTTTAAAACACAATTTGCTTTTCCTTCAGTTTAAAGAAAGTGACTTTTACCTGATTGTGATAAGATAAAAAATACAGAAAGAACAGGGAACCGCCGTTTAAATACTGGAATCTTTACAGAGAGCAAGTACAATGTAGAGACAGAAGGAAGGTGCGCTTGGGAACAGGGTAAAATGGAGACACAGAAACATGAATCTGGACTCAACTGCTCCTGACATACTCATTCAGGTAAGAGCAAGGGATTAAGAAATCCACCTTCCTTTACCGGAGATGATAAACGGCAATTGTCGCTGCTTGTGTGAAATTCTAAACCCAGCCTCCACAAAAGCATCTAAGTGAGATGAGGACGCTCAGCTCCAGAATCCCTGCGGACAAGAACCACCGGGAACAGTGCAGACACCGGGTCCGTATGGGAGAAATATCAGACCCAGGTACAGTAGAACGTGGGCGGCAGGCAGCCCGAGGCTGGAAGCACAGGCCAGGACTACCAGGCTCTGAGCAAGGAACAAGCTTCTGGGGAAAAAAAGAGAACGGCTGCCTTCTGCTTAACTGCACTTGCTGGGGACATATGGTCAAGGGCTCCAAACTGGAAACCACGGGCACGGTCTGGACCTCAGACCTCCCCGCCCCCTCACCTCAGGCCTGCCCAGCATTTCGTTCACACCTTATTAAGCCTGTGATTGAGACGCTGCTCCTCAGCCTCAGCATCAAACCAATGCGTGAGTCTACACACAAACTGGAGCTGGCCGGCAGCAGAGGAAGTCCGAGGGCCTGGCCCTTTAACGTCGGCCATTAAGATTCCAATCCGCAAAAGGGAGGGAAAACTTGGTTCTGCACACGTTCCTTCACCAATCCAGGAAATTCAATGCTCTCTCCCAAAACATTTACAGTTTATCTGACAACAGTAAAACTGGTAAGACTCTTAACTGTACATGAAAATAAAACACAAATGCCCCGAATGAATTACGTGTTTGAAGCTGTTTTTCTCCTCTTTAGTCGAGCACGCCAGTCCTCAGGAAGGGCCTCAAAGTTAGCATTTCTCTCAGCCATGCCACTGGGGAAAACAATGGACAAATTACTTCACCAGAAAGAGAAAAAACCCTAAGGTTCTAAGTTCCTTTGTTGCTGAGCAGTAGGAAGCACGTAATAAGCTTTCTAGGTGCCCAGCACAGTGCTAGGTGCTGAGGACACTTGAGACAAAAACCAAATAGTCCTCGGCCTCAAGAGACTTGGGAGGGCAGGGCAACGATATCTGTTTACATCGTGGGCTTCCTGGGTTTTTCACCTGAAGGATGCTTTGTGCACGTGACAGCCGAGATCACATTTCAAGATACTTTTCATTGTCCTGCAACAAGTATTTTGTATTATTTCTCCATTTATCCTCCTAGGATAAATCCTCTAGGAAGAATTCTCTTCACAAGTTATGGCCAAAGCCATTCAATTAAGTGCCCAACTTCCAAAAAAACCTTTAAAAACACTCATGTCTGGGGGCAGCGAGGTGGCGCAGTGGATAGAGCACCAGTCCTGAAGTCAGGAGGACCCGAGTTCAAACCCAACCTCCGACCAAACACGTAACACTTACTAGCTGTGTGACCCTGGGCAAGTCACTTAACCCCAACTGCCTAAAAATAAACCAAACCAAACCAAACCAAAAAAACACTCATGTCTGGATGAGGCCTTGAATACCAGGGAACTATTTTTATATGTAGATCTACTTATCAGGAAAGGATAAAATTCAGGGCAGGGCTGCAGCTTGAAGGATAAAAACCCCCCTCTCTATCTTAAAAACAAAACCGGAACTTCACTTTACCTGACTAATTGCTGCTGCTTCCATTCTTCAATCCGCTTCTGTGACGTCAACTCCCGGTCTTCACCACCTGAGCTGGAATTCTCCTCTTCATCGAGCTCCCGCTGGATACTCTGCCACTTCTTTACCAGAGAGGGCATCTTTGTTTTACTCTTTCTCCCCTGAAAAAGTGCAATGTAAAATGTGGGAAAAATCATCACAGGTGAGAAGTGGAAGAAGAGAATAAAAGCACTAACTTGAAGAATGGAACAAGGCGAGAAAGCTAAAAGAGAAAGAGCAGGAGGATCGGAAGATCTGTACAGCTAACACGGCGACCGAGGCACAGATCTGTGTTCAGGAACAACCCTTATTCAACAAAAGACAGCCCCTGAACTCTACAGAAGACCCAAAATGGCTCCGAGAGTACTTGGACATCTAGGACAAAAAATGGGTGAGCGGGGATTTGAAAGAGGCTGAGATCACTGTTTGAGCGGGATCAGGACAAGTTTTAGTGAGAAAGTAACATGTGAACTGAACTCTTGCAGGATTGAGGAGTTACAGCAATAAGCAGAGTTTGGTGGGCAGAGATCAGATGATCATGTCCTGAGAAGAAACACATGCTACAACTTATCTCCACTGGGCATATACACTTCAACCTTCCTCATCTAATCAAACATGATGTTCACGGCAATAAAATGATTTCTGTCTGACAAGGAGTGTTTGCTCGCACGTACACTCACACTGATTAATGCTACAACCCCCAAAGCTATTCCATCATGGGGAAAAGACAGAATGTCTATCTTCTGTTTTCTTCTCTTTCCATTGGTTCCATTGAATATCCTTTTCAGAGATGCCTACTTCTCTGACTCCCCAATATGGGAGATGCTTAAGATACCATCCTTGGTACCCTTCTTTCATTTATGCTGATTCCACCTCTGCAACATCCATCTATCTCTCAAATCCATCCTTTATGTTCCTACACTGTTGCCACTCTAATATGGGAGCTTATCCCTTCCCCAACCCGTCTCGTACTGCCAAATCTCCCCAAAGGTCTTCCTACTCTCCTCTACAGCCTACTAAGCTAGGTTCACATTACTTACTATACTTTAATTACTTTACCCAGAATTCAAGGTCTTTCCCAATTTGATGTCTTGCTTCCCCTGCAGTCTTACACCAGCTCTGAACCTCCCTACCTATAAGTCCCCACCTCCTGAATTCCCAAGTCATACTTTAAATCTGAATCCTTTAGCACAGTTCTCCAATCAAAGTGGCCATTTGCTGTTTCTCTAAATAAGCTATGAGTACACATCCCATACCTTGTCCTTCTTCCCCTTTCTGCTCTTCTCAGGTGGTGGCATTTTGGGAGCAGGTGGGGGCGGAGGCTCTGTGATGCTAGCAGTGCTCAGCAGGCTTCGAGATGGCACCGGTTGTACCGTGGGAACGGTCATTCTAACCGGTAAGGGGCACTCAGGATAGGACATGACAGCAGGAGACGCTGCCAGTCCCAGATAACTCGATTGGAGGCCCACCCCTGTGGCTTGGTGACCGGTGCCTGTTGTTTGATGAGCGACATCTGAGGTTTGTTGGTGGCTGACATTTACAGTTTGGTGACCTGACAGAGAGACACCATAAAAAAAAAAAAAAATCACATAAATGACAAATAACAACACAACTGATTAAACAGGGAGTTTGAGCTTAATAGAGATTTCTGGAACAAAGCTCGACTTGTTTATACTCTCAGGCTGTCCTACAGGATACTTAAGAATCAAGTACAAGATGAAAAGAAAAATCTTTTTTCATCTTAACCTTTCCACTCTTATGTCTAGTAAAATTTAGAATAGCTAACTGATCCCTCCACTTTAAACTAGTAACTAGACAACCCAGAGAGTCCGTTAATCACCAGCAGGGACTGTATCTACTGTGTAGGAGAAGTGGGACAGACAGGACACATAGTCTGACTCAAGGAGTTTCAGTCTTTGCCCCCAGCCATGCTGCTGGTCTGTGGCAAGGTCAGAACTAGCCTCGAGGTCTCTCCTGACCTCTGCACTGCTATGCCAAAGCTGCTGACAAAGAGAGGCAGCAACCTAAGTCGATTTAAAAAGTCCTTCTGGATTTGAAAAATCTAAAGCAGCAGCTCCACGACATCATGAGGTAAGTGCCAAGACGTGGCTCACCTGTAGTTAGGGCTGGCTGGCTATAGAGAACTGGAGAGCCACCAATGGTGGCTGATCTTTGGGCCACTCCGGCAGCTGTTTCTGAGGCTTTCCTTTTCACTGCTCTGGTGGTAGTAGAGTTGGAGGTGCTGGAATCAACTGAACTCTAAACAGAAAAAAAAGTTCCAATGAGTTTTAGACATAAGTTAAATAATCTCTTCTAAAAACAAAACAAACAAGATACTTTTAAAAGCTGCAGCTCATTTAACAAAAAGCCCCTCGATCCCAACTGCTTTCCAAGGTTCCCATGGTGCCACTCACCTGGCTGCTGACAGCTGGAGTTGCTACAGAGGGCTTTAAGGGGGCAGCTTCTTCAGTTCCTGGGGCAGGAGGCTCTTCATTTTCTTCATCCTCCATCTCTACCTCCTGAATCTCACCATCTTCTCCAGGAGGAGGTGGGGGTGGGGGAGGAGGTGACTCTGGGGGAGGGGGAGGTGGGGGTGGCATTTCTAAGGGCAATGGAGGCTGAAGCACAGGAACATTGGATTGAAGGAGGGTCCAAAATGGAGTAAGTGGTACGAGCGATGCAGAAGAGACTTGACCAGAAAAGGGCTCTTTACAAAGAGAACCTAAGATAGACAGATACACGTCAGGATAGACAAGTGATTGTTGGCACCACAAATGGAAATATAAGAGTACAAAGCCCACTTGGACACAGAAAAACACCAGACTTGTCTTCTTTCCACCTAAGCCAATTTATCTATATGCCTTACACACTTGTACTTTGCATTGCCCAGTTTGCTGCTGCACTTAAAATCACCACTGTTTGCTGTCAGTATAGTTAAATGACATTCATAAAAAGTTAAGATTTAAAAGGTTCTTTCAGAGGCTACTCTAGCTGAGTTCAATTTCTTACTGGGTCAGAGACCACATGGAGAACAGTGCAACTTGTAGACATGGAAGCGGTTGGAATATTGAGTTGGTTAACACTGAGTTTTGAGCTAAACGAAAGTCTAGAGAAAACAGGAAGCAGTGGGAAGGAAGAAGTGGCCTGGAGCATCGAGGAAAGCTCCCTCCTTGCCCCTTAGCTTTCTAATCACTTTCATTTAGGTTAACAAGTTAACTGCTAAGGGGCAAACAGACAGTACAATTCATCAAAGAATGCAAGTTTTTGATTAGGGTGGACAAATGTTTAGAATATGGGGCATTATGGAATCCTCAATGGTGGTATCAGAGGTGATTCTGCAAAATTAATGGGCAGCCTGAGCCTGAGGTCACCAGGTCTTTGGGATGAGGAAGAAGCTGAAAAGAGGGCTCAGAAAGAGGAGCAGAAAGGCAACAAAGACCAAATCATTCCTACTTTGTCTGCTGCCCTGGCAACAAAACCACCACTGAAAACATGTTGCTAATGCAAAAGATTTCAGGTCTAGCGGGTGAAGCTGAACTTCCCTGAATTCAGTCTCCGATATCCGAACTAGTCCCTCTAGCTCAGCAAGAGGACCCCCTTCAGTTTATTTCCCTCTTCTTCTGAAAAGTGGTAAAAGGGAGGAAAAAGGAAGAGAAAAACTTAGACCTCTCCTCCACTTTATTCTAAGTATAAGATTTTCCCTATTTCCTGAGAATTTTACAAAGATTTTCTTTTCTTGAATTTACAGAACGGTGAACCTCGAAGAAATCGCCCAGTCAAACACTTACGGGAGAAAGGAGCGAGATGAAGCAAAGTCTAGGTCCCGTGTTCTACAACATATTTCCCTATTAGCAAATGAAACAAGTCCAGGGACCTAAAAGTCTCAGCCAAACAAATCTCACCTCTCAAGAAGTGGGTCCAGCTGCAGCCACCTGTTAACAGTTCCACGGTCAAAAGCAGTGTTAAACATTGACTTACAAGAGAACTTTAATGTATTCCAATAGAACATATAGGTTGCATAAGCCTAGAAAAATAGGGATACTGTATTTGTAGCTCCATACAACTCAAAGAAAAGCACCAACCACTAGTCACTTAGCTTCTACAGTATTGCTATGTGGAAGACAAAGATAGATATCAATGATACTATTTGAAAAGCTGCAAGCTCACTAAAGTATTGGATATCCCACTGATCCTAAAGTTGCTCTTAGTGAGTACATACAAAGAAAAAATATAGTACCACGTAGCTCACCCAACTTTTGATCTTTTAGATGCTAAGAAACTTTGCAGATTAGATAAAAGTATTTGCTGTATTGCTGGTCAGCAGACCACTATTAAAATGTGGATCAAGAGCTCTCACCAACACATCATCATTCTGACTTAGCTAAAGCTGCACTATGCACTTACAGACTGACCCATCCTGTAATGGGCATCTGGGTAGGAGGTGGGAATCTAGAGTGAGGCACTTAGGCTTGTCTTCAGAGACCAGTACTAGGATAGATGATCAGCAGCGGCATTAGCAGGCTTCTTATGGGTCAGTGACAATTCTATTCCTCCTACCAAAGCAACAACACACTACTGGCACTCGTGAAATACACGGCCAAGGTCGATGGCGTGATGATAGATGATGAATTACGAGTACATCAGATGTTCAAATAGTAGGCTGGACCTGAAGTCAAGTACTCAGGCTATATTAGTATACAGACGAAGCCTTGGTTGTGCTATGTGACACTAAACCTAACTAGAATTTGATCAGCCTTGTGTATATTAGTTTGAAACAAAACAGATGCCAATTACAGCAGACACCAAGTGTATTAAAGATGACTATGCATTGGTAATTTACACAGAAGTAAGCTAACTCAAAATCTACAGTTGAAGCCTTAAGGATAATCTTTCTGGGCCTAAGACCTGTAAGGTACCTTGATATACTGGCTTGAATTAGGCTGATGGGTTAAAATTTTGATTCAACACTAGGTCTGAGAGCACATGGACATCTATGGCATAGACTCGTCATTGTTCTGGTCACACTGAAACAGAATAGGCCACTTTTTATTTTTTTCAGTACTCGGGAAATCCTACAAGACTGAAGAAGCCCGAGTCTGGCTGCCATAAGGAATAGCATCTCCACAGGTAATCTTAGTTAACTACAATATGGGAAATCATCTTCTAAAGTTGAGAACAACGTGAACGGAGAGTTCTGAATCCTACACCTTTTTTTCCCTATGCATGTTTACTCATACACGTACTTTTTATCCCCACTTACTGTATTCACAACTACCAACTAACCTGCTGGTACCATGGCTAGAAACAAATGGCGGCAAGCAATAGGTAAATTAGAAAATATAGCTTCAGGTCTAAGGGATTAAACAAAGGTAACTTTCTGATGCTAAAATTTTATTACAGGTGACAAAACTTAAGCAAAACTAAGTCTCTGAGTATCCTAAAAAACTGTCCACCTCCAGGAATAAAGAAGCTAAATGAGATATTACCAGCATATTTAGAAACCTGCCAGTTCCTTCACTAGGAAGACCACCTTTTTTCCATTAAGTGCTATTAAAGACACTACTTGCATGATAATATTTCTTGATTAAACTTTTCTTCAGCAGGCCTTGAAGTAATGTGTGCTATCTTCCATAGCAGGTATCTCAGCTGTGCCAAGCATGAGATCACTTTATTTAACCTTACACTGGTCCTATCTTATGAGGTCCCCGGCATGAAGAGAGGCATGAAGAGAGGCTATACGCTCCCCACAGCATGACCTACTTTGCCTCCTGGGAGAAGGTTAAGTGAGCTACTTTAAAAACATTTCCACTGGATGGTATGAACATTTTGAGATTTTCTTTCTGGCACAAGCAAGGAATAAATGGATGTGGGTACCACCATTAGTGTTTGTGGTACCATTACTAGCAAGGTTAATGATGCGAGAATTCCTCTATGTGAAGATTACATGAGTGGAGAGAAAAAAAACGACAATAAGTCACGACCTCACAGTTAGGCAGGACTGAGATCTAAAGAACACTTTATATGCCTCCTAAGAACCACATTCAAGTGTCTTTATTCAATCACTATGTACTAAAAACTACTACAATCGACTTGAGATTTACATTTTACTACTCTGAATGACAGTGAGGGATCAAAAAAGAAAACTCTTCTTTATGAATATTCAAGTGAGGTGCTTCAGTTCTGCCAATCTAGATTACAATATGATTCTAGTTTCATATGGCTCATTAAGATGGAGAGAATTGATCAGGAAAGATGCTGAACTGGAGGCAGAGTTCTGGAAGGTAACATTAGTTTTCACAAAAGCTGCTTTGGATATAAAAAGTTTCCACGGATCTCAGATAATCAAAAGCGTCAAGTTATTCACTTAGAGGCAGGACAGATTTCTACCCCATTTAATTTGCTGCTAGTCTTATCTATCTTCATTTTAAGATGTTCTACTTGGACCTGGTGACCAATATAGACCAAACTAACTTTCTTGATTAGTAAGAATAAATTCTGTACAAACTATGTGACTGATAGAATTTCAAATAATTACTCTTCTTGGAGGTCCAAAGGAAAGCTGGAACACAGTATTCCAAAACAAACAAACAAAAAAGCCAAAAACACTTGTCTAGAGCCCATAAAGTAGAATGGACTCCATTAGGCACAGAGATATGAGAAAACCAAAAGTTACTGTTTTCTCAGAGAGGTTAGAGTCTCCTGGGTACTAGGCAAAAACTTCCCAAATGGGACTGAATTGTTTTCCACTCCCATGGTCAAATGCAGCAAATGCTGCCACCCAAAGGTAGCAGAGCAAAACTAGTGAATGCCACGATCTCATCATCTTGATCATGTCAAGAATCCACTCGTTTTTCCATTGCTAAGAAACACCAGCAGTTAGACAGAAATTGATCTTCTTTTGTACACATATCATCTGCTGCCTTTACGAGTTAAACACTTCAGTTATTTTTGTGTGACTTTCCAAGCACACTCTGGCACTGTCATTTATTTATCCCTGAAGGTAAAATGTCATTTTCTCACATGCAGAGAAAACTTAAGATAACTGAGGGGATCATGTCCAGACTTTAAGAACTACCCACTGAGAAACCAACTGGGCCAACATGAATATTATTGACCCTTTCCAGTAACGACTTTCTTCTGTGCCCATGCCCCCAAACCACTGGCCGCTGTACAGCATGGCTTCTGTCTGCCATGGCTCGTAACTCTCACTTCAACTACACAGAGTGCCAGTCTTGTTATATGCAGTGTCCCGTCTGACAGGGGTAGGCATGAAAAATCAGATCACTGTCTTTGTAACACCTGATTACCAGACATCCTAACTCAATGTCATCTTTGTACTGTAACAGTTCACAGCCTTACAGGCTCGTGTAAACCTTGGAACTCGGTCCGAGTGATTCTACGTAATTTTCCAATATGGGTTTCAAGTTACTGATGCTCTGACAGCACAGTCTAACCACTCCAGGCACAGAGCTACTTGATTTTCAGGGTTTAGCTACTGTTCTTCTTAATGTTTTCCCTCTTTTGGGTTGAGCTACAATTTTTCAGTTAGTACTTAAAGCTGTATTTAAAAAAAAAAAAAACAAAACTGTCCTTCTTTTCACAAGAACTTCCTGTGTATGTGTGAGCCCCTGAAACCAAGCCCTTCTTGCCTAATGACTAGATTGCACATGGCCACTTTTACCTGTGGAATTCTCAGTGGATTCCCCAGAGTTTGCATCAGCGCCACTTTTCTCTTTCAAGATTTGTTTATGAACAGTCTCTGCTCTATTCTCCTGGGCTTGCCCTTCTTCTTCTTCTTCTTCTTCTTCACCATCTGGGAACTCCCACTGAGACTCGCCCGAGTGTTCGTTTACATAGAAATAACGTCTATGATCCCTAAATCACAAGAAAAAAAACACACGTTTTAAGACCTAATCTCCTGTAGTGACACTTCCACTCGGTCCTGTCCCAGGACAGCAGTCTGCTCTCACAGGGAAGAACCTCTTCTTAATGAACTGCTATTCACAAAGGCAACAAACAGCTTTGAGAATTGAGGAAGGAGAGCCAAGGATGATTCAAAGCTATTTGCCCTGCCAGCAGCTCTGTGAATACAGCCCTGAGCCCTCCAACTCCAACAGATGACGGGCTTGCAAAACATCTCATTTTTTGCCAATGCTTAACAGGGTTTCAAGTTTCATTAATGAAGGGACTCAATCGCCTAGAACCCTAATTTCCCTTCCAAAGAAGAGAACAGCGGAGTTTGTGAAAGATGGCTTTTTCCCTCTTGGACCGTGGAATTCACATTTCATACTCTTGATATCAAACACAGTGAAAGCTAAAGAGAGGGAGAGGATCTGGGAGCTGAAAAATAAAAGAGCAAAGATTTCAAATAACGAAAAAAAAAATCAAGAAAAGCCAAATATAAAAAGAAATATTTTCGTCTGACCTGCCGGCAGAAGATAGTAATCTTGCTCTTCATTCACATCTTCCGCCACGAAGCTTTCCTTAACTTCACCGAGGTTAATCAGGAGTAGTTGCTTCCAGAGGTCCTGTAAAGCGCACAGAGCTCTCGCATGCGCTTAACCCCCAAGCCCGCCCTACTCCGTGAAATTACACTCTGGAGAGTGAAAACCAGCTTTGTCCAATCTTGGGAAAAAATCCGTTACATGGAACACTTTAAACATTTGCTTTTTGTTTCTCCAATCTGTGGCTGGCCCAAACTCTGTAAGTGCTGGCGGTGCTCTGCCTGCCCAGCACCGCTAACTGAAGCTGCTCCAAGTCTCCAAGAGGACGTCACGTTGTCAGGTGGTGGTGATCACAAATCATGTCTGAGATGTCAAAGGTGAAAGGTGAAAAGGGGAGAAGAGTGCGTACCTGTCCCAGTGGCAGGACCAGCCTTTAGGAGTGGCGTTTATTTCATACTGTTTTAGTTGCTCTGCTGCATCCTGTAGTTTTCGCTTGAGGTAGCTTCCGTTGAGAGCTCCTTCTCGCCAGTCCGCGATTCGTGTCTAGCAACAAACAAATTCAACTCAATTCATTGTTCTGAGGAATAAGCTGGCCGGCTCCTCAGAAGCGCATTCTGAAAGCTAACAGCCAACCAGGAGCTGGCTATCCTCTCTGACCAGGAGGGACAGCCACAGGCCCCAAGCTGAGGCACACCAGCAGGGAACAGTGATACCACCACGTACTGACTGGCTCCTGTTAGGGTATGACTGAGATCTTGTGGTGCGTGGGTGGGAAGGTGTTACCAGAGTCATCAGGATGCAGATACCTTCCACTGATGCACATCACCACCTCACCTTCAACTTCTATTCTGAGAGGGTTGCTGGGGCACTGAAAGGTTGGTTCAGTGACCTGCTCAACCACAGAGCTGATGTGAGTCAAAGGCAGAAGAACCTGAACCCAGGTCTTTCTGACACCCCAGCCAGCCTTCTCTTGTCTATGCCGCATTGCTGCAGAGGTGAGCTTAGAGTGTAGGTGGTCATCAACCAATGACCTCCTACACTCTAAGGGTGATTCATGTAACACAGGGATTCTTAGGTAGTCTTACTTTGATAACGTCATATATCACTTATCCATTCATTATTTGTGAAAATGGAGAAGCAAGCTAAGTTACTCAATTTTGGTTTTAAAAACATAACGTATAATTTTGTTTTCTAGAAATAGGCCTGTTTGTTGTTGGTTGGTTAGTTAAGTTTGCTGAAATACTGGCCAGGGTCACAGGTTTCATTTCCGAGTGGACTGATTTCTTCGGTTGTATCCGACAAGTGAAACGTTTCTGTCACGAAGGAGGCAGGAGCATGTGTGGATCCCTATTTGTCTATCTGTTACTGGAATGGCTCCACAAGCACCAGTGTGCTGTAGGTCTATCAGACGTGCTTTCATACAGCTACAGAACAATATTCTGCACTTATACAGAGCACTTCAAGACTCGTGAGGTGCTTTATTACATGTGGTGATAACAGCCAACATTTTTAAGGTCTGTGGAAAGCATGTTACAGACATTATTTCATTTGACCCTCACAATAACCCTGGGATAGGTACAATTATGATTCTATTTTTACAGATGAGAAAACTTGAGGTAGAGAGAGGCAAAGTGACGTGCCCAGGACCACACAGCTACAAAGGGCTTGAGACAGGCTTTGAACTCAAGTTTTCCTAAGTCCAGCACTATATCTGCTATGCCACCCAGTTACCATCATAATTATGTTTTTGCTTTACTCGTGTTTCCTGAATTGGCAGTTCAGAGATGTATTGAGAGAGAAAAAAAAAATCACTCCTGAATTAAAAATTTAATACAGTCTACCAAACAGATAATCACACAGGGAATTGATGGTATGTACAAAACTGGCTGACAGTTGAACCTACCTCAGTCTGTAAGAGAAGCACATGAAAATTGGAGATGGATTGTCTGCTAATTCCTAGGAATTCCAGTTTACTGGTCAGGGTATTTGCCAGTTCTCCAATCTGAAACTGTTCCGCAAAGGAGAAAAAAAGAAGAATGCAAGAAGTCAACAGCAGTTCCTATGAACTCTCTACACTGACTGACAGAGACATCCAAATACGTGTCTGGACGATTTTCTTCCTTAGGCAGTCTCTTTGCCTCATAGTCATAAATGCAGAGCTAGGTTTGGGGTGGACACTAAAAAAAAAGTCCTTGAGAATGAGGATCATTGACATTTTTTATCGGCAGTGAAATAATCTACACACAAACAATGAAACAGTACACACGATCATGTAAAACATGACCAGTGTCTTCAAAGCCAACTAGATGCTAGTTGCTAATTTAAAATGATAACTTATCTTACCTAAAGACTCAGAACTACACATTTTAGGACATTTGTTACCCTGACCACTTATTTCTGAAGAGGCCTTTTAAGTGGACAGACACATGGAAGCCTCAAACACGAGCCAGATTCTCTCACTGTTCAACGTTGCTCCAATTCTTTCAGGTAAAAATAAAACAAGCGATTGGCGGAGATATTCTTCTGCTGGTGGGGTTTGTAGGATGGTCGTTAGAATAAGGTAGATTATACCAGCCAGCTACAGCCAGAGAATCAGATTTTTCCCAATCCAAACAAGGATTGCATTTGTGACTATGCTCTTAGAATAATGCTCTAAACAAACTCATTTTGTCATTTACCCCTTCACCCTAATGGTCTGGTGCTCATGCAACTTTAAGATTGCACAAAGATTCACTTACAAGGAAACAGGCCCACAGATTATTATCTGGGAGAAAGTGACCTGGCCAAAGTCATACAGGTGGGCAGGGCCAAAGTGTGACCCAAGCCTTTTCTACTCCAACTTACTGGCCTGAAAACAGGTAAGCACTTCTCCAATGAAGTCTCTTTGAAAAAATATAAAGGTATACATTTTTTTAAAAATGCAGTTTTTACACAAGTGAAATTTTGGGAAAAATACATTTAGACCAGAAGAATCAAATATGTAGCCTAGCCAGATTAAAATGTAATTGAAAAGTTTAACAAAGTAAGTAAAAATATAACACAGTGATAACGTTCCTTTGTTGTTTTCTAAATCAATATGTGACCCAGCAGGGACCATTTCTAGTTGAGTTTGACACCACTGATATAAACCAAATGGTGTTCAGGTACAACCAAACTACTCTCTATACCATAGATAAATAATTTATTCCTTCCTACCCAGGCCAGTTCTATTTCAATCCCCAAAAAGATTTTTGGTATTTAAATTATAATAGGAAAATACATTAATAGTATTAACTAGAGAAAAAAAATAACTCCTATACAGTACTAGTCACTACTTGCTGGCCTTACAATTACTCAACTTGCTTGCAAAAATCTATGTGGAAAAGAACTTCTACACAGATCGTGTATTTTATTGGTTTTTTCATAAAACTAGCTCTTTATTTATTAGTTCAACAGTTTTCTTAATTTCAATTTTATTCATTTTTCCTTTGGTTTTCAATATTTCTAATTTGGTGTTTAATTGAGGATTTTTAATTTGTTCTTTTTCCAGTTTTTTTTAGTTGTCCAAATTCATTGATCTCCTCTTTTTCCTATTTTATTTATATAAGCATTTAGAGATATAAAACTTCCCCTAAGAACTGCTTTTGCTGCACCCCATAAGGTTTGGTATGTTGTCTCATTATTGTCATTCTCTTGAATGAAGTTATTGATCGTTTCTATGATTTGTTGTTTGACCCAATCAGTTTTTAGGATTAGATTATTTAGTTTCCAATTATTTTTTAGTCTATCTTTTCATGGCCCTTTATTACATATAATTTTTATTGCATCATGATCTGAAAAGGATGCGTTTAATATTTCCGCCTTTCTGCACTGGATTGTGAGGTTTTTATGCCCTAGTACGTGGTCAATTTTTGTGTATATGCCATGTACCGTCAAGAAAAAAGCATATTCCTTTCTATCCCCATTCAGTTTTCTCTAGAGACCTTCTCTAGAGTCCATCATACCTAACATTTCTAATGTTCTATTCACCTCCTTAACTTCTTTCTTGTTTATTTTGTGGTTAGATTTATCTAGTTCAGAGAGGGGGAGGTTGAGGTCCCCTACTAGTATAGTTTTGCTGTCTATTTCTTCCTGTAACTCCCTGAACTTCTCCTGTAAGAATCTGGATGTTATACCATTTGGTGCATATATATTTAGTAATGATATTACTTCACTGTCTATGGTGCCTTTTAGCAGGATGTAGTTTCCTTCCTTATCTCTTTTGATAAGATCTGTTTTTGCTTTTGCTTTTTCTGAGATCAGGATTGCTACCCCTGCTTTTTTTAACTTCATCTGAAGCATAATATATTCTGCTTCAACCTTTTACCTTTACCCTGTGTGTGTTACCGGTAATGTACCTAGCAATTTCTTAACCCTAACCCTCACTTGTGAAAATAACCCACTAACCCATATCCTTTGTGAATGACCATTTACGCTTTGCAGATAGTAAAAATTGTTCATTTCGCTAAATTGCAGTCTTCCTAGTGGCAAAAGACTGATTTTTAAAAATAAACAAACTGGGTCAGTCAAATTTCAAATATACATTTACAAGGCTGCATTAATTAATAGACATACTTTCAAATCCTGTTCTTCATCCAGCTTTGGCACTGTTTGTGACTTTAGTTTTTCTGGACATTCTTCTGCCTCTTGCTCTTTGTCAGAATGCTCATCTATTTTCTCTGAATTCTCAGTGCCCATCGCTGGAAAAGAAAAAACACGTTCACCTTGCTGACCAAAATCCTAGTCTTCTCCACGAGCCCTTTTCTTCCCTTTAGGTTACTCTCTGGTCGTGGGCAGGAAAAGACTGGGAAACACCAACCTCAACTATTCCTTCATTTATTTTAAGCTTGCGATCAAAGTGATAGACTTCTTTTGGTTCCCTGTTGCTTCGTTTCCATCTTTCTTAGAAAAATGTATAATAAAACATAAAACTTCTCAAAGAGAATAACCCCACCCCCTTGCTGTCTTCATATCCCCAGTTCCCAGCAGTTCTTTGGACACAGCAGGCACTTAATAAATGCAGGTTCTTGATTTTTACTGTTAATACTTTCATGAATGATCCACTAGGAATTCTTTCCCAAACTGTTCCTTTCAAACTGCTCTGCTGATTCTATGCAACTCAGATGCCAGTAACTGAAACATGGCACGGACAAGAGTTGTGCCCCAGAGATGAGCTCTGGACATTTTCAGTGACTTCTATAAACTAATGCATACTCCTTGCCATAACCTTATTCAGAAGTTCCCTCATATCTCTGATGTCAGCATCCACCAGCACTGGAACTCTCTGGTGGGGAATGGAAAACGGGGCATGTCAACTCTAGGTCCACTCCACCTGACACCTTGGTTCCAGTTTTTCTTACTTTGGCTTTACTTTTCAAGCTATTAACTTCAGTTCTAGTACTACAGCTTCTATAGCTGTCAATACAGCTTGGATGTCTTAGGAAACAATGAAATCCTCCCAGAGGACTTCCACAGACTTCTTTTGAACAAAACACCAACAGCACCTGGAAATTTTTACTAACTGCTCTACTGCAGATCCAAGTACTGACATTTTTCTTTCAATACACCTCCATTTCTGCTTTCAAATATCCTATTACCACTAGCCTAACGCTTTTCATAAGAACTTTCTATTGTTCACTACGACGTCCCCTTCTGCTTTTACGTGTTCTCTATAAAAGGGGATGGATCTTTATTCAAAATGTCCCATCAATTAATTTATAATTCATGAAAATCCTATAAGCTGTCAATGTCAAGGATGGGATAAACCAAATTGTACTTTATACTATCACTAGAGGAAAGTAATAACCTAAAAGGTTCCTTTCAAAAGGCTCCTAAAATCCTTAAATTACCAATTTCTCCATTCTCTGGGGTCTCACGGCCAGTTTTGCTAGAACTCCGGCTGGTAGATTCTGGACTGGTAGCTCGGATAAACATCTTCCATCTCCCCCTTTTTGACATGAGTCTACGCATTCCATCTTGAGACGCGGATTGACTGATGTCAGAACGTGGACTAGACCCTGACACACTACCGTCTCCTTCCTCCAAGGCCCGCAGTTCTGCCTAGAGAAAAATCCAAGAGTAAGATTAAAGTTACGTTAACTATTCATTCTGAGAATCGGAGTAAGTGACCAGAATGTAGTACGTGCTCTTTAAATGCAGGAGGATACATCTTCTAGCTCTCTTTGACGCTCTACAACCGAGTATTAATATGCCACGTGCAGCAGATAATCAGATTACTTGTTGATGACAATTCTGCAGTCAATGTTTAGAAAAATGCAATCATTCTACCTATACTCAAGGACGGTATCCAAAGATCTCAGAAGAGAAAAGCTCTTCAGAATCTGTTTCTCACACAAAATGGCTTATACAGCTGCCTTTCCTTCTAAAGCTCTATTACTATAGGAGACATTCTCAATTAAGGGTCCTCTGACACTTGCTTAACCCCCTCAGAAGAAGAAAGATCTGCCCCACACACAGTGACTTCCACTGGCTCTAGCAGGCAGAAACGGCACCAGGGAACTAGAAGTTTAAATTAAAAACCTAAATCCCAAGAGACCACGTAATCAATCTTTACTCTGGCCTTTTTTTTTTTTTTTGGGAGGGAGGTGTTGCTGGTGGTTTGGGGAAGGAGGAAACTTTTTTGACCAAATGCAGGTAAGCAACTCTTCCGCAGCTTACAGTCTTAAGATTAGGGATTCTAAAGCTAAAGAGTCTGTGGACTTTCAATCCTAAATACTTTATTTAATGAATTTAAAAAATCATTCGGAGAACGGGTTCAGGGCTTCACCAGACTGTCAAAGGGGTCCAACCAAAATATAACAACAATTAAGAGTCCACATCTTTGACAATTCCCTGAGGCACTAAGAGGTAAATGATTTGCCAAGAACTACACAGCTGGTAGGGTCAGAAGCAGCAGGACCCAGATTTTCCTGACTTTGAGGCCAGCTCTCTATCCCTGTTTATCCAATCATTCAGTCAACAAGCAAAAGTTACTAAATGCCTACTGTGTGCCAGGCACTGTGCTAATCATGGGGGATACAAAAAAGGGCAAGACAGTCTCTGTTCGGAAGGAGCACACAGCCTAACACAAGAGACAACACATAAACAACTATGTATAAACAAATTTTTAACAGGATAAATTGGAGATGATCCACAGAGGGAAGGCAGCAGTATTAAGGTAGTGGTGAGGAGGGGAACTGGGAAAGGCTTCCCGTAGGAAATGAGATTTTAGCTGGGACTTGAAGGAAGCCAGGAGGCAGAAATAAAGAGGGAGAGCCTTCCAGACATGGGGGACAGTCAGAGAAAATGCTCAGAGTGGGACACATGACACACCCTTTCCTTTTATGCCACCAGATGGAATGTCTTGTTTGAGACCAACCAAATAAGCAGTCAGCATCACTAGATCTTGGGAGAAGGAGGGCAAGGGGTAGAAGAGGAGAAGGTGTTAGGTATAAGAATGGAAAGCCAGGGGAAGTTATGAAGGGGTCTGAACACCAAACAGGATTTTATAGTTGATCCTGGATGTGATAGGAAGGCACTGAAGGGTGGGAGGGCAAGCAGGAAAGAAGGTGTATGAGAAGGAAGGAGACAAAGCGTGTGTGTGTGTGCATGCATGCATGAATGACAAGGTCTAACTTGTGCTTTAGGAAGATCAATATGACAGCTGAGTGGAGGATGGAGTGAAGCGGGGAAACCCACTAGCAGACTACTAGAAGAGTCCAGTGAGAAGATAATATATTAGGGCCTCCACCAGAGTGGAAGTAGAAAAACTGACAGGCCTTGGAAAAAGACTGGTTGGGGGGGGGGGGGGGGTGAGAGAGAGTAAGGCATAAGCCCTTGGTTGTGAGCCTGGAGGACTGGGACGGTGGTGTTTGCCCTTTATGGTAATGGGGAAGGATCTGGGTGGAAGAGATACTGAATTCCATTTTAGACACGTTGAGTTTAAGCACCACTCCACAAAGAAATGACTCCGAAAGCAGTGACAATTTTAAATGTAGTAACAAAGTTAAACAAATTTTGGGGGTAGTAGACCAAATTCTCCTAAAGTTACTGTTGTCAGGAACTATGAAGTGGCCTCATAAGTCCATTCAGGCTGTAACGTGGGTATGCACGTCCCACGTCAGAGCTCCCCCAATTACCTTTTTTCTCTCCAATACGAGCTCGAGTTCAAGGGTATCTTGTTCCTCTTCCTCCTCACTTTCTCCTGACTGCACAACGCTACACAGATCCTCCTGGGAGTTGTCTTCTGCATTTTCTCCCATAGTTTCTTGTGTTTTTCTTGTCCCTGACAATTCCTCTGCCGCCACCATCTCCTTTACCTCTGCTACTGGATCGATTTCTTGACAAATCACTTTTCTCCTCCATCTTTCCTCTTCCTCTTTTATACCCTCAGGCAACAAAGGGGCCAGCAGAGCAGCTGCCACCCCCTTCTTTTCCTCTTCACTATTTGAAAGAGCTTGGATCCCTTCGTTCACCTCCTGTAATGGTATGGGAAACATTCTCAGGGACCCGTTTTACTTCTTCGATACACGTCTGCTTTTATAGCCAAGAAACCCTAAAAATGTTAGTTGGGATAAATGGTGCCTGCCCTCTTTCAGCCACCTGAACAATGTCCATAAATGTAAACCTTTTCAGTCGGGGTCCCATCCAAAGAGACCCTTATATAGCTTTTGTTCAGCTCGAGTATCACTACTGGGAACAAACAATCTGAACATTTTGGTTCCCTGTGCTCCTTCTCAAGATCACCTTTATTCTGACTAAAATAAACAAAACTGGGAGAAGGCATTCATAGTTCGGGGGAAAAAAGATCAAAGCATCTTACTTCCATGTTCTATTAATTTAGTGAGTAACTTTAGACCAGCCCTGGGTCCAAATCCATTTCTGTAAACTGAGCACCTCACAGGGATACTGTGAAGGCAATTTAAAGCGATACGTTTTTCCCTCCCCTGGGAAAAGGTGGCTCGATTTATCTGTCTGTCAAATGAAAACTAACTGTCCTAACTGCACCATGGAGTTGTCATGAGGCCCAAACACAAAGAATGATTGAAAAAGTGAAATACACACCTGTCCGGTTGCTAACAATGCATTATCCTTAAAATACTACCTCATCTCAATGCCACTAGTGTGTAGTAACCTGGTATTCTCAGAGGTCATACCAAACAGAGTACAAATTTGGACAAATTTTATCAGCAGACAGAGCCTATTGGTTAAAACCAGCTTCACTACAGTCAAGCTCATCAACAACAGATGATTAAAAAATTAAGTCAATTCAAAGTATATTGTCTCCAAAATACAGTCTCTAGCACATATGGCAATAAGATGTCAAATGCTATTACATGCCAATAGCAACAAGAAACCTAATCCAATAAAACTAACTGAATAGTAAAAATATCTCAATACAAAAGGAATATGTGAGCATGAACTCTGAGTGTTCAGGGTAAGACAAAAATACTTCTAATGATTTCAATAGAAATTTGAGAGAAGAAATTGATCACAGAGGATCCTAACAAAAGATTTAGATATAAGAATGAGTTAACAATCCAAAATTAGAACCAATATCACATTTATATAAAAACCTAACATTTCAATCATATGATTAATGTGAATAAATTACCTAAGCTGCTGGCACTGACCTTTTTAACTTCTCGCTTAACCAAGAGTGGCCCACTCTTATTAGTGGTAACAGAAAGAGTCTTTTCTTTGGAGTATATATCTGCTGGCACCAGGAAACTTGTGTCAGCACCTGTTACAGAACTAAAAAGGAATATTCTTAGCTAGCAGCATGGAGAAGAAGCTATATAGACAAGAAGAGAGTCCTGCGACTCTATAATGAATTTCCAATCGGGGGGAAAAAGCATTCCAAAGATCATTCTCACCTTTGCTGGTAATGTTGTATTCCCTGTACCTGGGTAGCCAGGTACTGTGGGAGTTCCCACGTCACTTCATTTGTCTGTGTGTTCCAATAGTAATAGCAACCCGTGTTCTCATCCCAAACTTCTTGCCAGTCTCCCATCTCAATCCCCACTAAAAGAAAATAAGCAGATTTTAGCAAAGATGGAGCACTTTCCACAATTTTGTTATTAACCTTACAACCACTCAGCTCCCAAACCAGACTTCAAACAACAAACTGCCCTCCTCTTTAGTATCTCCTGAAGAACCAACCCTACAACTGCAAGTACGGTTTAAAAAAAGAAAAAGAAAAAAATAAACTTCACTGGTTCAGCTATGTATATCTTTGACCTCCAAAGTATATAGTTAAAAGTAATGCCTGATTACTCACCTAGCAGAGATACTTACTGGTCCTAATGAGACGGCACATAGGCATCTATTAGGGTAGATCTCAACGGTAAATAGCCATCTTTACAAAACAAACATTCCAAGTACCTAACTCCCAAAAATATTTCAAAGCCCACAATCTTAAAGGTTGGTAGCAAATAATTACATCTTTTATCTTTGGTACTACCAACTAAAAGAATTTAAATTCATTTATAATTAACTTGATTATAGAAAAAAACGAGCAGTCCACTATAATGTCTATTTTTCCTGTGCCCCCTTAGTAGGCTGTAGGATGACTTCAAAGACACTATGGGACCAAGCTCACCTCCGGCCAAGGAGCACTGGGTGTCATACTGCCACCCGGAGGCGTGGCTTGGAGAGGAAACGGAAGCCGCTGCAGACTCCTTGGGCTCTGGGCGAGGTGGAGTTGGAGGCGGGGCAGAAGTGTTAGCTGCAGACACAGGCTGCGGGGCTGTTATGGCATCAATTTCCTTTAAAAGGAAGTAATGACAGATGTATTACATTTAAAAATCAATAAAAATGGAGAAAATGTAGTCACCATTAAAGAAGAAAATTCAACTGTATTCAATCAAGTCCCTAACCTCTTTCCCAAGAAATACAACTACCAAATCTTAAAAATCTTAAGAAAATTTGTTTTTACAGAATTTGGTGCTTAATAAATGCTTGATTTTACTTGAGAATAAACTATTTTAGTGGCTACTGCCACTAAAACTGAACTATTACTAACCGCGAGGAAGTTGGCCAACGTGCTGTCAATGTCAGTGGATTGGTTTCCATTTGCTTCCTTAGGCAAGGCTGGTTTCTCAGGTATATCACCCTCATCGTCATCACTGTCTGCGTAGGCACCAAGCAAACACAAGCCTCCTGGTAACCAAACAAAAAAGAAACCAAATTAACAAGAAGAAATCAGAACATTTTAGGAAAGATGTCTCCTGTATGATCATATAACTGCTATGCTCTATTTTGTAAACTTTTAGCCCAAAAGCTGAACTTCATATTGTCACTTAGCAGATAATGAATGCATATTTTCTCAAAAACCAGTTTTCTAATTACTGAGCCAAAGAAGTCAACATCTGTTTCAGGCCCTCCTGAAAACACACAGATACAAAAAATCATGCTAACAGCATCCAGCTGTGCACAGTTTCTGTAGTTTGGGGACTATTAGTAATAGGCCAATATTGCTAAAAGGAAATAACAGAGCCTGTAAGTGACCACTGGCTACTATATAACAACCAGGCAAAATATTACATAAAACATAAAAACAAACTAGACATTTTCATGGTCATCCTTTCCAAATATTTATTGCTTGAGTAACCAAGTATCAGGAAGTGAAATAATATTGGGAATTGGCTAATGGTAGTAATCACTAATATAACTCCCTCAATTCAAGTTAATCATGTTCTCCTGTGCCACGAAGTGCCTCCTTATTTATGTCTGTCACAATTAGGATACTTAAAAAGCATTCCTTAATCTGTCAAGTCGATTCCAGTTTTCTATGTCTGAACAGCCAATCTGAAGCTACGTTGTTCCTGGGTCCCATCTTCACAGTACTCACATTCAGTTTTGTAAATGCCTTAGCAAACTTATACCAATAGTTTCAGGCACTGTGTTGGAAACGTAGCCCTACTTTTTTTTCCTCAGCATGTACGTTCGTCCAAAGGGCAGTTATCATTCTGTTTTGAGCCTGAGTCACACATGCTGGAATTACAGCAGCCTCTCACAGCCCACCTCCGGCAGCGACAGGCACAGAGCTTCCCTTGCTTCATTTCCTACATGGGCTGGGTCATCCTCCTTGAACAGCTTGGGGAGCGAGGCTCACCTGATTGGTGCTGGGCTTAGTGTGTGCACCAAATAGGCTTTAGTCCTATTTCAGCTCAGAGCTCCTGCAACACATGTTATCTACCAGTGGCATAATTTTTAAAAATTTTACTTTTTTCTTAGATTGCTTTCTACTATGTCAAGTTAGCATTCATTTTACTAATAAGAACAATTCATATCTCCAAAAGTGTTTTAAAGTTTATGAAGCACCTTCAGAAAAGCCCTGCAAGGCTGACATTTTTAAATGGAGGATTGCAATTTGTCAGTTTTCATTTTTCATTCACTAACTTTTTTCATTGCTGCTTACTGTTTCTAAGGATTTTGTTAAAGTGCAATTAAAAACCTAACTCCTTTAAATTTTCTGAATTTTAGAGATAAATCCTCCTACACAATTAAGACTTAAAATACTCAACTAAGGATATTGGCTTAGAAAATGTCTTTAGCATAGAATACTTTCTCTTTTTAAGTAACACATCAATACTAAAAGTTTTTTCAGAAATGGAAAACAATCTTACATAAATAATATTCAAGCCCCTCAACAATGGATACATTTTTTAAAGTGCATACCTTTTTTATTCCTGAATTTAACAAAAACAAAAATGAATATTTAATTGGGTACAATTTCAAACAAAAAGCATTAACGACTAAGTCATTAAGAGTATAAAAATGATTAGTAAAGAATAATTTTTAAGTATATCTAATGAGAGCTGATAAATAATCCATTTTTACAATCTATTATATCTAAATTAAACTGAAAAATCTATACTAGTAAATGACAGTGGGTCCAGATTCTAAATGGCTATATGTGCTCTGACTCTGAGAGAGAGAGAGAGAGGGAGACAGAGAGAAGAGAGAAGGGAAGAAAGGAGAGAGGATGAGCACAGCACAGAGTTGATGCTAAAAATAGATATGCTTTTACTTATGGATTAATGAAAAAAAAAATCTTTCAAGAGAATGCCATGATCACCTAAAACAGATGAGTAAGCAGCTATTTTTCTCCCTAGAGAAATCAACTCCTATAAACTCTCAAATGAAAACACTCATTTAAACTTTTTTAATTTTGGTAGGTCCAGACCTAAGTTCATTAGAATAAGAAACTCTCCCTCTACCATGCAATTTTGTTTGAAAGTTGCCGGTGCCAACTGAGAAAATCCTGAGCCCACTGTCACACAGCTAGTACCTGTCAGAAGTATAAAAGTGTAACTTACCACTTGCCTTCCACATCAGCCTCTACTACGATCCCCCCACTGCCTCTCCATTACCAGATGGTTTGAGGGAGAATCAGGATGTTGATTTCAACTAAGTGCCCCAATTCTAGCCCTGGCCTGTGGATACCACCTTTCGCTTAAAAGATCTGCACTATGTGAGACTGTCCTCCTAATCAAATGTTACTTGTCCACTATATAATCTGTAAGGGTATATACAAAAAGGGGACAGAACACACAGAAAAAGCTACCAAATGTGATTAAATGGCCACTGAGGGAGAAAGAGAGCACTCTGGACCACTGGATCAAGGAGCCCTTCAGGGACTCTGAAGAACAGGCAGGACTTAGAGAAGCAGAGAAGAAAGGGCTCATTCTGGGCAAAGCAAATATAGAAACGTCATGACGTGAACAGCAGACTCAAACTTGGTTGTAACAACAAACGTGTAAGTTAAAGAATGGGAGTTAAGCTTGGAGGGGTAAGCTGCGGACAGACTAAGGACCCTAAATTCTAGACTAAGGAATGGGGGACTTTGTGTTTTCAGCACCCAGGAACAATATCCAAAAACTTTAATTCAGCTGTGGTCCATCCAAAGGATTGGAGTGAGAAACTGGAGGGAATGAGATTACTTAAGAGACAACTGCAACAGTTCGGATAAGAAATGGCCAAAGGGCTGGACTGGGCTAGAATACGCCAGGGGCTTGTGGTTCTGAGAGACCTGGGAACAAAATCCACCTGACATTATTGAGCAAGTCATTTGAGCTCTATGACCATCAGTTTCTTCATCCCCATGTAAAATGGGGATATCTGCAGCACTGACCTTACATGTAGGTTGTGAGGATGAAATGAGATAATGAATGTAAAGCCCTTTATGAATGTCAGCAATTATGAGGGTGGTAGTAGTACTCCGGATTACAATTCTTCCTGCTGCCTTTTCTAGGAGCGGGTTAGACAAATTTCCACAGAAAGCCTGAGTTGTCAATTCTTATCTCTTAATCTCAGTTTAATGATCAATAATGTTTATGCCAATTTGGCACACACCTTGCCCTTTCACTCGCAACATAACGATCCTTTCAGGACAGGGATCAAGCCTGAGGCTTCTATGGATTTTCCCTACAGCATTAAACACAGAACTCACCCACCTTGCACAGAGTATAGTCTGTGCTCAGTAAGTGCCTGCTGAGCAAACCAATCTTCATGACATGGGACACTGCTATGAACTTACTCCAATGACCATTCTACTATGTTTTTATCAAAGTATTATTTTGAAAGTTCATTTTCTTCCAGATACCCTTTTTTAATACACAAGCCCTGTAAAACTTCTTTACCAGTGGATGAAATTTAGTAAATAAATAAAACAGGTTTGAACATCTCATTATATTTGAACACTATTCCTCTGCTTCAGGGTAAAATCTTAACCCTAGACTAATTACAGTATATGCTTCAATTTTTCGGGACTGGAATTAAAATTTTCCAGCTCATTAACAGTATAATAAAAAATTGGTATTTGTAAGCATAATTTCCCAAAATATATTTAGATAGCACCACCATGTTTTCTGACAGCTAAATTTTAGTTTTTTCCCAATTATTTGAATTTTAAATAATTATCAAATCAAAGAAAGTATTTAATTATTTGGGGAGTTCTTCTCAACATTAAATTTGCCTCAAACTGGGTGAGCTGTACAAGCCAGTGACAAGTCAGAAAGAAAGCAAAGATTTTTGAATTTTTGTTTTAAGTAGTACTAAATCAATGAAACAATTATAATCAATCAAAACTTACTAGTTAATTCTAATTATTCTAGAAAAATAGAAAGTAAAAATCCAAACAGCCAAATCCATACCTGTTGCTTTGACGGTGGTAGGTCTGGTTGGCATGACTGGTTTGGGGGGATTCTGAACAATAACTTTAGGAGCTTCTGGAACAACTTCCTGTTCATCTGAAAGGAACAGTAAAGAAAATTTAGACTACAAATGATAGCATCTAAAAATTTTGACCCAAACCAAACAAACAACTCAAATAACATGACTTAGGGCATAAGAATTAGCTCCTTACTTTTAAAAATTGTTTTAAATTTTGATAGTAATTGTTTTGACATCACCTTCATTTCTGAAGGTATCCCTCTTCTCTCTCCTACCCAGCAAGCCATCCCTTGCTAAAACTAAAAGAGGAAAACAAAGGAGTTATCAACAAAGTCTGACAGAAATATGGCATGTTCCACACCCACAGTCCCAGCGCAACTTCTGGAAAGAATAGAGCTCCTTACACTCATCATTTAACTTAGGAATTTCCAAATATGAATTAAAAAGTATTGCAATTTTTTTTGTCCAAACCTGTTATCTCCTCATTGTTTGGAAGCCCTAGAACTCACAATTCCTCCCCAGATGCAGATCTCAAATTGGCAATCATTTATAGTCTTAATGAGTGGCCTGGAGCAGTGACAGATTAAGGGATTGTCTGGTCACACAACTAGCATACACTCAGAGGAAAGACTAGAATCCAGAATTTTCTGACCAGCCCTTTACCCTTCTCCCCTACACACCAAGTAGCTTCTCATTTAAAGATTATCACATTTGAAAACCTAAAAATTTAATTAATTCTCTAACAATTACTCTAAATCACAGGAGCTATTTCATCTAACAAGCAATATAATACAATATTTCCATTTCTCAGAATCATACACACCAAATCTAGAATCAGAGGAACCCAGTTTGAATCTCTGCTCTATTACATACTGTGACCTAGACAAGCCACTCAACTTCTCTGAGCCTCAGTTTCCTCGCCCATAAAACGAGTGGGTTAGACTAAATGGCTTCTGAAGTCTCTTCCAGCCCTAAATCCACATTCTTTATAATAATGTTTTCTGAGTAGCATGGAAGTATTTCCCAATAACAAAACTCATTAGTCATCTAATAACTTATAAGGGGGTGGGATAGAGATGCTGATGACCCATATCTAGAAATAAATTCCACTCCTCTAGGAATGTTATGTTTTTGATACTGTTACCAATCAGGCTTTTGCTGGACTCACTTGAACAGGCATTTTACTAAACGCTTCTCATGGGCCAAACGCTAGGCAAGGTGCTGGGGGAACCAAAGACCAAACAAAACCAAAAAAACAAACCAAAAGCCCCAAAACTCTAAAGGCGACAATCGTGGTGCTCTCCTGGCTTGGGGCACACCCACACGCCACAGCGTCGCTATCGTGCTCAGTAAAACAGCCCTGGCTCGGAAGCCGCGGGCGTGACCTTGGCCCAGTCACTTCCCCCGGTCAAACGAGGCTCGGCTGGCTCCCTGACTAGCTCTGGGCCCCGCTCCGGGCGGTCGGGGACAGCCGGCTGTTGGTCCGTGCTCGCGCACCCGCAGGGCTCCCGGCGAGGGGCCGCGCTCCTTCCCAGGCCGAGATAGCGGCCCGGCCTCGGCGTCATCCAGCGAGTCCTTCGGGAAAGCTCCTCCCTGACCCGAGGCCAGCCGCAGGGCGGAGGCTGCGGCGGCTTCTCTCAGCCCGCCCGGGCCTCAGACTCCTTTCTCTTCCTCCTTCGCCCTCCACCCTTCCACGTCCAGCCCTGGAGCTCCGGGCCGGACTAGGCCCCAAGCCCCGGACTCGAGTTTGGGGTGTTCCCGCTGGCAGCGCGAGCGAGGCGGGCCGTGACTCCTACTCGGGGCCGAGGCTCCGCGCGGCCTTTCCTTACCTTCCGAGGGCGAGTCCTCTAGGGAGGTCGCCACCGTGGCCGCCGTCGCTGCCGCCGTCGGGGCAGGGGTCAGGGCCGGGGCCGGAACCGGAGTTGGGACCGGGACCGGTGCCGGGGCCGGGGCCGGAGCCGGAGCCGGAGCCAGGACCGGGACCGGGACCGGGGCCGGGGCCGGGGCCGGAGCCGGGGCCGGGGCCAGGGCCGGAGTCGGAGCCGGGGTCGGGGTCGGAGCCGGGGCGGAAACCACCGCGTCAACCTCAACCTCGGCTTCGGGCTCCGCGTCGCGTCCAGAGGCGCCGCTCCGAGGGCCCGGCGGGGAGAGCTGCAGGATGGGCCTCCGGCCGGGGACCGCCCGCGACTTCTTCCCCATCGCGAGCCTCCGCGCGAGCCGCCACTCGCGTCAAGGCAGCCGGCAGGGGGAGGGCAGGCGGCGTTGGCACGTCCGCACGCGATCAATATTCATGACCCTCTCCCCGCCCCCGAAGCCCGCGGCGCCTGACCGGCGCACCAGCGCGCACGCTCCAGCTCCAATGGGCGGGGCCTGCTCTAGCCGAGCGGGCCATTGGCTGATTGAACCGACCAATGGAGCCCAGCAATCTCTGTTACGTAACAGGCACTGCGCGGGAGGGGGAAGGGAGAGACCTCTGATCTTTAAATTTCCTTTTGTATGTATTTTGCGTCTGGAGTCTACTTAAGTGTGTACCTTTGGTGTGTCTCTCCCTTTGAATGTAAGCCCCTTGAGGGGGGAAACGATTTCACTTCTATCCCATTTTTAGCACCTAGCTCCAGGCCTGACACAAAGTGGGGGCCAATCGCCTCTCAATCCATCAATAAAAAGTAAGGTCCTACTATGTCCCAGGCAGTATGGAAAGCCTTGATCTGGTCAACGAAGGAACATTGTATACAGACCTCTGTTCTGCTCCTGGCATTTCTCCTGGAGTTGTCAGCAGCAAAGACCATATCTATCATTTCTTGGCCCTTTCTGAAAACACACTGACTCTCAGGTAGATGACCATCTTCCAGGCGAAGGATCTGCCAATTAAGAAGGACTCTGGCAAGAATCTTGCCAGCAATGACTAAGAGAGAGGGCCCCAACCCCGTCATTGTCACTGGACAATCTATTTCCTTTTCTTTTATAGAGATAGAAAATGGAGGCATCTTTGGACTCCTGGGGGATAATCTCCTCTTGCCATATAACCTGGAAGATTTCAGTCAGCTTTTGTGTGAGCAGTGGACACCCCCCCCCTTGTAAATCTCGGTTGGAATAGAATCAGTACCAGGTGCTTTGCCAAATAGGAGAGGAACCTAATGGCATTCAAGACCTCTTCTTCAGTTGGAAGTTTGACTAGAAAGGGATTGACTTTAACCTGAGGTATATAATCAATGGCTTCAGCATTGGTTGATGACGGTCTATTGAGAACACTATGGAAGTATTCAGCCTATCTCTTCAGGGTCACGTCCTTATCACTAATCAATGTGGCTCCATCAGCACTGAGTAGTTGAGATGCACCAGAGGTCTTTGGCCCATAGTCTTCTGGCCTCTGACACTTACTCGCTGTGTGACCCTGGACAAGTCACTTAACCCTGTTTGGCTCAGTTTTCCCATCTGCAAAATGATTTGGAGAAAGAGATGGCAAACCACTCCAATATCTTTGCCAAGAAAACCCCAAATGGGGCCATCTAGAGTTGGACACAAGTGAAATGACTGAATTTGAGAAACATGGTGAATAAATGAAGAGTCAGCTTCAATATCAGGAAGGCCTGAGTTCAAGTCCTGTCTTGAACGCACAGCTACACCTTTCAGCATCCTAGGCAACTCTCCAAGATTATAGATTTCAGATTCATAGTCAATCTGTGGTTAGTAGAGGGAGTGCCTTCCCTAACCAATGAAATCACAGGTCTGGTACCACAGGGATGGGGAGTGTGGGGGGGTGGAATTTATACATGAGAAAACTTAGTCTGAGAGATTAAGAGAATTGTCCCTGGTCATAGAGCATCAGAGACAACAGATGACATTAGACAACAGATAATAGAAAGAGATGACATCAGAGATGGAATCTGAACAAAAGTAATAGCAAGCACTTAAATAGTGTTTTATTTAAGGTTTATAAAGTGCTTTACAAATGTGATCTCATTTGATCTTTAGAATCTGGTTATTGTTCATTGTGCTGGAAGAGGACCTAAACGACATCACTATGTTGGGGTCAAGCTACAGTGAGTCTGACTATGGCTGATCAGACCAATATGAGCTCAGAAGGCTCTGCCACAGGTCAGGCACAAATAGTCCGAGAATTTGGGATGGAGCTGTCTCTAGATTTGCGCTTCTCATGTTTCTTTTGAGCTACTGCGATTCTGCTTTTCTCATAGAGCACAATGCCTTCTCTGACCCAGGCATGCACGGCTGGATGGTCCTGTGCCAAATCGATTTCAGAGTTCTTCAGAGAGACTTTGAGAGTATCCTTCTATCGGTTCTTCTGATCTCTGAGTGCTTGCCTTGTGAGTTCTGTGTAAAATAGTCTTTTAGGTAAACATGTGTTTGGCCTTTGGGCTACTTGGCCAGGCCATCAGAGTTGCAGTCTCTGCAGTAGAGTTTGAATGCCTGGCAGTTCGGCTAGAGAGAGAACCTCAGTGTCTGGAACGCTATCAGGCCAGGTGATCTTCAGAATCTTCCCAAAACAATTCAAATGGAAGTGATTCAGTTTCCTGGCACAGTGCTGGTACACTGTCCAAGTTTCACAGGCATGCAGCAATGAGGTCAGCACAACTGGCTCTGTGGACCTTCTGTTTGGTAGGCAATCTAATACCTCTTTTCTCTCCTACACTTTCCTTCAGAGCCTCCCCAACACTGAGCTAGCTCTGGCAAGTCATGGGTCAACCTCATCATCTGTGTGTACATACCTCTTCACAACCCCGTGACGAAGATGCTATTATTATCTCCATTTTGCTGAGGAGAAAATGAGGTAGACAAAAGGCAAGTGACTTGCCCAGGGTCAGGCAGCTAGTAAGTGTTAAATTCAGGTCTTTTTAACTCCAAGCCCAACCTTCTCTCCACTTCACTTAGCAATCCAATCAACCAACCACTCCACCAGCATTCATTAAGTACCTGTTGTGTTTCAGGCATGGGGCTAGGCCCAGGGAATAAAAAAATGAAGTTTCTGTCCTTAAAGTGCTGATACAGGTTAATTTTACAGTGGGGGTATTTCTACCTGTAGAGATCAGTGTGGGCTTCATGTAGGAAGTGGTGTTTGAGCTGGACTTTGAAGGAAACTTGGCATTCAAATTGATGGAGATAAGGAGGAAGTGAATTCCAGGCCAGAGGCACAGCCAATGCACAAGCAGTTGGTGGGAAATGGAATGTCACCCTGATTCCAAGTCCAGCACTATTTGAATGAAAGGGCTAAATTAGATGAACTCCAAGGTTTTTTTTGGCTCTAAATTTCTGTGTTCAGTGACAGAGACAAGAGCAATCATGGCTGGATGCCCGCCTCTCCAAACCATCCTCTACACAGAGGTCAAACTGATATGCCTAAAAGAGAGATGAGATCACATCACTGTTGGTACATGTTACGGCTCTATCCAATAGAATGTAAGCTCCTGGGGATAGCAATATATAAGCTCTGGCCTTGGAGTCAGGAGGACCTGAGTTCAAATCCAACCTCAGACACATAACACTAACTAGCTGTGTGACCCTGGGCAAGTCACCTAACCCCACTGCCTACTGAAAAAAAAAAAAAGAAAGAACGTAAGCTCCTTTGAGGCAGTAATTCTCTCCTTTTTGTCTTTGAACCAGCCTAGGGCTGCTGGGCGCATAGCAGGAGTTTAAAAATATTTGTTGAACTGAGATTGTGGCAAATAAAGATCAGTTAAAGCAATTGGGGATATTTTGTTTTTGTTCAGTTGTTTCAGTTATATCAGACTCTTCATGACCCCATTTGGGGTTTTCTTGGCAGATACCGGAGCGGTCTGCTACCTCCTTCTCCAGCTCATTTTACAGATGAGGAAACTGAGGCAAACAGGACTGGGTGACTTGCCCAGGGTCACCCAGCTATTAAGCGTCTGAGGCCAGTTTTGAACTTAGGAAGATGAGTCTCCCGACTCCAGGCCCAGCACCCTATCCGTTGCTTGGAGAAAAGACCAGAGGGGTGCATCTATAAGAAACAGAACTGTCTTCACATATATGAAGAGCTGTCATGTGAAAGAGAGATTAATCTCTTCCTGGGTGGCCTTTGTGATAGGACCAACAGCATGAGGAGGCTTTTCCTAAAAGAAGACAGAGCTGACCCTGATTAGCCTCTGGCTTCCCTGACACAACTTCCTGATCATCTAATAGAATAAAAAGCCCTAGCCATGGGAGTCTAGGCCCTGAACAAGTGATGGATTTCTGAAGCCCATGAGAGCGGTCCTGTCTTTCCCTCTAGCTAGCCCCGACAATCAGGCTCATTTTCATATGGAGATGTGGAATGCTGTGCTGAGAAGCTATATGCCATTGGATCTTGGTAGCACATTCTGCCCACGTTAGGACAAGTAAAACTTTGCTTTTGTTAACTATTTAATGATTCCCAATAGTGAATGGTAACTAAGAAAGTGGTGATATGGAGAGCTCCCTCCTACATCTCCAGAAAGAACTAAGAATAATGGGTGGATGTTACTGAGTCTCAGTTTCATTAGCTATAAAATAAGGAAGAAGGACTAGAAACGCTGAGGCACCTTTCCAGATGAAATCCTATGACTGGAGTTCCCTGGATTCCTAATAAATGGGCAAAATCAAGTCTAGCTCCAGGGGTCCCTCTATTTTCAACCTCCCCCCAGCCCCTTCAGGCCCGTTTTATGTGTTGTCTTCCTTCATTGGAATGGAAGCTCCTTGAGGGCAGGGACTTATCTTTCTACTTGTATTTGGATTCCTAGTGCTTGGTACACTGTGTTAAATAAATTCAGTCTGTCTATCCCTCTGTCTCTCTAGGCACAAATCCTTTCCTTAATTGAGGTTTATATGTTGATTGATGCCTGAAACTCCTCTAAGAGGGACCAAAGCCTTTCATTCCACTATCGGAAGGGAAAGTTCGAAAGTACCAATAACTGATTGATAAACACATCAAATCTCAAAGACACTAAAATGTAACCCAACATTTAATCAATGAGTGCAAATGTATAAGAGCCTTTCTGGCTTCTTACCTAAAACAGAAGTACAATGAATGTGGCTCTGATTATGGCCCTGAAACGAAGATCTCAGAGCAAAGTCAAAGAAAATTCTACAATATGAACAATGACCAAAGTATACACAGCTAGTTTTCTTAAAAGATGAGATCGATAAATTTTAATGTACAGAATAAAACCACAGAAGATTTTCCTATCTTCTTCTTTCAAAATCTTG